AACCTACTGATGCCTCATGTAATTTGTAATTTGTAATGTAATTTTATTGGTATCTATTTTTCTTTTGAAGTTTACCAGTAGCTGTTGCATTTCCCACCTTCAGCTGGGTAGGAATCAAATCAATAATTTTTCCCAGTTTTTGTAGTAAATATTCGGCTTATATTCGGGTTGGCTTATACACGAGTATATATGGTATTCTGACTTCTATTTTGGAGTCGGGGCTGCTGATAATTTCTCAATTCATAGAGTCCTACAAATGTAAGGCGAATCCATAGCAACCTTGGCAGGTGGGTATTTCTGATAGGGAGTGCTGAAATGAGAGGTGATGGGTGGTGATCATGCCTTCCTTACTTTTGTGGCAGCTAGTGATGATCATCTTTCCTTGTAGCCAAGGGTCTGAGATGGCTTCTCAGGGAAGAGAACTTGCTAATCATTTCAAGACTGAGGGAACACCAGTAATGATTGGTAAGATCTTGAACATTATTCAGATTTTTCTATTTTACATACTATTCTACTGGTCCTTTGAGAGAGCACTGTTTATAGATCTTTGACCATTTTGAAGTAGTTCTTGAATGTTGTGGAACTGTTCTGTTTTAGAACACAAATTGGGAGATTGTGTTTTAAGATGTTCTTCCACATTAAAAAATATCAGTTTCTCTTATTAGGATAGCAGTGAAAAGTTCTAGATGTTTTTTCCCACTGCAGATACTTAATATTTACATAGGAGAGCTTTCATCCTGGTAATACTCCTGGTATTGCCAGGATGAATTCTTTGCCAAGGTTCATCCTCAGGAAGCGTAATTCTGCAATAATTGTGAACACATGATAGAACCTACTTCAAAGCTCTTTAGTGTGTTTGCTGAATCAGGTTTGCTCCAAATCATGATAGATGGGTCTACCAGTTGGTTGTGTTAGTCTGAACCTTCTGGCATAAAGAAGACTTCTATCTCCGTGTTGTTGAAGACTTTCAGGGCCGGAATCACTGGGTTGCAGTGAGTTTTCTGGGCTGTATGGCCATGTTCCAGAAGCATTCTCTCCTGATGTGTCACCCACATCTGTGGCAGGCATCCTCAGAGGTTGATAGGTTTGGGTTGTTGTAGGTTTTTCCAGGCTATACGGCCATGTTCTGGAGGCAATTTTTCTCCTGACGTTTCGCCTGCATCTATGGCAAGCATCCTCAGAGGTAGTGAGGTTGAGTGAGTTGATAGGTTTGTTGGAGGCAAGACAAGTGAGGTTTAGATATCTGTGGAATAATGTCCAGGGTGGGAGAAGAAACCCTTGTCGGTTTGAGGCAAGTGTGAATGTGAACTGTGAAGCCTTGCAGTTTCAAGGCCTGGCTTCTTCCTGCCTGGGGAAATCCTTTGCTGGGAATTGTAAGCTGGCCCTGACTGATTCTTGTCTGGAATTCCCCTGCTTTTTGAATGTTGATCTTTATTTACTGTCCTGATTTTAATTTTTTTTTAATACTGGTAGCCAGATTTTGTTCATTTTCATGGTTTCTGTTGAAACTGTCCACATACTTGTGGATTTCAGTGGCTTCTCTGATATAGAAGTTGTTAGAGTGATCCAGCATTTCTGTGTTCACAACCTACAAACTATGTACAGACCCACTAAGAAAATACAACAAATGCTATGTTCAGCAAAGGACAAGAGGGATCCTCTTGCCTCTGGAGGAGTTTACCGTATATCAGGCAGCTGTGGACCACCACATAGGGACCACCAAATGTAGCATTGCCCAAACAAGAATCAAGGAACATGAAAGGCACTGCAGACTACTTCAACCAGAGAAGTCAGCCATAGCAGAACACCTGATGAACCAACCTGGGCACAGCGTATTGTTTGAGAACTCAGAAATTCTGGGCCACTCTAGCAACCACCATGTCAGGCTACACATAGAAGCCACTGCAATCCACAAGCATGTGGACAGTTTCAATAGAAAGGAGGAAACCATGAAAATAAAATAAAAAAATCTGGCTACCAGTATTAAACAATCCTAGAATCAGGACAGTGAATAAAGAGCAACACACAGAATACAGGGGAATTCCAGACATGAATCAATCAGGGCCAGCTAACACCTCCCAACAAAGGATTTCCCCAAGCAGGAAGCAGACAGGCTTTGAAGCTGCAAGGCTATTCAATGCTTATCATGTTGGCCAATTGCAACATTCACACTTGCCTCAAGCAGACAAGAGTTCTTTCTCTCACCCTGGACATTCCACAGATATATAAACCCCACTTGCCTAGTTTCCAACAGACCTCACAACCTCTGAGTGTGCCTGCCATAGGTGTGGGTGAAACGTCAGGAGAGAATGCCTCTGGAACATGTCCATACAGCCCAAAGGAAAACTCACAGCAACCCAGAAATAACATTTTTCCCTCCCAACAACTGTTTTTACTTCCTATAATGGGCTAATTGTAACTTTGTCATTGATATCTTTCCTATTCAGGTGGAGGTGTCTTGGCTCATACAATACTCGGAGTAGCGTGGAATGAGACCACGGGGCACATAAAATTTCTAATCCTGGACCCCCATTACACTGGAGCAGAGGACCTGAATACTGTATTAGAAAAGGTGAGGTTTGACTTTCACATTTGATTTCCATTTCTTTGTGTTATCAGAGTGTCCGTAAATGAACCATAATGAACACTGAATCTTCATTCTTTTAGTGTTAGGCTGTACACAACTGGAACCATTGTTTTGAAAACGTTTCTTTAAAAAAAGGCCAGTTCTAACCAATCTGGGTTGCAGACAGAGCTTAGAATGTGGAATGAACTTTCTTTTAGGCCTTGCTTCTACAACATTTTGATCAATAATGTTTTCTGACAGTCATTTCACAGGTATCAAACCTGGATACTTCTTTACACAAAGTCAGGAAAAGTTGCTATACTGGTATTATACCAGCATAAACCAAAAAGAGGATTCCTGCCAGAATGTGTATTTATAGGGGTATTGTGAGTTTTCCGGGCTGAATATAATTTTAGTTCTGGGTTGTGTGAGTTTCCGGGCTGTATGGCAATGTTCCAGAAGCATTCTCTCCTGACATTTTGTCCACATCTATGGCAGGCATCCTCAGAGGTTGAGGGGTCTGGTGGAAACTAGGCAAGTGAGGTTTATATATCTGTGGAATGATGTCCAGGGTGAGGGAAAGGACTCTTGTCTGTTTGAGGTAGATGTGAATGTTTCATTTGTCCACCAATACTTCTGAGGATGCCTGCCATAGATGCAGCTGAAATGTCAGGAGAGAATGCTTCTGGAACATGGTCATACAGCCTGGAAAACTCACAACAACCCAGTGATTCCAGACATGAAAGCCATCGACAATACATTTTGTATTTATATTTTTTTTCCATTTTTGAAAAGTAAGCTTAATAAATAAAACAGAAGTTGATATTCATGTCTGTTTTACTGAAATGTTAGCTATAGCCACTTAGTAAACGATCACATTTATATTGTTGTGTATTTTTATATACCCCCCCTCCCCTTCCTATTATACAGGGTTGGTGTGGATGGAAGGGTCCAGATTTCTGGAAGAAAGATGCTTATTATAACCTGTGTCTACCCCAGCGACCAAAATCTATTTGAACTTCTGTTTAGATGATTGTGATACATTACTTATCTTAATATATTTTGTCTTTACGCATGCATATCTTCATTTTTTTGAGAATTGATGAGTACGTTTTTATTAAAATTTGTTCAAAATCCCAGTTGAAATAGAAATATCAGTCTAACAGAGTTGGGAGAAAAGTAATTTGAGGTTGTATGTTTTCCAGGCTGTGTGGCCATGTTTCAGGAGCATTCTTTCCTGACGTTTCACCCGCATCTATGGCAGGCATCCTCAGAGGTTGCCTGCAGGTGAAATGTCAGGAGATAATGCTTCTGGAACATGGCCATACAGCTGAGAAAACATACAACAACCAGGGATTCCGGACATGAAAGTCTTCAACGATACAAAGTAATTTGAGATTTTCAAATAAAACCTGAATATTAAACATTGTCATTTTTCTGATAGTTTATTTCGTCTTTTGTAATCTGATGCTAACATTACAATTGTACCTGTATCCACTTAAGAAAAAAGGACTTCCTGCCAAATTTATAGCGGCAATTTAACAATTGCATAGTTGTAGTTTAATTATTTGAGCCTTGTAGATAAGACACACATGCTCACAGTGTATATTAATCTACAAATTCCTGCATTGTGCTCCAAACGCAAGCTAAAGATATTTTATGTCATTGACTAAGTGCAGCCCTTTGTTGGATTGCAGATCCCAGCATTCCTTGCCATTGGCTGTGCTGGATGGGACAGGCAGGAGCTTCAATCAACAACATTATGAGGGCTGAATCACAATCATAGAATCATAGAGTTAGAAGAGACCTCATGGGCCGTCCAGTCCAAACCCCTGCCAAGAAGTAGGAAAATCAGATTCAGAGCACCCCTGACAGACAGCCATCCAGCCTCTGTTTAAAAGCCTCCAAAGAGGGAGCTTCCATCACACTTTGGGGCAGAGAGTTCCACCGCTGAACTGCTCTTACAGTCAGGAAGTTCCTCCTAATGTTCAGGTGGAATCTCCTTTCTTGTAGTTTGAAGCCATTGTTCCACATCCTAGTCTCTAAGACAGCAGAAAACAAGCTTGCTCCCTCCTCCTTAAGATTTCCCCTCACATATTTATACATGTCTTCTCTCAGCCTTCTCTTCTGCAGGCTAAACATGCCCAGCTCTTTAAGCCACTCCTCATAGGGCTTGTTCTTCAGTTGCCCTCCTCTGGACACATTTCAGCTTGTCAGCATCCCCCTTCAATTACAGTGTACAGAATTGGACACAGTATTCCAGGTGTGGCCTGACCTATCTCTTTGCCATGGAGGAAGTCAAATAATTATAATTTTTAGAAACGAATGCTAAGGTCTCCCATTTGCTTTCATGCAGTAGCGTTTCATACTGTTAAGTCGAGTAGTGCTAAATACTGTATACCTTCTCGGTAAAAGAGAGAGAGAGAAAGGACAATACTGTTTCCAAAGATTTATTATTGTGGAAATATCTGTACAGCAATAACAAAAATAGAAAAGTATCTTCTTCAAGAAGCAACCCATTTCCTTCCCAGAAGGCATTGTTCAAAATATTTGGTGTCGAGCAGCAGACTCATGTTTCTCTGTTCAAGCGTATTCTCGTGTTGATTGGTGTTCACATGACATCAAGGGTTGTGCATCTGTTTAAAGGCAGATAAAGGTTTGCATTTCAGATGGTTGCATTTGAATTCAATATATTGGGACTACTGGTACATATCCCACTTTCTATATGATATCACTGTTTTGGAAGCCTTTGCTGTCCTGGATGACCATTTTCTTTCCCATACAAACCTACCATCTCTTAACTGTCAACAACATGCCTCTTTATTTAGGACAGTATTTCTCAATATTGAGTATTCATGTCAAGTTTGGTCCAGATCTATCATTGTTTGAGTCCACAGTGCTCTCTGGATGTAGGTGAACCACAACTCCAAAACTCAAGGTCAGTGCCCACCAAACCCTCCCAATATTTTCTGTTGGTCATGGGAGTTCTGTGTGCCAAATTTGGTTCAATTCCACCATTGGTGGAGTTGAGAATGTTCCTTGATTGTAGGAGAATTATAAATCCCAGCAACTACAACTCCCAAATGACAAAATCAACCCCACCCAACCCCACCAATATTCAAATTTGGGCGTATCGGGTATTTGTGCCAAACACGAGGAACTGTATTAAGGGGTCACAGCATTAGGAAGGTTGAGTGCCACTGATCTAAATAGTACAATCCTTTATCACCGATAGCAATAAGTGAACATAGCCAGACTTCTCCACAAGCATGTGTAAGGGTTGCTTTGTAAAATAAATACACTTCCAAAACAACTGGAAACCAAACTATTGGTGGAAAGTATTAGCAGAAACCTTGAGATTGTGGAAGGGAAAATGAAACTGAATGGATATGATTAGTAACAGGATTGATACAAGGCTCTGTGTTTAAAACTTTATATAATTTTTTGGGATTATATGGTTAAAATTTCCTTCCTTCCCCTATCTCCCTCTCCCCTAACAATCGCTTGGACTCTTACGTTGAAATTGGCTCTTTCCCTGAGCTTCCATCAACCCAACCAATCCAAATATGCTCCCTCTACAGATGTTTGAAACCCACCAGCCTTTATATATATTCTAATTCTGCATTGTAATAGAATGAGTGACTGTCACTGGAGCAAAACAGAGGAAACAGAAAACCTTGGTCAGCCATTAAAAGATTTTTTTAAATCTACATTAACTATTCTCTAGTGCAGTTTATGTTTTTACCATGTTCTCTTTCTTCTTTGTTGCTCCCTCTTCAGAAACTTGCAGAACGCCTCTCAAAGGGCCCCATGGATAGTAACCCACCTGACCTTTCCCCTCCCTCTCCATTGTTCAGAGTGAGCCAGAACACACCCAGCAATCAATAAAAGGCCCAAAACCTATTGCATTAGCAAGTTACAGCCATTACAGATAAAACAAGTAAGATTATTTTAAAGTATTACTGCAAGAAGTAAAGAGTCACCAATGGTAACTTATTACAAATAATCAGTTAGTTACAAGCTCTGATCCTGAAAGAAATCCTGGTCTGAGCTGCAGTCGCTCTTTGGAGCGGGATAATATATGCAGTACATCATGCAATTTTATATATTTACTGTTTCTAAAAAGGTCCAGGCCACCTTTAATTTTGTCTTAATTATGTAAAATTGTTCAAGTTGTTTCATAATTATTCTTAAAATTGCAAAGTGGTTTTTGTTTTGTTTTTTGTCGTGTCAGGAGCGACTTGAGAAATTGCAAGTAGCTTCTGATGTGAGAGAATTTGCCGTCTGTAAGGACGTTGCCCAGGGGATGCCCAGATGTTTTGATGTGTTATCATCTTTGTGGGAGGTTTCTCTCATGTCCCCGCATGAGGAGCTGGAGCTGTTAGATGGAGCTCATCCGCACTCTCCCCGGATTCGAACCTGCGACCTGTCGGTCTTCAGTCCTGCCAGCACAGGGGTTTAACCCACTGTGCCACCAGGGGCTCCTTGCAAAGTGTTAAATTGTTTTATTGTATGCTTTCTGGATAGACAAGGATATAAATATTTTAATTAATAAAAAATAAATGAAGCCGATAGCACTACACAGGTGTGGTTAAATGCCGAAGTCTGAACCCATGACATTAAGCTCCAATTAGAGACTTAAATGGAACCCCTGGTGGCACAGTGGGTTTAACCGCTGAGCTGCTGAACTTGCTGACCAAAACATTGGTAGTTTGAATCCAGGGAGCAGGGTGAGCTCCCACTGTTAGTCCCAGCTCCTGCCAACCTAGCAGTTCAAAAATATGCAGATCAATAGGTACCGCTTTGGCGGGAAGAAAATGGTGCTCCATGCAGTCATGCTGGCCGCATGACCTAGGAGGCATCTACGGACAATGCTGGCTCTTTGGCTTAGAAATTGAGATGAGCACCACCCCCAGAGTCAGACATGACTAGATTTAATGTCCAGGGGAAACGTTTACCTTTACCTTAATTTTGCTAGCATTAAGGTTCACTAAAATCAGTTGGATTTCCTGTAGAATGGTAGCACATAATTAACAGTATCTAGAATTTTTTTGTACTCACACTAATGGATAGTGAGTTATGTAAACAGTACTTGAGCCAACATACCATTTGGTTTCATTCTCTTCTGGCTGGTGGATCTTTTACTTTCACATGTTCTTTTCTGTCTTGCAGCATCTGTTAGTAAGTCTTCATCCTTGTCACGTGGGACGCAACTTATCTGTGTTATGTTTTTCCTCTTCTGACTGTTTTTCACTGTCACAAGAAACTGGGCACATTCCAAAAACCCCAAATCCCAGGCTAGATCTTCTGCTGTTTTCCCATTGTTATTGCGCAAACTGTGAAACAAAATGAAAATCAACGCATTTAGTTAAAATTTAATTACATTTGCACAAAATTATGTTAATGTTTACATGTCCATCATACAATACTATAATGTCTACTCAGAAATAAATAACGTATGAGTGACTAGAAGCTACTTCTAGGTAAGTGTGGATAGGCTATTATTCATTGAGAATCTGGAGCCCCGGTGGCGCAGTGGGTTAAACCTCTGTGCCGGCAGGACTGAAGATCAACAGGTCACAGGTTCAAATCTGGGGAGAGGCGGATGAGCTCCCTCTATCAGCACCAGCTCCTCATGCAGGGACATGAGAGAAGCCTCCCACAAGAATGGGAAAAAAACCATCAAATCATCCGGGCGTCCCCTGGGCAACGTCCTTGCAGACGGCCAATTCTCTCACACCAGAAGTGACTTGCAGTTTCTCAAGTCGCTCCTGACACGACAAAAAAAAATTGTGAATCTAATGCTGCTTACTTCTAGTTTTGTTTTTTTCGTGTCAAGAGTGACTTGAAAAACTGTAAGTCGCTTCTGGTGAGAGACAATTGGCCATCTGTAAGGACGTTGCCCAGGGGACGCCTGGATGTTTTACCATCCTGTGGGAGGCTTTTCTAATGTCCCCACATGAGAAGCTGGAGCTGACAGGCGGGAGCTCCACCTGCTCCCCAGATTCAAACTGCCGACCTTTAGGTCAACAGTCCTGCCGGCACAAGGGTTTCACTTATTGCACCACTGGTTAAACATGTGTAAAATTTTGGACCACATGGTTCCGATCTGACTGAGGATTATACTTAAGTTCTGTTGAAAGTGATATAGCAAGTTAGGCATAATTAATTTTAGTCTTGCATGATTTCAAGCTTGTCAAACAAACTGGGATCCAACATTGCTTTAATCCCTCAGTATATTTAATACAGAACTTTAATTCTCTAAAGAGGGAGGTAACAACTGATTTTAGGAGGCGATTAGATTTCAAGTCTCCATATTTCCCCAGTGAAGACAGTGTAATGTTTGAATAAATATTCTCCCAAGTGCCTAGTATTGGAACTCATGTACTTACTCAATGCGGACCTGACTGGCAACGAGTAAAGCGAGGCACTCCAAACTCCCAACTTTAGCTGCCTTGTGAATTGGAGCTTCTCCAAGCCAGTCCTAAATGAATAATATTTGATTTGTTAAATAAAACAATCACTTTACTTTTGTAAACAATGAATAGTTGAGGTGAGTTACTAAATAAAGGGAGAGGGTGAAGGTGTATGATGTGAAATGCCAGAATCTTCATTGCATAATCTCTGCATGAGAATTAGCTGAACATAGCGTTGTTGTGAGTTTTCCCGGGATGTACGGCCATGTTCCAGAAGCATTATCTCCTGACGTTTCGCCCACATCTATGGCAGGCATCCTCAGAGGTTGCCTGACATAGATGCGGGCGAAATGTCAGGTGATAATGTTTCTGGAACATGGCCATATAGCCCAGAAAACACACAACAACCCAGTGATTCCATCCATGAAAGCTTTCACCAATACAAAGTAATTTGAGATTTTAAAATATAACCTGTTTCAGTTGGCCACCTTGATTAGCATTTAATTGCTCAGCAGTTTCAAGGTCTGGCTTCTTACTGGCTGGGGGATATATAAACCCAATTTTTTTCTAGTTTCCAACAGACCTCACAACCTCTGAGGATGCCTGTCATAGATGTGGGCAAAATGATAGGACAGAATCCTTCTGGAACATGGCCATACAGCCCAGAAAACTCACAACAACCCAGTGATTCCGGCCATGAAAGCCTTTGACAACACATAAGTGAACATAGACTGTAATTCTTTGGAGTGGCTTAATTTTAAAAAAGTATGTTTTAACTCATGCTTTCTCTCTCTACAATATATAGAAATATAGTCTTCTGTTGTTGTCTTCAGAAGAATACTACTTTAAATAAGCCATTACAACAAAGGTGCTTACAAATAATGTGGGTCTTATTACTTTCAATTTGATCTGTTCAGTATACCTTATTACAAAACTATTTTTCTCCGTATTGTCAAAGGCTTTCATGGCTGGAATCACTAGGTTCTTGTGGGTTTTTTCGGGCTATATGGCCATGTTCTAGAGGCATTTCTCCTGACGTTTTGCTTGCATCTATGGCAAGCATCCTCAGACCTCACTACCTCTGAGGATGCTTGCCATAGATGCAGGCGAAACGTCAGGAGAAATGCCTCTAGAACATGGCCCTATAGCCTGAAAAAAACCACAAGAACCTAGTATTTTTCTCCCATTGCAAATCTATATGAATAAAAATGTAATGTTCGTTTGTGGAATTAACATAACTCAAAAACCACTGACTGAAATAACATCAAAACGCCTACCAACCTAAGGAGTAATTATCACTCATAAACGCTTCCCAAAAAATAGCGGAAAGGACTTAAAAACCCAAAAAATCTAAATAATGATACAACAAATGCGTGGAAACGACAACTCCCAGCATCCACTAAACCAGGCCCTTTAGGGGAGGAGGATGCTCCAAATGCACTGCTTCCAAACTGCAAGCTTGCTTCTCCTTCGATTTCTTTGAGAGCATCCCAATCCATACATATTTCCTATTTCCTATTCCTGGACTGCAACTCCCAGCAATCCTCCAGATAGATAAGATAGATAGAGATGGATGGATGGCATCCTTGAAGTGACTGGACTGACCTTGAGGGAGCTGGGGGTGGTAACAGCCGACAGGGAGCTCTGGCGTGGGCTGGTCCATGAGGTCACGAAGAGTCGGAGACGACTGAACGAATGAACAACAACATTCCTCGACTGCAACTCCCAGCAATCCTCCAGACAGATAAGATATGTAGATTAGATAGAGATAGATAGTAGGTAGATAGATCAATGAGGAGGACTGCTAGAAGATGCAGAACAAGAATAGGTAGAGAAGGAAGAAAGGAGAGAAAGAAAGAAAGGGGAAAGAAGAGAAGGTAGAGAAGGTAGAGAAGGAAGGAAGGAAGGAAGGAAGGAAGGAAGGAAGGAAGGAAGGAAGGAGGGAGGGAGGGAGGAGGGAGGGAGGGAGGGAGGGAGAGAAGGAAAGAAAAAAGGGAAGGAAGTAGAGAAAGAAAGAAGGAGAGAATAAGGGAGGGAAGGTTGGCCACAGCAATACGTAGCAGTATAGCTAGTTGTAAATAAGAAGCTAAAATATTAGGTATTCAACAGTCATCACAGCCAGAGGTGGTAGTATACACTAAAACTTGCAATTGCCTCATTCATCATCCTACACAATGGCTACCCATTCCAGTGTTGCTATGAGAAGATGGGCTTGGTTGGAACCAAAGTGCTTGAGACATGGAAAACATACCTGTTGGTTCAAATTGGCTCCTGTCTGCTGTTGCCAAAGAAGAAAGAAAGCATGCCCTCCGTGAGCAGCCAGATGAGCAGGAGATTGGACAAAGGCATCGGGAGCAACGTTCACTTCTGTCCCCGACTCCAGAAGGTGGCTCACGCCAGCAGGCTGCAAAACAAATGAGTTTATTCCTGTAGTTAAAGAAGAATTCACATTCATACAAAAAAAAAAGTCAAGATTCTCATAAATAATAGTTGGAGATCTTCATGAAAATGAAATGAAAGCAGTCTGCAAGAATGTGCCAAAAATGTGCTGGAATCTGCAACATCTGGAATTCTTCTTAAGGCAATGGTAATGTGTACCTTACTTATGACTTACCTCTGCATTGTAGTCAAACAGGAGCATCCTTTTTTCCCCACTTTCAGCAAAAATGTGGTAGGACTGATTTTCAGCACAGGTTCTTCTAGGGCTTCTAATGCACAGAAGCTGTGCTTTGGCTGCAATCCCGCCTTCTCTGCTGGGAGCTGGCTTCTGCACGTACACAAACAAGAGCACATGCAACTCAACCCACCTCGCTCGGTGCTCATTGGCTGCCTCTGTCACTTTCAGCAAACATCCTGTGCTTGCTATGCTTAGGAGACGGAAAGGCTTAGAGCTGATGGGGCGGCCATGGAGCACAGTGCAGGGTGACACGTACCGCACACCCTCAGAGTCACCCCCAGTTTGCCCTTTGACTCCTCCCTTTGCAGCAGCCAAGGGAGGAAGGAAGACAACAAAAACAACCTTCCTGAAATAGGCACTGACACTTCCTTCTGAGGTGGCTCATGAGACACATTCCTTTACCCACAACAACAAATGACTGCTTCCTACACTATCAAAGTGGCTGATAAATGAGACGGATAAGAGATGTGAACAAGACTCAAAGCCATAAACCCACAAACCAAATAGATAACACAACAACTAGAGATCACAGGAGCACTCTTAAAAAGAAATATAGTTTATGTCCTAGGACAGGGGTCCTCAAACTTTATTATTATTGGGTTGTTGTAGGTTTTTCCGGGCTATATGGCTATGTTCTGGAGGCAATTTTTCTCCTGACGTTTCGCCTGCATCTATGGCAAGCATCCTCAGAGGTAGTGAGGTCTGTTGGAAGTAGGAAAAATGGGTTTATATATCTGTGGAATGACCAGGGTGAGACAAAGGACTTTATTATTATTATTATTTATTATTATTTTATTTATTTATTCAAGTAGACATACATTTACAAGTGTTTGTTGCATACAGTGAAATACTTTCTATCTATTAATATTCCATAATCATTTATCTGATAATATATTTCCTTCAAGGGGTCACCGTCTACTATCTAAATAATACATATAAAAATATCTTGGTTTTTACTTAAATAGCTTGTCATCTGTCCAATAGATGATTTCCACTCCGGTGGGAAACTTCCAATCAACACTATGTCCACATGTTTATTGCACATATGATGGGGGAAGAGTTGTGTATCATTCATCTGGGATGTGCAAATGGGTTCGTATGGGGACAGAACCCTGGAGTTGGTACACCTTTGGTTTCACCCATGGTTTTCATATCCTTAAGTAATACAGATCTGAGTGATAAAAGTGCTTCAGGTACTTTATCCAAAGGCCTTAGAACCACCCTTGATGGTAGATGAGTGTTATTTATGTATAGTGTTATCTCCACACAACATAGAGAGGAATCAGAAATAATGGCTTGTTGGAGTCTTCCTAGCCAGTTCATGGCTGAGGGCCAAACAAAATGTGACAGATATTTGTAAACAGGATTTCAGCATTGTGGAAGGCGGAGAATATCCTCCTGTTATTTTCCTGAGTTTGACTGCTCTCTCCTGAAGTTGTTGTGTGCCCCCAGGAGAGGAAACAAATTTTGTTTTGCAGTAACATGGAAGGAAAGGCTTACTAAAAGCAATTGCAGCTAATATTTGCTAGGCAAATGATATCTCTTCACCTTAAGCCAACAGCCATTGCTTACGGTTACAAAACACACTGAAACTTTCTATACTTAAACTGATGGAAGAGACCAGTTGATGTATTTACATAAGAAAGTAGTAGATCTGGAAAAACGTTTCCCACATCTATACACATAATAAAAGCGAAAATATGTATGTGTGTGTGCCTGGGGTGTCCACTTACACAGACAAGGTCCTTCCTCCACAAACAGCTGTAGCTCCCACTACTCAGGAGACATCAAAGGCACTCCCTCCAATGAACTGCAGGTAATAGTGAGTGCCAAGAACATGTACAAAAGCCCTGCCAATGTCCTTCACAAACACAATACTGCCAACCATCCAAGTAAAGTCTTTCAATGGGGACAATTCCGTCCTAGATTTCCTCCATCACAAATATCACAGTGTTTCTTACTCTCTCCATTAGTGTGGAATTTGCATGAACCCGCCCACTGCCTCTCCCTATACACTTTCCTATTCTTTTCCATGGAACACAGCAAACAGAAGAATTGATCAGCAACTGAACATACTAGAGAGGTTTGGGGAGAATTCACCATAACTTATAGGAGTTGTAGGTACTGGGATGTATAGTTCACCTGCAAACTAAAAACACTCTGTACTCCTCCAACAATGAACCTGGAACTAACTTGGCACACAGAACCCTCATGATCAACAAAAGTACTGGAGATCTTTGAATGGATTTATAGGAGTTGTAGTCCACCTACATCCAGAGCGCACTGCGACCCCAAACAGTGATGGATCTGGACCAAACTTTGCATGCATACCCAATATGCTCAAATTTTAATACTGGTGGGTTTTGAGGGGAATTAGCCTGGACATTTTGAAGCTGTGGGTACTGTGATTTATAGTTCACCAGCAATCAGTGAGCACTATGAACTCCACCAAAGATGGAATTGGACCAAACTTGGCACACAGAGCCCTCATGGCCAGCAAAAAAATACTGGAAATCTTTGGGGGAAATTCACCTTGATTTGGGGGAGTTGTAGTTCACCTACATCCAGAGACACTGTGACCTTCACTGATGATGGACCTGGACCAAACTTGGCACACCCTAACCCTAACACCAATGGATCTGGACCAAACTAGGCTCACATACCTGATATGTTGAAATTTGATTACTGGAGGGGTTGGGGGGACTGACCTTCCTTTCTGGGAGTTGTAGTTCACCCACAACCAGAGACACTGTGACCTCCACCGATGATGGACCTGGACCAAACCTGGCACACAGAACCCCCAGGACTAATTCAACCTACTGGAGGGTTTCGAGGGGACTGACTCACCATAGTGGGAGTTGTAGTTTATCCTACAGCCAGAGAGCACACTGAACCCCACCGATTATGCATCTTCTAGAGCAGTGGTTCTCAACCTGGGGCTCCCAGATGTTTTTGGCCTTCAACTCCCTGAAATCCTAACAGCTGGTAAACTGGCTGGGATTTCTGGGAGTTGTAGGCCAAAACACCTGGGGACCCACAGGTTGAGAACCACTGTTCTAGAGCAATCCGGCCCAACATAAGACTTAAAGTGCTGGTAGTTTCTTGGACTTAATCTGGCATGATGTCTGTTGTAGTTAATCCACAACCTTATGCATTTTGGACAATTGACTTTTTCAAATAACTCCAGCAATGCTGGGTACCCAAGCTAGTACTACATAAATCAAAAGGAAAGCACATACCTAGGGGGGATTGCTTCATCCGTTCTACACATGTTCAGAGCTGCAGATAGTTTAGTCTGTTGCCAAAAGATACTTTTGGATTCTGCCTAATTCATCTCAAGTGTCGGCTCAAGGTTATACAAATTTGTGTCATGCTAAACTGTTTCAGTTTTTAAATTGCTAAAAGATTCTCTCATGATCCCACCTTTCAAACGTTTGCATTCCACATAATTACTCTAAAGTTTAGCTCCCTTTCCACTGCTTCTGGCCCTTGTGTGAAAGGAAAGACATGTTAAGAGAAGGAAATGTGCATTTCTCATATTACACAATATGAAAGAGGATGTACGTACAACTCACTCTTCCTCATGGTTTGTATGGAATATACACAGAAGTCCTTTGTTTCCAAACATTTTCCATCAGCTGCTTTTCTACCCTTCATGTTCCTTGATTCGTGTTTGGGCAATGCTGTGTTTGGTGGTCCCTATGCAGACCTATCCACAGCTGCATGATATGCAATAGACTCCTGCAGAGGTGAGAGGAGCCCTCTTGTCCTTTGCTGAACATAGCATTTGTTGGATTTTCTTAGTGGGTCTGTAGATAGAACTACTGGCCGCATAGGGAAGCTGATGAGAAAACACAATATACAAACTATCTACAGACCCGCTAAGAGAATCCAGCAAATGCTACGTTCAGCAAAGAACAAGAGGGATCCTCTCACCTCTGCAGGAGTCTACCAGATACCATGCAGCTGTGAACAAGTCTACATAGGGACCACCAAACACAGCATTGCCCAAATATGAATCATGATTGATTAGTGGTATAAATCTCATCCCATGGAATAAAATGTCATCGTGAAACAATGTCCCTTATATAAAGTGGCAAAATAAAGATTTGCCTTTTGGATTAAAAAAAAATAGCATAAAATACTTGGCATTATTTATTTATTTATTTACTCCTTTTGTATACCGCAAATATCAGCCAACGGCGACTCTAAGCGGTTTACAGTAAAATGTGCAACATTGAACAATATATGTGACAAACAACTACAAACAATACACATAACGTCATCACGCCTCGAATAGAATCAGATCCAAATCTCACAGCATTGCACCGGTGTTCTTGTGTGGGGACTGTTGCCGGCCTGCTTCCTCCTTTCTCCAGCTCTCAGAGGACCTACCTCACAATGTCTCCATGACAACACTCTGAAAAGGATAGGCAGAGTGGCTCTTACATTCTTTCCATCATCCATCTCCCTCTCGTCTTCTCTTTCCTTTCTCTTCCCTCCTTTTTCTCTTCTTTCTCCTCTTTCTTTCTCTTCCCCTCTATTTCTTTCCCTCCCCTCATACATACCTTTTCACTTTCTTTTCTCATTCTCCATTCCTTTTCACCTCTTTCTTCCTCCCTTCCTATTCCTTTACTTTCTTTACCCCTTTCCCTTTCCTTTCCTTTCCCTTCTCCTCATATACATGACATCAGAGGGCCACTTCACCTATCCACAGCCTTTGTGGTTGAAACAGACAAACCTAAATACATACTTGGACTTTTATTTAGATTTTCAAGCCATGGTTGGTTGAATTCATGGAGGCAGAGTCTGTTGAGAATCAGGAGCTGCTAGGCTCAAAATAACATTATATTGTATATACAATACAATATATTATATTATTGTATATACTCGAGTATAAGCCGACCCGAATATAAGCTGAAGCACCTAATTTTACCACAAAAAAACTGAGAAAACAGATTGACTTGAATATATGCCGAGAGTGGGAAATGCAGCAGCTGCTGGTAAATTGCAAAATAAAAATAGATACCAATTAAATTACATTAATTGAGGAATCAGTGGGTTATATATTTTTGAATATTTACAAAAATTGTAGTTTAAGATAAGACTGTCCAACTCTGATCAAATGTAATGTAATGTAAATGTGCTTACATATCCTTCCAATAACAATAAAGAGAGTAACATAATAAATGTAATAATAACAAAAATAAAGAGTAAAATAATGAATGTAGCAATAACAATTATACAGTAAAATAATAAATTATAATAGAGTAAAATGATAAATGTAATAATAATAAATAGAATAAAATAAATGAAATAATAATAATAATAATAATAATAATAATAATAATAAAGAGTAAAATAATAAAGAACCTTGACTTGAGTATAAGCTGAGGGGGACTTTTTCAGCCTAAAAAAGGGCTGAAAAACTAGGCTTATACTCGAGTATATACAGTATATTATATTATATTATGTTATATTATATTATATTATTAACATAGCACAGGAGACAAAGTGGAACTGTCTTCTGCCCCCCTCTCCCTTCACTCTGGCCCAGAGAGGCAGCTGGTGCTGGCCTTGCAGCTTCAAAGCTTGGCTGCTTCCTGGCTTTGAAGTTAGTTATTGCATAGTCAGATCCCTTTGCAGCCTTGTGGCCTGAGATGCAGGAGAAGAAAGAGAGAAGAAGCATCTCCCACCTATCAGAGCGGGGAAGTAGTTTGTGACGTCACTGAGGTCGCTGGCCCCGCCCCTTTTGCCGGCGCCAACCGTGGGATTCCATCACAATAGGCGCGTGCTTCCTTTGGGCGCGCGGGCATCCAGGTAGCAGCGCGCGCCGCTCAAAAGGCAGGACTGAGAGGCGTGGCCTTACTCTGGCGCGCGCGTTGCCAGGCAACAGCAGAGCTGCTTCTGGTCCCGCCTTGCCAGCAGGGAATAGAGTGAGTTCCCTCCTTCATCCTTTCCACTTTCTCTCTTTTTTTCCTTTCACAAGACTGAGTCACACCTGGGGTGACCTAGGATGCTTATATATATTTGAATTAAATGCAGTTTGACACCACTTTAGCTGCCAGGGCTTCAATGCTATGCAAACTTGGGAGTTGTAGTTTTTATACAAGGCCTTTCAGGCTTCTCTGTCCAGTAGTGCTGGTGACTCACCCAATTACAACTCCCAGGACTCCATAGACAGCAAAAGTGGTGTCAAACTGGATCAATTTTGCAGTGTAGACACAGCTTCTTTTGCATATATGGTAATAATAATATAATAAAACTTTATTTGTATACTACTCTATCTCCCTGATAGACTCAAGGCGGTTTCCAAATAAGATCACCAAAACATACAGAGTAAACAGTATGACATAAAATTAACAGAACAACATAAGCATAAAATTATCACAATAACACATATATATTAAAAAATAATCCTGCCTGTTCAGAGGAATTTCAAAAGCCGGGCCGAGGCTTGTGCAAACTCAAAAATATGAGGGGACCGGGAATTAAGTACAGTGCTATAACAGGCTAACGGCAATAGCAGGTACGGGTCTGTGGCTGCTCATTTCCAGGGCCTATTTAAGGGATGACCAGGGTAATAGGTAGGAAGTATAAGGCCATATTCAACAATGTTTGGGGCTGAGCTAGAACTGGTTATTCCCAAAGGCTTGTTGAAACCAACAGGTCTTCAAGCTGTTACAAAAGGAGGGGAGAGATGGGGCCTGTCTTATTTCCCTAGGAAGGGCATTCCACAGGCAGGGGGCCACCACCGAGAAGGCCCTCTCTCTCATCCCCACCAACCATACTTGTGACAGTGGTGGGAGCAAAAGGAGAGCCTTCCCAGAAGATCTTAGAGTAAACCTATGCATCACTGTGCTTTGCTCAGGAAAAAATAGTCTGAACTGATCTCACAACCTCTGAGGATGCCTGCCATAGGTGCAGGTGAAATGGCAGGAGTGAATGCTTCTGGAATGTGGGCATACAGCCTGGAAAGCTTACAACAACTCAGTGATTACTGCCATGAAAGTTTTTCACAATACATAGTCTGAACTGACATTATTATTCTAGGGCTTCAAGCTTTATACTAGGATCTAAACTCACAGAACAGGTGCAAAATGTCAATCATCATAATTGTTGTAGCACACAACAAATCTGACAAATATGTTAGTTTCCACTGCAAATGTATATCACCTCATATGGTGCCTCTACACCAGGAACGGGCAAATTTCGGCCCTCCAGGTGTTTTGAACTTCAACTCCCACAATTCCTAACATCCTACTAGCTGTTAGGAATTGTGGGAGTTGCAGTCCAAAACACTTGGAGGGTCGAAGTTTGCTCATGCCTGCTCTGTACTGTAGAATGAATGCAGTTTTACTCTGCTTTAATTGCCACTGTTCAATGAATGCTTTGGTAACCTGGGATTTCTAGTTTGGTGTGGCACCAACCTGATTGGGCAGAGAAGCCGAAAGACCTTGCAGAATGACAACCAACCGTATTTTGTACTATGGAGCCATGGCAGTGAAAGTGAAACCAAAGTGCATTCATTCTGCAGCGTAGATCAGACATGGGCAAACGTGTGCTCTCTAGGTATTTTGGATTTCAGCTCCCATCATTATTAACAGCCTGAGGCCCGGCTGAGGGGGAAAAGGAAAGTGCCTGAGGCTCTTAGGAATGGTGGGAGTTGAAGTCCAAAACACCTGGAGGTGTTTGCCCATGCCTGGTGTAGATGCACCCAGAGAGGATTGGTACAATTGGGGATGTAATGCATCAACACTCAAAGAGTGCATCGTCACTCTAATAGTGTTTCACAATCTTTGGGATCTTGGAAATGTTTTCTCATTTGAAAACTCTTCACTGGGTAATGTTGCCTTCAATAATTTTATGCTGTAACCCTTTCTATAGTAACTAAATGGTAATAATGGAGCTCGCAAACATTTCTTTCTGAGTCCCCTTCCACACAACTGTATAAAATCCACACTGAAGTGGATTATCTGGCAGTGTGAATTCAAATAATCCAGTTCCAGTGCTTCGATATTCTGGTTTATATGGCTGTCTGGAAGGGCCCTGTTTAACTCTGATTTTGTTCCTAGTTTTCCTAATACTACCTTTTATCTCTCACACAAAACAACCTTTAGAAACGGCTTAAGAGTGGACTAGAGGAAGTGTGCAGGAGACATTTAAACAGTATGTTCCTTATGAGTGACTCGTACTGTATTATTTACTCATGGAGGTAAGTGAGCAATATGAGATATTTCAGTATGAGATTCCCTCTTAAGAAGATGTGCTTGGTGTGTCCCCCCCATCCCAAACCCTAACTGAAGTATTGGGGAATTGCTCTGTGACTCTTGGGCTCCTTCTAACATCTGTATAAAATCTAGATTAGCTGCCTTGAACTGGATTTTCTAGCAGTGTAGACTCAGATATTCCAATACAAAACAGATAATGTGGATTATCTGCCTTGATATTTTGGATTATATGGCAGTTTGAAGAGCCCTTGCTATCTCTCAGACCCCTTCTTCACTGCCACCTAATCCAGATTTTCAAAGAAGATAATCTATTATCTTCTTTGAACCAGATTATATGAGTCTACATTGCCATATAATCCAGTTCAAAGCAGATACTCTGGATTATATGTGGCAGTGTAAAAGGATCCTTGTATAATCCAATTCAGAACATTTAATGTGGATTATCTGATTTGATAATCTGGATTATATGGCAGTGTAACAGTATCCTGGATACAATTTATTGCAGAAAGAAATAACTCTGAAGCAAGAAGTGAAGCTGACAAGTGAGCCTCTGCCGCAAGAAGAGAGCAGCGAGGCGATCCTTGAAATCATTTCACAGTTGAACAATTGTGACCTGGAAAGACTGAAATGGCTGAAGGACCCAGGTAAAGTAAATCAGTAATACACACTCTTCTTTTGCTGTTTTGGTGGAAGAAAAATAGACAAGATCACAGTATTTGTAAAACTTAGGAGAAACAGTGGAGCAAGTGGAGGGGCAAAGTTGGCCATGGGAAGTGTGCACAGGCCTTTTTTCTTCAATGTAATAGAATAATATATTGGATGCAGAGTATGTAGGTTTATTATTCCACATGTAGCTGGGGTTCCCAGAATAGCACTCATGGATTCAGTCATCATCTTAGTTTTCTGGCTCTCCCAATTTTTTTTAATTTTTAAATTTTGGAATGAAGTATTCAGCCCACAGCTGCATGCAGCCTTTAATCCAATGGTTCCCAACCTGTGGGTCATGGTCCACTGGATCTAAAATAAGGTCCATGGCTCTAGATTATTAAATATGGTTTTCTGTGGGTGAGCAGATGGCGACTACTGGATGGCATATGTTCTGTATCAGAAACTAGAGCTGATGTGGTCTATCCAATGCAATTTTCTGAATCAGCACCCCAAATAACCAAACCGAATCTAAAGTTGACCAAAAACTGATTCGTCTTAACCTTTTGGTACTAATGTTGGAGAGTGGTCCCTGGTCAAAGTGGTCCTTGATCAAAAAAAGGTTGGGAACCACTGCTTTAGTCTCTTTCCCCAAACAGATTTTAAAAAAAGAAAATGATGGGCAGTTGAATGGTATGCACTTCATCAGATTTAGAATGGAAAGGACCACAAGGGCCATCCAGTCCAATTCCCTGCCATGCACAATCAAAGCACCCCTGACGGATGGCCATCCAGCCACTGTTTTAAATCCTCCAGAGAAGAAGACTCCACCATGCTCTGAGGCAGTGTATTTCACTGACGAACAGCTCTCAGTATCAGGAAGTTCTTCCCAATGCTTAGGTGGAATCGCTTTACATGCAATTTGAATTCATTGCTCCACATCCTAGTCTCCAGAGCAGCAGAAAACAAGCTTAACTAGCAGTTTGTTGGTTAAACTGGTTAAATGTTAAATTTCTTTGAACAGGCAGGATTACTTTTAATATATGTGTGTTATGGCGACAATTTTTATGCTTATATTTTGTTTTGTTAATCTTATGGTTATGTTGTTTTTACTTTGCATGTTTTGTGATGTTACCTGGGAACCACTCTGAGTCCCCTCGGGGAGATGGAGCGGTATATAAATAAAGTTATTATTATTATTATTATTATTATTATTATTATTATTATTAACTGGCTGGAATTTCTGGGAGTTGTAGGTCAAAACATCTGGGAACCCACAGGTTGAGAACCACTGTCCTAGAGGCATTTGGAAGCAATACTGTCAGCCCTTTAAGGGACAGCTATTCTGGTTCTAATGATGAAAACCCTATTGATGCCATTCTCTGGCACAAAGAGGGGAAAACCCTCCTGATCCCTCATATCAAATAGTTTAAGATGCACTCTTATAGGTGATATGCCAAGTAGAAGAGACCAATCGAATGAATGTGATTTGCAATATGTCTGGTATTTGGATTTAGCCTTCTGTTGTTAAGACCATTGTAAAGTTTTATGACCAAACACTACTTTTTATAACTTTTAAAACAGAGACTTACAGTCATGAATATCTGCTCGCAAAGGCAGAGGAGCTGCTGGAAAAGCGGATCAGTGCTGGAGATTCTCTGTCATGTTTTCTCAAAGGGCAGCTGTATTTTGAAGAGGTGGGGCTATACCTTTTTTACAAAATAAAATTGAAATTGGGGGCTGCATGGTGAGCCAGGGTGGGGTGGGCAGGCTGGGAGGGAGGGAGGGGGTTCTCCCCAAGTCCCCTCTCTGCCCTTTCCTCCCCTTCCTCTTCTCTTTTGGAGGCAGGAAGTGAAGGAAACGTTTGGATTCCAAAAGGATTGGTCATGGTCAGGATGGGATGGTAGACAGGAGAGAAAACGTGTATCCATTAGACCCTGTCTTGCCTACTCTTGATATAGAATCCTAGAGTTGAAAGTCCCCCAAGGGCCATCCAGTCCAACCCCCTGCCATGCAGGAAGGCACAGTCAAGGCAAAATCAATAGACAGCCTCTGCGGAAAAGTTTCCAGAGAAGGAGACTCCATCACACTCCGAGGCAACCTATGCCACTCTCCAAGAAGTTCTTCCTAATCTTTTCAGTCGAATCTCTTTCCCTGCTATTTGAAACCACTGCTCCCTTGTGCCCTGGTCTCTATAGCAGCAGAAAGTCCGTTTTCCCCCTCCTCCTCAATGGGACATCCTTTGAAATCTTGAAACATTTTCCCATGTTCCTTCTGTACCTTCTCTTATCCGAGATAAACATCCCCCAGGAGGAAAGGAGGAAGGACAAAGAGAAGGAAGGAAGTGAAGGATGGATAGAAAGAAGAAAGGGTGGAAGGGAATGGAGGGAAGGAGGAAAGAGAGATGGAAGGAAAGACAAAAGGGATGGATGGAAGGAAGGAGAAAGAGAGAGGGAAGGAGGGAGGGAGGAAAGAAGAAAGGAGGAAAGGGTGGAAGGGAAGGATGGAAGGATGGAAGGGAAAGAGGGAGGAAAAAGAAGGAAGGAAGGAAGGAAGGAAGGAAGGAAGGAAGGAAGGAAGGAAGGAAGGATGGATGACAGGGTGGAAGGGAAGGAATAATAGAAGGAGAAATAGGAAGGGACAGAAGAAAAGAGGAAGGAAAGAGTGAAGGAAGAAGGATAGGATGGTGTGAGAGGAGGGCCTGAGAAAAAAGCCCAAGGGCCACATCCAGGCCTCAGGCCTGGCTTGGCCCATACCTGCTCTAAAGCATGGTCTGGCTTCCCAAACAAAAGATTGTCACTTCAGAAAGTTAAAACCTAGAGTTTGGAAATTCCTACATTACCATGGAAGCAGAGCATAAAAATGTTATTTCTTTCTAAAAGCTTGTTTCCTGTGTTGTTTTTATTTGTTTGTGGGAGCTAAGGAAACCCGACTTGTTAAATAGGAATGCAAGCAAACTTCCTTTTCCAAGCATTTTTGTCAAGATGGTTGCACTGTTTGGTTTTGAACCAATAGCCTATACCACTGCTGAGATTATCTTCATTTTTCAAGATGCACAGTGAGAGATTCAAAGATGGATTTTTGAATTATTTCCCACTTTAAAGTAGAGAGGTAGCCCCTGGTGGCACAGCAGGTTAAATTGCTGAGCTGCTGAACTTGCTGACTGAAAGGTTCGAATCCAGAGAGCAGGGTGAGCTCCCGCTGTTAGCTCCAGCTTCTTCCAACCTAGCAGTTCGAAAACATGCAATGTGAGTAGATCAATAGGTACTGCTCTGGGAAGGTAACACAGCTCCATGAGGCATCTACATACCATGTCGGTTCCTTGGGTGGCCCCCCCCCCCCCCCCCCGAGTCAGACACAACTAGACTTAATATCAAGAGGAAACCCTTACTTTACTTTTTAATGTAGAGATCTATATTTATTTTATATCAGCATTGCTTGCCCCTCTTGAAATGTGCAATAGTTAGTTTAAACTTCTCAGTATTTAAGTATTTACTTGTGCATTGTTCCCTATACAGGGATGGTATGAAGAAGCCTTCTTGCAATTTCAACAGAATACTGATTTTCAATCCAAGTACCAGTTAGGTGTAATGTATTACGATGGGTTGGGAACTCCACCAGACCCAGTAAGTTGAAACTAAAAAAAGTTTTTCTTTTTATTCATTTTTGCAATTATTTTCTTTGTTAAATATAAACAAATTTCATGCAAATAGAAATAATATCGAACAATAACATGTTATTACAAATCAGATATCCAAGCTTAAAATTGATTAAATTTGGAGTACATCCCTAGAAGCACAGTATTTCTGCAAAGCTACTTCATCGACTCCATAGCAAGCATGGGGAACACATGGCTTTCCCCATCTTGGACCAAATATCCCATCAGCCCTATCCACCAGGTTTATGGCCCTTATTGTTATTGAACTGTACCCAAACAGCCCCAGCATGACCAGCCATACAGACATACATTGTGCTGTGGATTGTTGAGGAATAAATTACCTATGCATGCCTCCCAAATCTCTGTACAAAATGTTCCACTCAGCGCACCTATTCTTTCTTTAGAGTACAGTTGGCCATCAGCAGCAGAGATTACAGCCATCCCTCCATATTTGCAGTTTTGACTTTTGAGGATTTGATAATTTGCTGAATATGCTTTCAAATGTTATATCTTAGGAATCACTAGGTCCTCCAGCATGATTCTGTGGTCAACTGCTTCATCAAACTAAAGGATCTAGGACCCTTCCACACAGCCCTTTATCCCAGAATATCAGGGCAGAAAATCCCACATTATCTGAGAGTGGACTCTGATAACCCAGTTCTAAGCAGATATTGTGGGATTTTCTGCCTAGATATCCCGGTATAGAGGGCTGTGTGGGAGGACCCCTAGAGATTTTGAGAGAGAAAACCTCTCTAGGGGCCCTTCTACACAGCCATATAACTCAGAAGGGGGCTAAGATATATAGGTCCTTCAATGATGTTCTGTATTCTGTTTTTAGAAGAAGTTGGTCATAGTGTTTTGCTGAAATCCAAAAGAGGTTTAAAAAATTGTACAGTATTTACTCAAATCAAATGCTCACCTTTTTTTTTACTAATGATCTTGCCCAAATTAAGATTTGCATTAGATTTGCATAATACAATAATTTTAGTGCTGAGTCAAAGCACTAAGCTGCTTCAGCAATTGCACCGAGCATAGGTATACCCCACTGTGAGAAGCTTTGGTGTTCTGAATGCTTGCCATAGATGCAGGCGAAACATCAAGAGAAAATCCCTCTAGAACATGGCCATATAGCCTGAAAAAACCTACAACAACCCATTCTAAGGATTTCTGCATTTGATTTATTAAAATATTTCCATCCAAACCCAAGTAACGAAGGTGGAGGCATTACTTTTCATTCAACCCTTGTGTGTGTGTGTGTGTGTGTGTGTTGCTTTGATTTTATGATTTTGATTTTTGATTATGGAATTCCACATCAATACCAAATGAAATCAATTTTCCCTTAAAGCCACTAGATGGCAATATTTTGTTCTTTGAACACATGAGAAGTTGTTTTTCCTATCCAAAGGAACAAAGCTTGAAATATGTTATGGCAGCATAAGGAAATATAACAAAATCCAAAAGCTACTGCAGTGCTATTGGGCCAACCACAAGTTGCACAATGTATTATACTAGTTTCTGAAACACACTGACTTCTTCATTAGGCACAGATGTTAAATTATAGAGAAAAAGAAAAGTGACTGTCAGAATCACAAACCTATGTCTCAGTTGCTTCAGTTGGAAAGGTGATCTTAAGGGGGGGGGGTCTTCTCCTACATGATTTTAATATATTTTTTCCTATGAAGAAGCTGGTGTGCTTCATTAGCTGGAATGATGTATTTTGTATTCCTTGATTCGTATCAATGCGTATTTTGGAAATAATATGTAACTTTTTATTTGTAACAAAAGTATAATTATGTCAGAGTTTGAGCAATATGTCCTCAAATGCGGCCGGGTTGCTAACTGGAGCTCCTTACAGGGAGCGGTCAACCCTCCTGTTTAAGGAGCTCCATTGGCTGCCGTTCATTTACCGGACCCAATTTAAGGTGCAGGTGCTTACCTACAAAGCCCTAAACGGTTTGGGACCTGCGTGACCGCATCTCTGTGTACGAACCTACATGATCTCTTCGATCATCTGGAGAGGCCCTGCTCACACTCCCACCACCATCGCAAGCACGATTGGTGGGGACGAGGGAGAGGGCCTTCTCGGTGGTGGCCCCTCGACTCTGGAACTCACTCCCCAAGGATATTAGACAAGCCCCAACTCTGGCAGTCTTTAGGAGGAGCCTGAAAACGTGGCTGTTTCAGTGTGCCTTCCCAGAATAAGGAAACTCCCAGCAATATGTCCTCAAAGGCACTTTAATAATGATTTTGGATTGTCTGCACATTTCTTCCCTCTTCAAAACCTTTATTCCAATTACATGGTACCTGTTCATGCCCAGCATTATTTTTTAAATTTTTAATTATTGCATTTGGCCCAGCCATTGGTTTTTAAATGCGTCGTGTTATTGTTATTGTTTTTGCTTATTTTGCTATGAGTTTTGTATTGTTTTTGTATTATTGCTGTTATTGTTATTGTTGTGTTGTGGGCTTGGCTTCATGTAAGCCTCACCGAGTCCCTTGGGAGATGGTAGCGGGGTACAAATAAAGCATTATTATTATTATTATTATTATTATTATTATTATCATTTAAGAATTTGTAATATTTCTGTTTTGGGACAGGGTTAATAGTACTTTTATGTTGTTTTGAGTAATTCGCTTACTACTCCTGCGCTGTTGTTTTTAAAACCTGAAAAAGCAAAGGGTGACGTAACGAGATTTTTTAAATCGTGTCAGAAGCGACTTGAGAAACTGCAAGTCACTTCTGGTGTGAGAGAATTGGCTGTCTGCAGAGACATTGCTCAGGGGACGCCCAGATGTGTTGTAGGTTTTTTGGGCTACGTATATGGACATGTTCTCTCCTGACATTTCACCTGCATCCTCAGAGGTTGTGAGGTCAGACCTCACAAGCTCTGAGGATGCCTGCCATAGATGCAGGCAAAACGTCAGGAGAGAATCCTTCTAGAACATGGGCATACAGACCTACAAAGACCTACAACAACCCAAAGATACAATATACAACTATATTCAGGCTATATGTATAAGGTGTACATGGAACATAAATGCATTTTATGTTCAGACCTGGATCCCACTTCCAAAATATCTCATTATGTACATGTATGCATGTAAAAAATGTTCCGAAACCTGAAAAGATCAAAATTCAAAACATTTCTGGTCCTGAAAGATACTCAACCTGTGGCACTAATAAAAACACCACTAGCCTGAAGTGGTATGGTTCAGAACTCTTAGGAATAATAGGATATGATCTTATTCTGTTGTAAGTTATGGTTGGGTCGTCTAGAAAGTTCGCTGTGATGTTGTGCAGTCAAGGAGACCCCGTGAATGAGAGTCCTTCAAGCCACTCTTTCATCAACAGCCTTGCTCAGGTCTCACAGACTGAAGGCCATGGCTTCTTTGATTGGCTTTTATTGAAGTTTGGGTCTGGGAAGCGGCAACTTGAAAGAAGACAAGTTTTCTCATACATTCCTGCAGAGGAAGAGGATGGTGGCTAGCAGGCAACTCCTTCTCTCTGAGGCCCCTTCTACACTGCCATATAAAATTCAAATTATCTTATTTGAAGTGGATTATATGGATTATTTGCTTTGATAATCTGGATTATAGACAGTCTAGAAGGGGCCTGTCTTGATGTTCATAGCAGCAGCCTCATGAGTACCCATGTAATGTTCCTTGTCCCCACTAGAAAAAAGGAGTGGAATACATGGAGGAGATTATCAAATCTACTAACCCTAAAGCAAGGCATTTGAAGTTTGCCGCTGCATTCAACCTTGGGAGAGCTTACTATGAAGGATATGGAACTGAAATTTCTGAACAAGACGCCGAAAGGTAACATCTTTAAAAAAATGTTCTATTGAATTTTGAATACAATATTAGATTTAGAGCATCTCTCTTTTTCCATCTTTCACACATAAACACACATGTGCTTCAGCTGTTGCTTGTTTTTCATCCTGCCCAAGGCTGTGATCTTAGCAGGAATGGCAAAAGTTACACACACACACACACACACAATGGGGCAGAAGGTGAGGCCTTGCCTTGCTCAGATTCCTACTTTGTCTCAGTTGCTCTGCTTCCACATTGACACAACTGCACTTCAGAAGCTGCTACATAGGTACGTTCTAATATGAAAATACTACCCTTTTGCTTTCCTGCATTTCACAGGTTATGGTATCTAGCTGCAGACCATGGGAATCCAAAAGCAAGTTTTAAGGCTCAAACTGCTCTTGGAATGTTATATTCAGCAAGGCATCCGAAGGACCTTAAAAAGGTAGTGGCATGAAGGGACATCTTTGCATTAAGTTATTATACATTTTGGATTCAATGTTACGTATATTCAGTGTGGTCCAATTGAAAAAGTGGTGGGATTTTAGAGATAACTGAAATTAAGGGGAACAAGCATAATTAATTTAAGCTTAACGTGGGATGCGTCCCCTTGGGCTCTTTTCTCAAACCCTCCTCGCTCACACCATTCTATCCTTCTCTCTTTTCTTCCTCCTTCCATCCCTCTTTCTCCTTCACTTCCACCTTTTTGTCCTTCCTTCCTTCCCTTCCTCCCTTACCTCCCTCCCCCTTGCCTCCCTCTTTCTCCTTCCTCCTTCCCTTCCCTTTTTTCTCTTTCCTTCTCCCTTTTCCTTCTCCTTCCTTCCCTTCTTCCTTCTTCCTTCCTTCCTTCCTTCCTTCCTTCCTTCCTTCCTTCCTTCCTTCCTTCCTTCCTTTTGTCTTTCCTTCCTTCTCTCTTTCCTCTCTCCCTCCCATCCTTCTTAGCCATTCCCTTCCCTCTTTCATCCCTCCCTCTCTCCCTCCCTTCCTCTCTCCCTCTCTTTTGTCTATACTGATAATCTGCCAGATAACCTGGGATAAAAGGGCAGTGTGGAAGGGCCCTCAGTAAGCAATATGGAATTTGGCACATTAGAGTTGATGCTTGGGCACAACACTAGCACTTTCAATAAAAGCACAAGATTCTAGGATCAGTTTTTTTTTCCCTGAAAGCACATAAAATATTAACAAAGCATTATATCTCATGAGAATTCTGCATGTATACGTGTGAAGTCTCGGTCTAGCATTTCCCTGTTTGCCTGTTGGACTGTTCCAGTTTGCCAAGTTTAGAGTAGGAGCTTAGGCTCCCCCTATAGGCCGAGCTCTTTGGTTCAGCCCATTCTGGCTCAGAGATTGGCAGAAAGACTTTTTGGCTCCATTACTTTTGATCATAGTTTATAGATAGTTGCCAGAAAAGTGTCTGGTCTGGCTTGCAGTCCGTACAGGCCATCCTTATCACGTATTTGCCAAAGCTTATAGATAGATAGTTATAGATAGATAGTTCATAGATAATATATATTTGCTTTAGAGTATTTGTAATAAAGAATAGATAATATTTGCCAAAGTTTATAGATTTTAGAGTAGTTATATTTACCTCATAGAATAGTTATAGTCATACATTCCCCGTAGTTTATAGTTATATTTACCTCATAGAAATTATAGTAGTTTGTTACCTCAGAGTTTATATTTCACTGTTCTAACACCATCATAATCAAACTGTACTTTTATACCTTGACTATTTAGTAAACAATTGTTGATTAATTTAATCTTGTTTGTAGAGTTTTATTTTGGGGGAATTATAGTAATTAGGGCATACCGATGGTCACTGGGAAAATAGCCAGACACATTTAGTTTTCTCCTTAATCTTCCCGGTGTGCCATCATAATACTCATCAAGCATTTGCTATGTAGATAATCATTTGTTGACGTTTCAAATTAGTTGACTTAAGTGCCATGTCATGGTCGTTGTATTTTGGTGATCAAAGATCTGGTGATCTTCTTCCTGACAGGTGAGGTCATTCCTGATCTGCTGATTCATCAGTATAGCCTTCAAAATATATTGCCAAACTCTTACAAAAAGAAAAAAAGACAAAGAAAAGTGGGGGGAACAAACATGTTTTCTCTCCCGAATTGAGCTCTGGTGACCTGTTTTCTCCCCCACAGGCTTTCTTTTGGCATTCAGAAGCTTGTGGCAATGGAAGTCTGGAATCTCAAGGCATTCTTGGGCTCATGTATTTGTATGGACATGGTGTACCTCATAATTTAAAGGCTGCTCTCGAATGTCTAAATCAAGCATCGGATCGTGGAAATGTCTATGTTAAAGGACATTTGGTGGAATATTACTACAAAAGAAAATTTTATTCAAAAACGGTTAAATTTGCCAAAAGGTGAATTATTTCAGCTAGTAATTTATGGTACTCTTTTTTTCTTGGCTTTTCCTAATTAGATGTTTACGCCTTGTTAAAAAGCCTGCTACTGAACTTGGGCAAAAAATACATTCATCACTCTCCTGAATATGGACATTAAACAAATTTGTTTGGGTATGGTAAATTAGTAGCACAACTAGTATAAATAAGCCCAACGTTTAGCACTGAAGCTGGACGTGAAAGGCACAAGAATTAACTCTTGGGCCTATAAATCATTGTTGAACTAATTTGAACTGTTCACACCACTCCAAGTGGTGCTCTGGAGCTTCAGGGAAGTTCTGGGACATTCCCAAACTTGGTGGACTAAAATACATCTTATATACACCCTGCCTTGTTGTTGAATTTCTACCTTCATTAATCTGCTGTATACCATCTCAACTCCAATAATTTTAGTCGAATTTTAAGAGTTTTTAAGGTTTTAATATGTTAAATGTGTGGAATATATTATGTCTAGTTTATTTAAGCTGCTTTTTTGATTTGTTACATGTTATCCTTGCCACTGAATGTTTGCCACTGTGTTTTATTTTGTTGTAAGTCACCCCGAGTCCCCTCGGGGAGATAGGACAGGCTATAAATAAAGCATCATCATTATTATTATGGGGCCCCTGGTGGCACAGCGGGTTAAACTACTGAGCTGCTGAACCTGCTGACTGAAAGGTTGGCGATTCAAATCCGGGGAGCAGGGTGGGCTTCCGGTGTTAGCTCCAGCTTCTGCCAACCTAGCAGTTCAAAAACATACAATGGGTACTGCCTTGCCAAGAAGGTAACGGCACTCCATACAGTCATGCTGGCCACATTACCATGGAGGTGTCTACAGACAATACCAGTTCTTCGGCTTAGAAATTGAGATGAGCACCATCCCCCAGAGTCGGACACAATTAGACTTAATGTCAAGGGAAACCTTTACCTTTACTACTACTACTACTACTACTACTACTACTACTACTACTGTTGCTACTTRTTRYTAYTRTTRYTATTMTTATTATTATTATTATTATTATTATTTTACTGGCACAAAAACAGTGTGACACAGAAATGAGATCTATATGCTGAATTTCTTATCACAAAATCACAAGTTGAACACTTCCCAAGCATTTAGAACGGTGTGATGTATTATTATTATTATTATTATTATTATTATTATTATTATTATTATTATTTCCCAACATGGCACAAAATGCACTAACCGGCTTTACCTCACATTGGGGTACTGCCTTGCCGAGAAGGTAACGGCTAGACTTAATGTCAAGGGAAACCTTTACCTTTACTTCTTCTTCTTCTTCTTCTTCTTCTTCTTCTTATTATTMTTMTTMTTATTATTATTATTATTATTTTGCTGGCACAAAAACACAGTATGACACAAAAACAAGACCTATATGCTGGATTTCATATCACAAAATCACAAGTTGAACACTTCCCAGGCATTTAGGACAGTGTGGTGTATTATTATTATTATTATTATTATTTCCCACAAAATGCATTAACAGGCTTTACCCCCACATTGCGGGTGAGAAGACCCTGTGCATCATATGGATGCCATGGATAATTTTGGGGTATATGGCCTATATAGACAGCCCCCTAAAAAACTATGATAAATGTTCCTTAAGTTTATCATAAGTTAGAAACTATTTGAAGGCACACAACAGCTTGTCTCAGTGGAAGGAAATAATGGGTCATTGCATGATTGGTTAGTACTTAATGATATTTCCAAATTTTCCAAGTATTCAGGTGCAGATATCTTTATAGTCACCAATTAGCAATTACTGTTACTTGAATGTGACATTAACTTTTACTAAATGTTCCAGGGTTATATGATGTAGCTATGCAAAAACCTTATTGCTCAGGTAGTGAGACTGTTACCTATTGACATGGCATTTTTGCACAGAATTGGATTCTGACCATAGAATTTCCCAACATTTTTCATCCTACTGTGCAAAATTGTGGCTTCTAGTTGCCAATATTTTACCTTCTGTTTTGAATCCTAACAGTACCACAGAAAATGATGACATTGAAAAGATAGCCAAGGAAACAGACTGCGTTCCCTTTTACATCGCCAAAGGGCTGGCAATGGCTTCCTTTTACTTGGCTAGGTGTTATCATCTTGGTCTAGGAACACAACCAGATAAAGCAACAGCTGACAAATATTATTCTAAGGTAAAGCAACAGCTGACAAATATTCTAATTAATTAATGGAAACGCAATAGTAAAATAAAAGGAGAATGCTTGTAATCCCAATATTAGAATTAATACCATTAATGGAGCCCCCGGTGGCGCAGTGGCTTAAACCCCTGTGCCGGCAGGACTGAAGACCGACAGGTCGCAGGTTCAAATCTGGGGAGAGGCGGATGAGCTCCCTCTATCAGCTCCAGCTCCTCATGCAGGGACATGAGAGAAGCCTCCCACAAGGATGATAAAAACATCAAATCATCCAGGCGTCCCCTGGGCAACGTCCTTGCAGATGGCCAATTCTCTCACACCAGAAGCGACTTGCTCCTGACATGACAAAAAAATAATACCATTAATAATAACAACCCCAAGTTATAGATTTCCTTGTGAATAATCAAAAGAGAGTAATTCTGGGAGAAAGGGCAACACATAAGGCAGTGGGATCAAATGCTGCTGGTGGTTTTTCTGATAATAATTACTATTATTATTATTATTATTATTTATACACAGCCCTGTGTCCCCGAGGGGACTCAGGATGGCTGAGTTATGAAATAAATTTAGGTATGAAAAATAAATTTTGAATTATCTGGAAACTATTACTTGGATGCCTCAGGAATTATTGCATTCCAGTGTTATGTGTATGGAAATTAATGCAAACCATTACATGCTACTAAAATATAACATAGTTGAAACAATTTTAAACAAATTATGGGCAACAAATTAATTTTTAGAACAAATTATTTCCAAGCCTTAGCTGTTGGTTTGCTTATACCAGTTATAGTTAACTAGACTGGTATCTGTTAACACAAAATGGAAAGGTGCCATTAATAAAAAATGGAAGTCAAAGCTTCTCAAATCCTCATGGATATGCTCTAAAATAAGTGGGGATTTGTTCGAGTAGATGGGGAGGCTAGGCTTGCTCTTGAAATGCTAAAATATAGTCTAGCATTGGATCTGACCCAGCTCACTCTTGACTTATCTGCTTTAAATTTTCAGTAGACATTAGCTTATAATAAGCTAGAGTTGCCCATGTAGCACCAGAAAATAACAGCTAAGCTTTTTGTGCATTTTATATAGTGTACAATTTTTCATATATATATTCATATACACACACCATATATACTTGTGTATAAGCTGAGTTTTTCAGCCCTTTTTTTAAGCTGAAAAAGTCCCCATTGGCTTATACTCGAGTCAAGTTTATTTATTATTTTACTCTGTAATTATTTTTATTACATTGATTATTTTACTCTATTTATTATTATTACATTGATTATTTTGCTCTATTTATTATTATTACATTGATTATTTTACTCTATTATTATTATTACATTTATTATTTTCCTCTATTATTATTGGAAGGATACATAAGCACATTTACATTGAAGATGGTTTGAATAAGTTTAATCAGAGTTGGACAGTCTTATCTTAAATTAGTTTTATGTAAATATTCTGAAACATTTAACCTACTGATGTCTCAATTTAAGTAATTTTATTGGTATCTACTTTTATTTTGAAATTTACCAGTAGCTGCTGCATTCCCCACCCTTGGCTTATACTCTCGTCCATTAAGTTTTCCCAGTTTTTTGTGGTAAAATTAGGTGGCTTATATTCAGGTAGGCTTACACTCGAGTATATATGGTATATATTTTAGGAACTGTTGGTTTCAGTGTTCCATCACAAATAAGAGGCTTGTAATTTTTCACTATAAGAAATGTTAATTCAAGGAAATCACAGTTAAAGATGACTTTTAAATAAGATGTACTTGATAAATTGTGTTTAAACAAAACCAGAAGAATTATAAGTTGCTTACCTGTAACTGTAGTTTCCTGAGTAGTCACCTGTGAATTCATACATGTGGTATTTGCGCTTGCGCAATACAGCTTTTCGGAACCTTCTAGAAATAAAAGTAACAATTAACCCCGGCTAGACCCGCCCACCCTTCCCCCGAGTACAAGTAGCCCGTGGGCGGGGCTAGCCAACAGTTCTCTTCCACCGCAAAGCAGTCAGAAGGCGTGGCATGAACTCGAGGGGAGGATGGGCGGGTATGTATGAATTCACAGGTGACTACTCAGGAAACTACAGTTACAGGTAAGCAACTTATAATTTCCTGTCGTAGTCACTGTGAATCATACATGTGGTAGATTAGCGAGCTATAGTAACAAAACGGATGGCGGGGTTCATGCTACCGCCGAAAAAAGAACCGCTCGTCCAAATTGAGCGTCCCGTGCAGAGGTGACATCTAATTTATAGTGTCCTACAAAGGAAAGGGGAGATGTCCAAATCGCAGCCCTGCACACTTCTTCCAACGAGATGCCCTTCCAATGCGCGGTTGATGTGGATACCGCCCTTGTGGAATGTCCTCTGACCGGAAGGGGTAACTCCTTGCCCACCATTTTGTAGCAAAGTTGTATGGTGGAGACAATCCAGGAAGATAGTCTCTGCGATGAGACTGGCAAGCCCAGCACATCCGGTCGGTATTTTACAAACAACCTAGGAGATTTCCTAAGAGGTGTTGTCCTGTCCACATAAAAAGCTAAAGCTCTGCGGACATCAAGGAGGTGTAACCCTTTCTCCAACGGGGTAGTTGGGTTCTGGAAAAAGGCCGGCAGGATCAGTTCCTGGGATGAATGAAACCTGGAGGCCACTTTAGGCAGAAAGGTTATATCGGTGCGTAGTACCACCTTATCTCTATGGAATCTGATATATGGGGGGTCGGCACGTAGTGCGCACAGTTCACTGGCCCGCCGTGCCGATGTAACCGCTAATAAAAAGGCTGTTTTCCATGAAAGGTAAGGGAGGCTAACTCCCACCAGGGGTTCAAAGGGAGGTTTCATCAATGCATTTAGAACTATTTCCAGGCTCCAGCCCGGGATTATCGGGGCCGCTGTGGGTCTAGTGTTTAACACGCCCCTGAGAAACGTTTTGACCCAAGGGTCTGAGAAACATGAGGGGAGGCCGTGTTTCCTGCGGAACCAAGAGATTGCCGCTAGGTAGCATTTTATGGAGGAATATGAGAGGCCCGCCTCTAGGAGGTGGACCAAGAAATCTAGAATTAGGGGTATCGATGCGGCAACGGGGTCTACGTTTCGGGACTTGGTATATGACACAAATCGGGACCATTTATAAAGGTAAGAGCGTTTAGTGGATGACCTATGGGCTGCCTCGATGATATCAAGCACAGATTGTGGTAAGTTTGAAGTTGAAACTAAACCATCGGCAGAATTCTCCAGGCGGTAAGTTTCAGTTTGTGGACCTCCGGATAGAATACTTGATCCTGCTGGGAGGTGAGCAGGTCCGCTCTGGGTGGCAGCCGTACGAATCTCCCTTGGGCTAGTTGTTGGAGGGGGGCGAACCACGGTTGCCTCGGCCACCAGGGAGTTATCAGGATGCACTGGGCCCTGTCTTCTAGGATCTTGGCTATTACCCTCAGAAGGAGTGGGAAGGGTGGGAATGCGTACGTTCTGTGGTTTGTCCACGTGAGGAGGAATGCGTCCCCCAGACACCCGTCTTTCGGGGATGCATGCGCCCTCGCGCAATATCTGGGGCATTTCGAGTTGAGGCGGGTCGCAAACAAATCCAAGTCTGGGTATCCCCATGCCATGAAGAGTCTGTGGGTCTCCTCCCTGTTCAGAGACCACTCGTGGTGTGTTAGTGGACTGCGACTGAGAGAGTCCGCCAATAGGTTGAGCTCCCCGGGCACGTGAGTAGCCATTAGGTGAATGTTCTTGGCTATGCACCAATCCCAGATTTTGGTGGACAGGGCCAGGAGGGTTCGAGAATGCGTCCCTCCTTGCTTGTTGATGTAATACATCACCGTGGTGTTGTCGGTGAGGAGATGTATTACTTGGCCGGTGAGCACCTTCTCGAAGGACAGTAGAGCTCTCTCTARGGCCATAAGCTCTAGAATGTTTATGTGTAGTGCGCCTTCTTGCGCTGTCCATGTGCCGTGAGCCACCAGTCCTTCGGAGTGTGCACCCCACCCTGTGAGAGAGGCGTCTGTTGTGACCACTCTTGTGGCGCGTGGAGTGTGAAAGGGCATCCCCGCACAGGCCCAAGAGACGTCCATCCAGCAATGTAGTGAGGAGCGGACCCACTGTGGTAGGCAAAGGTGCATGGAGGGACTGTCCAGCAGCGGGTTGAATCTGGACAGGAACCAGGATTGGAGTGGTCGCATACGCAACCTGGAATACTGGATTACAGACGTAGTTGAGGCCATGTGTCCCAGCAATATTTGGAGTTGCTTGGCTGAGACATGCCGTGATCTGATGGCCTGCCTCACCAGGTCGCGGAGGTTGGCAAAGCGGTCCCTCGGAAGTGATACCGTCTCGGAGACAGAGTCTAGCAGTGCACCGATGAATTGGCTGCGCTGGGCAGGCACCAAGACCGACTTCTCCCGGTTGACGACCAGGCCCAAGGACTGTAAAAGAGACAAAACCGTTGAGATACTCGTTTGGAGCTGGAGGCGAGATCTCGCAACTATCAGCCAATCATCAATGTAAGGGTAGACCGTGACGCCCCTAGTTCTAAGGTGAGCTGCGACTACGGCCATGCATTTGGTAAAGACCCTAGGGGCTGACGAAAGTCCGAAGGGTAACACGTTAAAGCAGTAAGTTTGTCCTGAAACTCTGAAAGAGAGGAACCTGCGATGGTGCGGGGCAATAGAGATATGAAAATATGCGTCTTTGAGGTCCACGGTGGCGAACCAGGCTCCTCTAGACAGGAGGGGGGTAATTGAGGCAAGAGTCACCATCCGGAACCTCTTGGGTTTAACATGTTTATTAAGCAATCGTAAATCCAGGATGGGACGCAGCCCACCACCGCGTTTCTCAATCAGGAAGTAACGTGAGTAAAAACAAAAGGAACAGGCGTTGGGGTCTACAAGCGAAATGGCCCCTTTTTGCAGCAACATAGCAATTTCGTCTACCAGATGTGGGGAAGAGGGGGTATTCCTCACGTGGCCCACCCTAGGGAGGTCTTCAAACTCTATGGAGTATCCATTAAACACGATGGATAGMACCCAGGCATCGGAGGTTATGCTAGCCCACTGTGCACCAAAGGGTGCGAGTCTATCCAGAAAYTAGGGCGACGGGTCCGACTGGGGTACCCCATGTGGTCCCACCCCAGGGGCAGAAAAACAGTGTGGAAACGGGTTCATAACTTGGGCGTTAACCTCAGGAGTGGGTGGTGGGCACTGTTGGGAGGCGTTGTTCCTTCCTGTATTATCATCAAAGACGCTTTCTGGAGGCTCCTGGAGCCTTGGGTTTCCCTTGAAAGGCTTGCGTCTTGGGCTTTTGAAAATAAGGGGTACGTCTGCCCCCTTGGAACCTAGAGTTACCCCCGGACCTATTCCTGAAGGGGCCAGGGAAGGAGTTCCCAAAGGGTCTCCGGTAGGAAGAGGGAGAGTGCCATCTATTCTTGGGCTGGGAGTAAGGCTGCCAAGTGTAGCCGAATTTTGACGCAGACTGCCTGACGTCTTGTTTTTGCTTCATGCGGTCATCAGTGTTAGGGTTGAAGAGTCCCTCTTCGTGGAAGGGGAGATCTTCTGCTAAGGCTTTTCCCTCCTCCGAGAGGTTGGCCGCCCGCAACCATGCGTGGCGTCTTATGGAAGTGGCGGTGGCAAACAGGTTGCCCGCCGCTTCCGCCATGTGCTTCGCGAAGTCCTTTTGGGCTTTGGACAACACTATCGCTTCGCCTTGTAAGGCTTTGGGAAGGCGCTGGGCCTCTCGCGGGAGAGATTCAATGTGGGTTAGCATCCTGTTCCAAAGGAACGTTTGATATCCACTCATATAAGTCGCGTAATGCGACATGCGAGTGAACAGGCTAGCTGAGAAGTAAGCCTTTTTCCCTAGTGTGTCCAGTTTCCTGCCCTCTCTATCTGGTGGTGTGGTCACAGAGTTCTTGGGGCGTTTAGTTTTGATGACTTCAGCCACTACTGTGTTTGGTTTCGGAGGAGCCATCACCCACTTAGCGTTGGATAGTTCAATTTTATACATGGAGTCCAAACGCCTAGGGACCGCCGGTACCGATGACGGTGGCATATCTACAATCTTAGCTAGTTTTAGAAGGTAGGGTAACATAGGGAGGGCTGAGGAGGGGGTGGCATTCTGCTCCTCGGATGGGAACATTGGATCTTCTATGTGCTCGGGTGGTTTGGGGGCGGGAATATCAAGTGCTCTTATCATCCGATCTATAAGTGCAGCAAACTTATTAAAATCGGGGGGCAGCACTGAGGCATCATCAGTCTCCATTTGTTGTTGGGGATCTAGGGGCTCAGCATCCGAGCCGCTGTCTCCCAGTTCTATACCCTCGTGGGTCGGATCTCGGGGGGTTCCTATCGGAGTGACGGCTATGGCCATGTCAAGCTGGGTGGGTTCTACAACACCATCGTGGCCTAAGGGTTGGTCCGTCGCTAGGGGGTCCCCAGAGGATCTACACAGTGAGAGGTCAACACAATCTGAAGGTCTACACAAAGAGCGGTCAACACAGTTAATATTAGTAGAGCGCCCCACAGGCAGTGTCCCAGTTTGTCTGTCTAAAGGATAGCCAGTACAATCATAGTTTGTGTGTCTGCTAGGAGAGGTCCGGCCAGGACCAGCGGCAATACCTGCAGGCAAGGGAGCGTTCGCTGCCGTCGCTGTCCCAGTCACTGAGAGGGCAGGAGGGGCGGCTCGAGTTGGGGCGGCAGCGGGTATGCCCTGGCGTGGGGCTTCAGGCTGTAGGCCCCTTGATGCAGTAGGTAAGAAGGCCGCTTCCATAGAGAGCGGTATCGGGGCCGGAACAAAGACCAATTGGCCCGATGGGCCCATCTGCCAGTAGCCTGGAGGTTGGGGAGGCCTGGGCCTGTAGCGCCTCCCGGACCTGGAGCGCACGGTACGGGAGCGTCGGTGGCGTCTCGAGCAGGTCGAGGAGGAGGAGGAGGATGAGGAGGAGGAGGTTGAAGAGGAGGAGCGACGGGAGGAGCGCCTGGAAGAGGGACCACCCCTAGAGGAAGAGCGGTACCGTCGGCGTCGAGATCTCTTGCTTCGTCGGGATGGGGAGCGGGAGCGTCTCGGATGTCTCGCCGGGCGGCTGTGTCCCTGCGGCGGGCAACCCGTCTCGTGGTTGGTCTGGGAAGGCGGGGTTTGCGCAGCCGCAACAGACAGGGAGGGTGCATCCCCTGTTATCCCTCCCATAGCCATGGGGGGGCTCAGGCTCGTCGGTCCCGCGTCTCCGGCCGGAGGAAAATCCCGCGGGATCGGGGAGATCAGCTCTCTGGATAGAGCCTCCTCAGGTAGCATGGGAGCATTAAATATGCCCCCGAAGGCCTGGCTGCCCGACGCGATCGGCTCCTGGGCAAGTGCCGGAGTCAAGGCCCCTCCGTGCTGCATAGGCTCCTCCATAGGAGTATCGTCTGGTCTCTCCCGGGGGACCTCAGGAGGCCGCAGTCTCTCGGGAGGCGAGAGAACAGGCATCGCCGGAGTGAGAGAGGCGGAGGTGCCCGGGTCTCCCTGCGCTGGAAACGGGGAGCGAACCGGAGCTTGTCCTGCAGCCATGGTATTTACCGCCAGGGGGGGCCCTTGTTCTCCTTGAACAGTCAAGGGGGAAGGGAGGGCGGGGGCGGTTGAGGGGTTTCCCGCTCTTTTAGATGCCGCCTTTTTACTCTGGATTTTCTGGCGGCCATCTTTCTGAGCGCCATCCTTGGAAGCCTTTTGCTTCTTCTTCGCCAGGCCGGCAGGCAGGCCCAAAAAGGATGCCCCGGAGGCAGGCGAGGAGGTCTTTTGAGAAGTGGCTGGCGGCGGCAAAAGTGCCCTCTCATAYAGCGCCGCTTTAAGACGAACRTCCCGGTTCTTCCTCGTTTGAGGGGTAAAGGCCATGCAAATGGCACAGGACTGAGTCAGATGGCCCTCACCAAGGCAGGCCAGACAGAGGGAGTGTCCGTCCATGTCTGGGTAGGTATTTGGGCATTTTAAGCATTTTTTAAAAGAAGTAGTGGCCATCGTGCCAAATAAGAGCACAGATTGGTCGGATAGTCGGCAGTCCGGGTCAAAATCCAAGTTTAGCAGTCGGTCCGGGGATCAGGCAATATCGTAGTCAAAGGTCAGTCCAGTCACAGGTCAAGTTCAGCAGTCAGTCCAAAGGATCAGGCAGTATCTTAGTCAAAAAACAGTCCAGTCAAAGTCCAAAGAAACGATCTAAGAATGCTCGCAAGGAGAGAGGTTCTCAAGCTGTCTTTGCCGAATAGCGCGGAGAAGAGAACTGGTGGCTAGCCCCGCCCACGGGCTACTTGTAACTTTCCCCTGGACTATTTTGCTTCAAATTCCAAGTGTAGAACTCGCACATGAAAGTGTTTCCAGAAAACATCCCTATGTATATATTACAAAATCTAACAATTTCAGCTTAGTTTTCTTTTGTTGATGAAGAAAAGGGCATTGACACAACATATACAGTCACTTCTCTTTAGCCATTCCAGATCCATCTTTTAAAAAAAATCAAATGACCCCAGTGTATTTTAATCAAGTGATTTAATTTGAGCTAAGTTAGAATATGCTAACATAGTTGACCGATTTCTAGTGGAACTTTAAGACTTTATGTGATGCACTGAAGGTTTATTATGGTGCATATAATTTATTGTTTTATATATTTAAGGCATGCAGACTGGATCCTGCTCTAGCTGCTGATCTTGAGCTGGCGGCTAATCATGGGAGAATTTAGAGAGCCGTTTTGAGGAATCTGATCAAGTTCCAGCCGTTGCACTATATAACAAACCGAAAATTTCACTCAGCTTTTGATAAATCATGGTTGTGAACAATATTCATTCTTTAGATATGTAATTTCGTATATATACATAATGTCTGATGTTTCTATCACATATTTATTCAGGAATGAATGGGTTCTTTCAGGAGATAACCATCATGTTTTGGTCAAAAGCCATTGTGTTCCTCAAGTTAACTCTAATTTATTTGGTCAATATAATAAACATTTCTAATCAGTAATTAAGTACAGCATGGAGGTATTTGTGACCAGCAACCTCGCTTTAACACTACGACTCCCTGTTGCCTCCACAGCACTCAAACTGGAGAAAGCTTGTTGGTTGACATGAAGAGAAAGGCTGGGGGAAGGTTGGCATCAGGGGTTAGGCTGGGGGGAAATGGTTGGCACAGGGGGAGAGTGGTTGGCACAATGGGGAGTCTGGGAGGGTTGGTGTGGGGACAGGAGAAGTTGGCATGGGGGAGGCCGGGGGGGGACGACGACGGTTGGCCACCACTGGTTCCGGGCATCTAGTTCCTGGATGTCTAGTAGGCCACCAGGCCACAGGATGGAGCCTCCACTGGCTCCTCCAGGTAGCAATTGATGGAAGCCTTAACTAAGTCTGCCCTGCATGGCTGGGTGGACGATACTAGCCCAATGAGCACTGCAAAGGTCTAATCAAAGAACCCCTTCACCTTTTGCTCCAGCTGCATGACCACTGTGGGCACAGCCGCCTTCCTGCTGCTGGCACTGCTGCTTGGGGTCCCCACTGGCAAGGTGGTCTCCTCTCAGCCTTCTCTTCTTCAGGCTAAACATGCCCAGCTCTTTAAACCACTCCTTATAGGACTTGTTCTTCAGACCCTTGATCATTTGAGTCGCCTTCCTCTGGACACATTCCAGCTTCTCGACATCTCTCTTCAATTGCAATGTCTAGAACTGAACACAGTTTTCCAGGTGTGGTCAGACCAAGGCAGAATAGAGGGGTAGCATGACTCCCCTGGATCTAGACACTAGACTCCTATTTATGCAGGCCAAAATCCCACTGGCTTTTTTAGCTGCTGGATCACATTGTTGGCTCATGTTTAACTTGTCCACGAGGACTCCAAGGTCTTTTTCACATCTACTACTGTCAAGCCAGGCAGCCATCATTCTGTATCTTTGCATTTCATTTTTTTCTGCGTAAGTGGCATTTGTCTCTGTTGAATTTCATTTTGTTAGTTTTGGCCTATCTCTCTAATCTGTTAAGATCGCTTTGAATTCTGCTCCTGTCTTCTGGAGTATTCCCGATTTGGTGTTGTCTGCAAACTTGATATCCAAGCTATAGCAACTACATTTTGTTGTTAGTAGTTCTGATTCAGCAACCATTCTTTGCATAAGATCAAATATAGCTTTAATAGCCCCTTTAAAAGTTGCATATTTTAAAAAGAGAACAAGATAGCATCAGGAGGAGATGAATAATTTAACTGAACTTGAAGCTTATCAGCAAGTTAAGTCAGTCATACAGTGCTCAAGGCTGGAATACTCACACTATTGCAGAACAACATTAAATATACCTTACAACCTCTTATCACAATGGTTGAGTCCCCAGATGTTTTGGCCTTCAACTCCCAGAAATCCTAACAGCTGGTAAACTGGTTGAGATATCTGGTAGTTGTAGGCCGAAAAACCTGGGGACCCACAGGTTGTGAATCACTGCTTTATCAAGATAATCCTTGCCACTTTTTCTGAATATATAATTCAAACCCATTTTCAAGCCGTAGCATAAATGGTGTGGTTTAATTAAGACGCACTCCAGTCTGGTTTTATTATTTATTGCTTACAAAGGCTCCAAACTATGGGAAATCTTTGGTAAAAATAAAAACAGTAAAATTTACACAATATCTTTACATATATTGCACAACAAGGCTCTTCAATACACAAGAAAATAAGAGGATCGCTCATAATCCTCAGCAAGGAAATTAACTGTACAACATTCATTGATATACCACTAAAGCAAAATGTCTTTCATAAATGTTTAAAATATTCTATAATTCTTACAAGTTATATTAACATTTACATTTCAATCTGCATCTTAAACTGAGTTATTCATATAACCATTTAAATAAAAGCCAGAAACTACACTTGCTGGCATTCTATCCTATCATCATCCATTCTTTTCAAGTCTTTCTTTGCTTCACGTAAAATGCAAAGGGAAAAAATACTCTACAAATTGTCAGGAATCTTCAGTCAGCCCTCTGTGGAAAAGAGGGAAATCATTTCATGTCTATTTTTAATAATAGACATTTCTCTAGTATTTTGCTTGTGCAGATTCAAACCTGGGCTGCTTTAAACTGCTCTAAATTAGTTCGCAACTCAGGGCACAGTTCAATTAGCAGCAATTCCAATAATACCTGGAAAAGAGAAGAGATGAAAGTTTTAGGTTTCCTCCTTGACAAGAAAATTTCAGTTTATGGTTAGGGAAGAAAACTTGTGGGTCTAAGACAACCACCTACACTCCCTGTTATTTTTTGTGCTGTTTTCATTTCAGAAGCCCTAACTTGTGAGAAGGAAAATCAGGCAGGAAAAGAGAGGGGAAAGATGAGGCCTTTGTAGCCAGGAGTTTTGCTCTTAGCTTGCTCTCCAACATCCAGAAAGAAGTGGGTCTCTCTCGGCTGGTGATCTTGAAGCTGATTGAATCCCAATTGGAAGTACTAACTAACTGGGGCTGTCTTCCTCCTCACTCACCTTTCCAGTGGTAGTGAGAAGGCAAAAGGGGAGCTGGGTGCATTTAAGATTCGGCTGAGTTTCAGCATCTGGATTCAGTTTTCTGCCAAAATGCTGGCAAAGTATGCCTGGCTGGGTGAGAAAGGCATACCGGCCAAAATGTTATTTAGATTGTGTGGCCAGGTCCCTAACATCATTTGTGTCATGTAAGATCAGCAAGGTGGACATCTACCTTACCAGCCCAGCCCAGCCCAGCTCTTCATCACAGGGCCAAATGCTCCTTGTGGAGATTATGGAAGCCTAAAGGTGATTGGGTTGCTGTGAGTTTTCCGGGCTGTATGGCCATGTTCCAGAGGCATTCTCTCCTGATGTTTCACCCACATCTATGGCAGGCATCCTTAGAGATTGTGAGGCCTGTTGGAAACTAGGGTTTATCTGTGGAATGTCCAGGGTGGGAGAAGGAACTCTTGTTTGTTTGAGGGAGGTGTGAATGTTACAATCGGCTTGTTGACAGAGAAAGTATTCTGTATAGGCACAGCATAATTAGAGAGATTTCAGGAATTGGCAAGATCCTCTAAATTAGCCCACCTGCATTTCCTCATTTCAGCCATAACCCAGCTGTAAAGATACAACCTTTGGAAGAAATAAGGGGCCCAGCTTTGGATTTCTGCAGTGTATATTGCCCATTGCTAGGTAATCAGTTCTGCAGTTATTTGAAAACCACAAGGATCTAATGCTGCAAGCAAAGAATACATGCCAGGAGCTAACACTCAAATTACTGTTAAAAGATCTGAGAAAAGAAGGTAAATGTCTTCCACAGAGAAATCCACTATGCTTCAAAGCAGCATGCTAACAACTCACATAAAGAAGATGCTTATTGGCCTTGGTTTCTTGAAGTGCATTGAATACTTTGATTATACCATGGCGAGCGTTTTGCTGTCCCACAAGATTCTGGAGAGTATCTGAAAGAAATAGTGCAATCTGACTGTGACAATAACAGCATTCACTAAATCTATGTAGATACATATCTGTACACGTCCAATCTTTTGCTCTTACTTTCTGCCACACATACAGTAGGATACATAGAGCTCTGCCACCAATACATAACCTGTTCCTAATTTGAAACACACCTTCCCACACTCAATTTCATCAGGTCAAGCAGCAATGAGGTTCAACCAAAATGGGTCCTAAACCCAAGGAATCCATTTTTAAATCTTTGCTCAGATAATAGTTCAATGTGAGCACAGCCACATCAAATTTTCATTGTTTTCTTGAAATGGGAGTTCATCTATTCTCATTTCAATACTGAAATTCTAGCTAGCAATACAGTATCACTATGAATGGGACTGACATCTATTTCATGCCCCACATACACTTCAACACCTGCTATTTAAAGATTAAATGCTGGCCTTTATATTGCTTTTTAAATATCATCAGTCAATTCACACCGTAGTTTTATATTGCTATTGTGACAAAGGAATCTTAGTATTCGTTTAGAATGAAGATTACATTAAGTTGATTCTTAAAAGAATAAAAATATTTAATGAAAAGATTAAGTTTTCTGTCTTTTCTCCCATTGAAGCATTGCTGAAGAAATAGACATCTGGAATATTCCAGCAAGGAAGACATGCCCTTTTATTTTCAAGAGGTGGGGATAATTAATTCCCACAATATTGGCATCTCTTCAGTTTTCCTGTATTCTCTTCATATCAGCTAAATGTCATCCTGATTTATTCTGAAAGGAGGAATTCAAGAAATGACACTAGATAGGAATCCCTATAAGATATAAATGGGCCACTCAAGTATATTCACTTGTGCATGAAAATTTAATCTGTTTGTAAAAGTGGAATACGTTTCTGTATGACGTTCTCACCTGGAATGTTTTCTAGTAATTTTTGCTGTGCTTTCTGCTTTATCTCCCGGCTTTGCTCTTCACTTTTGGGTTTTGTGCTGGATGCCAATTTTCCATTTGGCCAAAAAGCATCACGGAATATGTTGATATAGTACACAAGCATTGCTTCACTGAAGATCCAATTTACAGTGTCACGAATTTGCCTTGAAACAGAAGTGATGAAAAAGAATTAGACGTAATGCCGTGCCTGACTAGACAAACATTTAACTCATCCTCAGATTTAAAGAGATAGCTGTGTCTCAAAGATGGTTTCTGCTTGACATGATATTCACCTAGGTAGTCATAGTTACAACATGTTGCCTAGACAACACAGGTAAGATCTATCTGAATATTTATTTTACAAGGTAAAATCTGGAAAAGAATGAAATTAACTTGTGAGTGAAGGTAGGAAGGAGAAAGACAACGGGGTGGATGGATGGTTCTTGTAAATTATGCAGGAATGTCTTGACCAATCTCTCAGAAGTGCCAAAATATGGCAGCAAGGTTTCTGACAGAAAGAGGCCATCATCGTCGAGAATGAGCAGATCTGGATGCAGTAGGCACCTATAGTATTGATCTTGAAAGATACACAGGAGTTGACAACCAGTATTTTCTTGACCACCATGGCATGACTAGTATGCACTTGTTCCTGTCTTACTGACTCTTGTGATGACAAAAGGGATTGATGGGAAGACATTTACAACTAGACCATTCCAGCCGAATAGAAAGTTATCCCTAAGAGAGACTCTGGAGCAGTAGATTCTGTGCTGTTTGTTCTGGGGAGAAGCAAACACATCTATTGACAGAGTACCGCAGGGTCCAAACACATGGCAGACTGTGTCCAGATGCAATCTCCATTTCTGGCATCTCACTGGTTACTCAGAGAACCTGCTAATGTGCTTTTTCCCCTTGACACATGGATTGCTGAAGGCAGAATGTGACATGAGACACGCCACTCCCAGAGAGTCATTGTGAGGCGAAGTGAGCTAGAATGTTCAGGTAGGCGATCACAATCACATTGTGTCTATCTATCTGAACAACCTTGCTGCATAGAAGATATTTGAAGAAGGTTGATGTGAAATGGCAGCACCTCCTGAGTCTATCTGCCCCTGACAGTGAGGCCTTTGCAATGCATCAATCATCACCTATAGCACAGGCTTCAGAACCAGAAAAGGAATGCCTGTCTGAACAAGTGTCATGTCTATCTACCAATGAAGGGATCAAGCTACTGCCCAAGGAATAATTTAGACCAGGCCCGGGGCCCGGATACGTCCCTCCAAGGTCATTTACCCTGCCCTCGCTCAGGGTCAACCTAAGTCTGAAACAACTTGAAAGCACACAACAACAATCCTATCTCATCAGCCAAAAGCAGGCCCACACTTCCCATTGAAATACTAAGTTTATATTTGTTAAAATTGTTCTGTGTTTTAATTACTGGATTGTTTTGAAGTGTTTTTTGCACTACAAATAAGATATGTGCAGTGTGCATAGGAATTCATTCATGGTTTCTTCCCCCAAATTATAATCCAGCCCTCACAGCAGTTTGAGGGACTGTGATCTGGCCCTCTGTTTAAAAAGTGAGGACCCCTGATTTAGACACTTCACAGAATAATAGAGCTGGAAGAGACTTTGTGGACCATCCAGTCCAACCCCCTGTCAAGAAGCAGGAAAATCACATTCAAAGCACCCTTTGGAGAGTCCAACATGGGATTAAAGCAGTTCAGGAACCATGCCTGCAGAGGTCTCATGAGGAGTCTGTTGAGAGGCATGACCGCTGTATTAGAAGCCATGAATCTTAGGAGACACTCTTCAGTTGTGAATACATCTAAGAGTGGCTCTGCAAAGAATGAGAAATCTGTCCTTTGAAAAGGAGTCAATTTGAGTGGGTGAATTGAGAAGCATACCTATCAAGAAGATGTAATGGAATCATGTGCAATTTCTTGTTGTTTACTATGAGGCTCAAGTCCTCCAGGAGGTTGAAGATCAAACAAATGTTTCTGAATTGTGAATATTTGCTAGGAGAAACCAGTCATTGGTATAAGGAGGAGGACAATGCCTTGTTGACAAAGCCACGAAACCATACAGCCTTGTATTTGATAAACACATAATGCATAGGCTGAAGGGAAGAACATGAAAATGGAAAGCATGTTCCCTCACTGAGAAATAGAGAAAGTGCCGATTTGATTAAAATGTGAAAATAGGCATCCTTTAAGTCCAATGTAATGACTTACAGCTGCAGCCATAAAGAAGCTGACCTGTAGTGATGACTCCAGGATGGACTATATTGTTGCTAGTATGGGATATATCTGATTGTGGGTTTTGGGAGCCCCTTGCCCCTCATTTACCATTTTGAAGCCTCTTATCTGAATGATACACAGAAACATCCACAACCATACAGATTATATCCCCGCATTCATGTTTCCAAAGTAGAAGTTTTTTTAGTTACATTTTCTTTTGAGCGTATTCTATCTATGATCTTCTATCATATCACCATAACCTTTTCATTTAAAGCAGTGTATTAGCAGAATAGGTTTGTCAAAAGCCCTTGAAGGTACTTTTGATTAACTCAACAGGCTTTTACAGTTTTCCTTCCTTTAACATATTAATTTTATGCCATCTTATTCCACTTTTGGAATACTTAATTTATTATTCACCACTGCCTTCACAGTAGTCAGATGCGCTTCAGTTTGCGGTAGTTGTTATTTTAAGGCAATGCATTCTGCATTTTCATTGTTCTGAAAACATCAACATACCGGTAATAAAAGATAATAATTGGGTTGTTGTAGGTTTTTCAGGCTATATGGCCATGTTCTAGAAGTATTGTCTCCTGACGTTTCGCCTGCATTGATGCAGGCAAAACGTCAGGAGACAATGCTTCTAGAACATGGCCATATAGCCCGAAAAACCTACAACAACCCAGTGATTCCAGCCATGAAAGCCTTTGACAATACAAAGATAATAATTGTCTGCCTTCCAATGTTGAGGCTTCCCACTTTAAAAACAGTTCTGGAATCTCTGGTCATACCATAGTAATGCAAGAAAAATGTGCCCAAAGTCCCCTTTGATATAGTTGTAAAAGAAATATAGATGTTCTTCTTCTGCATTGTAAATAGCCACAGGCTACTTATCTGCATTATATTCATGAGATATTAAAATGGGAACAGAATGATATAAAGTGATTTGAAATTTGTTCCTTGGCTTCAACAGCACCTGGAATTTGATTTCAAAATTCATATTCTTGCAGTTAATGAAAACAAGTGACAGAACAACTTCTTTAATTGGGCTATCATTTCTAGATCATTTTTGTGCAAAGTACAAAAGCTAAAATAAGAAAAAAAAATTGCTGCTCACATCATTTTTTTCTTATGTGACAGCACTGCAGAAGTAGCAGAATTGCTGACTTTGGAAATGGAAATGCCATCATAAAACTTTCCTCCACACTTCACCAAGGTCATGTCCAACTAGCTGCCTTCCTCAGGTCCTAGGAGTAATCACCACCTCACTTTCTAAAAACTCAGTTGACATTTCTCTCAACAATAGCATTTTCTTATGTCCAGTATCCTCCTTTTTCTTTAAATGTGTAGTGTGTAGCAATTCAATCTTCCTGTGCAGTTACAAAACAAGGCTCTCAGATATCAACTATAATTTCACCTGGTGCAAATGAGTGCTGTAGTTGATAACATAAAAATGCCTCAACTGTCATTTCATCTACAGTTCCCTGTATTTGCATTCTGATGGGGTAGTAAAAAACGCCTTTCCAAAAAACAGGGATGGAATGAAACATTCATCACAGTTCTATGATGTGGTCTTGAAGCTTTTTTTTCTTTTTGAAAAGCATCCCCAACACTTCCCCCCTTCATTTTCATAAACATTTGCTTTTTTCATTGGTCTACTACATACAGCACACATAACTTGGAGCAATGGGTTCAAATTACAGCAAATGAGATTCCACCTGAACACAAGGAAGAACTTCCTGGCTGTAAGAACTGTTTAGCAGTGGAACTCTCTCCCTCGTACTGTGATGGAGGCTCCTTCCTTGGAGGCTTTTAAACAGAAGCTAAATGGCCATCTGTCAGGGGCAATTTGTGCTTTTCCTGCATGGCAGTTTGTTGGACTAGATGGCCCATGTGGTCTCTTCCAACTCTGTTATTCTATGATTCTGGGACTATTTTGTGGCCCCTGAAAGAGACAGGCTCACTCCTCGTGTTGTTAAAGGATATGCTTAAACTCTGTTCAAATATATACTATGTCTATTAACATTAAGAAATAGAAATCTGTTAATCGTATGATAACTTTGGCTTTTCCCTAAGGAAGTAGAACTAATAAAATGGAGCAAGTTTACCAGAGAGGTCTTCAAAACACTTGAGAAGCACTGCTCTTATTTATTTACTTGAAACATTTGTACTCCGCCCGTCTCAACCCCCCCCCCCCCGGGGGGAGGGCTCAGGGTGGCTTACATCTGGCACAGTTCGATGCCATTACATATAAATAATACATACAACAATTACATATAGTTAATTAAAATTAGTTTAAATTAAAAAGTACATTAATAAAAGTACAATAATACAGGCTGTCTAGCCTTATGCAGAAACAAATTCAGCCAGCATAACACAATTGGAAGCCTATCCATAGTCCATTTTCCATAACCTTATTATCATTGCCATTGTCAATTGTCTGCCAGATACCCAAATGCCTGGTCCCAGAACCACGTTTTTAATTTCCTCCTGAAGGCGAGGAGGGATGTTGTTGACATCTGTAGAAAATATAGGATCAGATCACAATCATCTGCTCTTGTGCTCCCTCTGGTGTTTCATTGATGCATTGCGTTCTGCATACAGCCACAAGGTGTTTACATTAAATGTAAAGTGCAAGATTTAGAATCCTAGCATCTTAGCTTTCTATTTTTTCCATTTAAAAACATTTCTAGTTCTCATATGTGGTTCATGCAATGCCTGACAAGGTTTTGCAGTGCAAACGTTTGCATGACTCAAGAGAATTTACTGTAAGCGAAGTACATATTTGAAAATCTCTAAATCGTCAAGGTGGTGCAAGTGGGCAACTAGTGGTAAAAAGAGAGGGACTGAGGGTCTAACTAATAGCAACACTGCATCCACTACCACAAAAGTATTTTTTTAGATCTCTCTATGTATACGTAATTTATTTATTGCACTTATATACCGCTTTTCTCTCCCCTAGGGAGACTCAAAGTGGTTCCTAACATAATCAATGGCAAAATTCAATGCCTTAAATGTATAAAACAACAAATATCAAAACAACAATAACAGATTAAAACTGTTAAAACTATAAAACAACAGTCACACACAATACATAAAAAATTTAGGCCTCGCACAATCCCAAGGATATATTTAACTACTTCCATATGTATAGTCTAAAATTCTAGAGAGGTGGGGATTTAAATAAAGAATGCTAGTTCTAGTATCATACATTTCAAGTAAAATGTATGAGTCTGTGGGGGAGCCCCTTCTGAGCTCCACCACAGATACATACTTTTCCATTTACTTATCTTACCCAGGGTTTTATCAGTCTTATTCTGTGCGTTTTATTTTATTTCTTAATCAGGCTATTTTACATCTGTTTATTTCATTTTCTGTTATTTTATGTATTTTATTTTGATACTAATATTTGCTGTTTGTATTTTATTTTATTTTGTTGTACTGTAATTCTGGGCTTGGCGGGGTAAAAATAAAGATGATGATGATGATGATTATGCTTATTATTATTAGAGAGCCAACATTTATAATACCATGCTCAAATGCTCAAGAATGATCTGTGTAATTTGTTTACCCCTTCAATGGCAAACAAAACAGAATTTTACCAAATTGAGCAAATACATGAGAATGCACACACAGTACAAATTAAAAATTTCTTGGCATCAATTTGTAGGCTAGTTTGCCATAGATTTGAGATCCCTATTCCGTTTAGACCTGATCACTTGCCATATTTGATGTACAAAGGCTTAAAAATATAGGAACGTTTATTTGGAATTCCAAAATAAGCTTATGAAAAGGACTTTCCTTTCAATTTTCACACACTTGTTTCTCTAAACAACCAGCCACAAATAATGTCTCTTGAAACAGAAGTAGTATAATGCACTCACTTGTTGATGGTTCTGCCAAAAGTGATTTGAACTAGTGCAATCAGCGTCTTCCTCACCCACTTAAACACTAAAACAAAGGAAAGAAAGAAGAGCACTAGAACACTATTCAAAGTGGGAAAAACACAAAAACACTTCTAAACAACACAAGAAAAGATCTCTCTAGGAATCTCACAGCTTCTCCAGTCCCACTCGATGGTGAGCAGCTGCCAGAAGTTGGCCATAGAAGTGTTCTGGAGGAGTTAAGAGGTTCCTAGAGAGAAGTTCTTTCTCAGAATCTATGATGTGGGCTGTTGGTTAAGCATTGGCCTCTGCAAGCATTCCACACACACACAGGCCACTTTTCAGTGACATCCTAACATGCACAATCATCCAGACCATGTGGCAAACAGGTTTAAAATGAAACGGGGTTTCTGTAAAATGTTTACATAGGCAAGCATTTTACTCACAGATGGTAGTCAAAATAATAAACACCTCTCCCCCATATTAAAATCTCTCAAAGAAAACATGTAATATGGAAATACATTAGCTTCACTGCATACTTCCTCGCAGCTCAAAGATCTCGCCTATCAGCATGAAGCAAGGCTCAGCAAGGGCATCTCGTTTGCCATCCACATCCTCTCCGTAGTCTAAAAGATCGTCGTCCTCTTCAACTTCTTCCTGAACAAGCCATACAAGTAGCAGAGGGGTGAGAGATTGGGTTAGATAAGGGTGATCACTTTTGCTCCCCCTCTAAGAAAGCAATCTTTGGCTGCACTGTAATTTGGAATATTTATTTTTCATTGTGGAAGACGCAGAATAGTTTCTCCTAATAATCATTATTCTCTCATCTCTTAGAAAAGATATACAGACCTGTGTGCATTCAAGTCATTCCTGACTTATGGTGACCCTAAGGTGATCCTACCATGTGGCTTTCTTGGCAAGATATCTTCAAATAAGTTTTGTAATGTGTCCTCTTAAGGCTGAGAAGCTGCACATACTCCTGATTACATGTATGCTATCTCCAGCAAGAGTTTGTGTGTTAGAAAGAGGGCACCTTTATTTTTATTATAACCTGGCAGTATATTTCAGTTGAAAGAACTGTGTATTCAGGAGGAAATATTACCTTATATACTCGAGTATAAGCCGAGTTTTTCAACCTCTTTTTTAGGCTAAAAAAAGCCCCCTTTGGCTTATACTCGAGTCAAAGTTATTTATTATTTTACTCATTTTATTATCATTACATTTACATTATTTTACTCTATTACTGTTATTATTACATTATTTTACTCTATTTTTATTATTACATTTATTATTTTGCTCTATTATTATTATTACTATTACATTATTTTACTCTATTATTATTTTATTATTTTTATTATTTTACTATACTTATAAATATATCACATTTGTCATTTTACTATATTTGTTACTATTACATTTCCATTATTTTACTCTATTATTATTACATTTATTATTTTATGCTATTATAATTGGAAGTATACGTATGCACATTTACATTGAAGAAAGTTAAAACAATGGTTTAATCAGAGTTGGACAGTCTTATCTTAAATTACAGTTTTATGTAAATATTCAAAAACATTTAACCCACTGATGCCTCAAGTAATGTAATTTGATTGGTATCTATTTTTATTTTGAAATTTACCAGTAGGTCCTGCATTTCCCAACCTCAACTTATACTCAATACATTTCCCCAGTTTTTTGTGGTAAAATTAGGTACCTGGGCTTATATTTGGGTTGGTTTATACTCGAGTATTTACAGCAAGTGTTAAAATGCCAAGATGTGGAATAATGTACATGCATATATAAATCAGCTTGGTAGAACTTGGCCACTCGCTGTAGCTATTCAGATCTCTTCAGGTTGTGAGATCCCACTCAACTGCTCTTGATGATACCCAGTTTTCACTACTAGCATCACTTCAACAGTTCCCTGATTTCTTGCCAATAAGATGACAAAATCCCACAGCCATGTGTATCATGAAAGAGAAGGAAGTGCACTCTATTTTAAGAGTAATGGCTCTTATATATTGGCAACTGTATTCTGTGCTATTTTGCTCATATTTACTGGCCTATATTTATAAATTGAGTATGAAATTGATTGAGACTGGGATTTTATAAAAAGGCCTAGGGATATGCCTCTTTTACTGAGAATAATTTTTGTGTGTGCAAATCCACTTAAAATGAAAGGCTCAACCAATAGCTGTTACTAGTAAAATATGGACACCAGCCACTAGACACATCAGGATTTGTACATTTGCGAGTAACCAAAATGATAATTTATAGAGAACTTTAGCACACTTAAAATTTACTTAGGGACGTGGATAGTCCAACTAGAATTACATCGCAGTGTTTCCTAAGGGTTTAGGACAGGCCTTCTCCTCCCCCCATATATTGTTCTTTGCGCACTCACCTCCTGATGAGAAAAGAAATCACCAGGAAGCCTTTCCAAGAAAGAAGAAAGCGAAAAAGAAGATTTCTTTCCCTGTACATCCATAACCTTGAGGTGTTCTGGGGAAGGGCTTAAAAAGGCATAAAGAGCTTCACTCTGACAGAGCCTTTCGTCAGAAAGCAATTTCTGTGGAAAGAGACAGAAGGCAGACTATTTCAAGAGACTGAAATTGTAGGGTTGCTTTTTTATATAAGCAGGAAGCAAGAACAAACCCATGAGCAGAGCTGATGAGAGCAAAAACTGTTGATTAGCATTGCCAGTGTTTACAAGTCATAGCAGAGTGGTTTCCAGAATCGAATGGTTTCCATTGGCTTCTAAGCACACTCCTGGCAAGTGAGTTAGGTGAAAGCTGGCACATGTGAAAAGACAAAGGAGGAAGCAGGTTGTTTTGATGTGGGAGGCTGGCCCCACCACCTGAGAGGCAGCCTTAACACCTAAGAAGCAATTATAGGGCAATTTATAGAAACTACCAATACCCAGGGCAGCCCACAGGAAGCAGACCATTGGATAGACATAGGGAGGCTGCACCACTCTGAAATCTCAGGGTGAGGTGCCTTTCCTATTTGGATTGCAAACTGCCCTTCTTTTCAGTGGTTCCATATCAATTGTGTGTAATGAAATGGGAATTTCTTTTCCCAACCTATTGTCACTGCCTTCACTACCTAATAATGCCTAATAAAGTCCTTAATAAAGGCTTTTCTTCCACCCTTTTTCCAGGTCACATTCCCAGTCTATTTCCTCATTTATATTCCTTTCTCTATCTGTATTTGTACAGATATAAGATCAGCAATGCAATGTATACACACTCATTGGAAACCCTCAAATAAACAGATTATCTCCTTCTCTTTAGCTCTTCATAAGCATATTTCTGCTACACATTTTTCAAAGGAGATGAAAGGATTTTTTTTGTTCCATGCCCATATGTTATACGCCCAACTTATCCAAAGGTGTTGGAAACCTTCCTCAAGCCTCCACTAGTAATTTGTTTCCATATGATTCTGTTTGCTTACTATATTCTATATGTATGCTTTGCTATGCAGATTTTCCTTTACTCTATGTTTGTTGAGGTTGTGGGAGGGGCTACAGACCACATGATCAGATCTGGGACTGCTGAGATCTGAGACTCCATTTTAGAACAAAGAAATGCTTTAGCCATAAGATGATTTAGACTCCATTAGAGCACAAACGCTATGTGGACTTTGGACTGTTAAGAGCAAACTCATGTTGCTCTTAATTATAAGAAAGAAGCACTGTGTTATCTACACAGAGAAACTACATTAAACCTATCAGTAAGTGGATTAACAAATTATGTACCTGTATGCTGAATACATGAAGGTTGTGAGTAAACCAGGTATGTTACTTTTAACAAAGTCTACTTTATTTTGTTTCTTGAGAGCTTGATATAGAAACAAGATATTTTATGAGAGATTTTTGGGGGCACTGAAAAGAAACACTTCTGAAAAACTGCTATATTTTGTGCATTGGCATAATCTCTGTACGTAACAGATCAGAGACAACTAGGTTATCGGTCTAACAAGTGAAAGCCAAATTGCCTTGCATAAGTACATGTGGATATATACCACTGAAGATAAATGTTTAATCAAACAAATTTTGGTTCTTCTCTAGAAGATCATACTTCTTCCAAAGGTTGATTTTCAAATGATTGTGAATTCCATTTTTCTCCAAAAAGTTATGGAGATTCTGGTTTTCCAAAAGGTTATGATCTTTAAAAAGGTCATGACTTTCCAAAAATGGGTCATAGCAAAATCCATAATTTTGGCCCCAAGCCTACCCTTGACTTATACGTGACACTGATTTATATATACAATAATATGAATAGCTATTTCATGCACACAAATGCAGAAGTACTCTTTAAGTGGGTTTTAAAACCATACACCACAATTGCTTCGACTTGCTGTACTTATTAAAATTTTAGCTGTGAAGTCTCTAACTCTATCAATCTATTGCCAATTTTTTTTTTCTTCACACAAAGCACAGCTGTACATTTCACACACTCCGAAATTAGCTGTTAAGAACCTCTCCCCTGAAAAGTCTTGCCAAATGTCATTTTTATTCTGGCGTTAAAAAAAATAGAAGTGTGGAACTCCTTGACTGCATCCCACTGCAGATTCAGAATTTCATTAGTCCCTCAGCAGGGCAGCTTATTCAAAATGTATAGCTCTATTTCTTTGGGGATTGGAAAAAGAAGACATAACGATCGACAGATGATGATCATAGTTGGCAGTGAGATGAACACGTAATCAAATGGAAGGTTTTTTCAAGTACACTATAGAATGAGAGAATGTATCAAAAAGTGTGTCAGAGGAAGAAAGACCTTTTTAAATAACTGGTTCATGCACCTTCTGAAGAAATTAAAAGCTAGGTATCAGGGAGAGGACATTTTTTGACAGTGTCAAAACTGTCCCGTACGATAGAGGTAGGCACTAGGATTATGCAATTTGGCCAAAACGCATGCTGTTTCAGGGTCCATTCTCGGCTAACTCCTCATTCTGTTTACCGAGATGTTACTCGAATTGGGAGGAGTGTTGCCGTTTTCATTCAGTAAAGCTTCGGCCTATTGGCTACAATGGGAAACTTTAAAGGTGCAATTCTCAGTCATTTTAATGCCTATCTGCATGAAATCTAGCTCAGTTTTAGATCCCGTTTATAACTGTAGGCCTGCCAAGTTTCAAAACAATTCACCAATTTATTATTTTAAGTTTTAAGTTTTTACCATAACATTTTAAAAAATAAGACTGTAACGATTTCACCAATTTGTAACGATGCCACTAATTTGTAAAGAGTTTGTAAAGGAGCCACCACTTTGTAAGGGTTTATTAATTTGATAGTGTAGCTACTAGCTAGTGATGTTGACTTGGTCTTTCTTCAATGTGTAGTGTGACTTAACTTGGAAAGGAATTGTGACAGAGACAGGGTTTTAGGAAAAACAGTAACAAGTTTATTGAAATGTAGAAGTTTGATGGTTTCAATGTTTCTTGACTCTTAAAGGCACATTTCTTCAAAAGTTATATTTATAGCATTCCTTAAACAACTCTGGAAAGGACTCTTCCTTCCACTAAACAGGTTTCAAACTTATTTTTCTTCAAACTGTGTTTCTTTCCGTAACAGGTTACTTCAGTTACAAGCTTATTCTTTCTTTGTGATGTTTCTGTTGCAATAGAGAAATCTCACTGGGTTTCTCCCACCCTAACTATTAATATAAATAAGTCAACTCGACTTATTTAAACTATTCAGGCTAAAAGCCAAAACTTTCCTGATTCTTACTACTATAGAATCAGCCTCTCCTATAGTTCACAGACTGTAGACTAACTTACTGGTTCTCAACACCCACTAGAACCAGCCTCTCCTGTAGTTCGCTGACTACAGACTAACTGTTTTAAAATGGCTGCCCTGCCAAGTGGCAGTTGGCTCCGCCCCTGTTTCCATGGTAACCCAGCTCAACATGAGCTGAGCTGGCTTCCATCCCCCTTAGTTATGCAACTTTAAATACTTACCCTTTAAACATCTATCTATAATTATACATAACTGCAAGTTAAAAATTTACACTTCACCACAAAGACAAACCGCAAGAGAGGGTTCTGGGAATTGTAGTCACCGGTTGTGTCCATTCTCAGCCAATCAGAACACAACCAGGCCTTTTATTGGCTGAGAAACAGAGAGAGAGAGAGGAAAACTTCAACTCCCATCATGCTGAGAGAGGAACTCAAGAGACTTTTCAATGCCTGTTCCACGCACGTGTTCTTGGGAAAGCAAGTTCCCAGCAGGGCCCTCTATGGAGGAGTAGCCTAGGGAACTTTTCCAAAGAAATGAACATTTCACTGCCGGGGAGGGAGAAAAGACGCTGCAGGTAATCCCATCTTCTCTAGGAGCCCCATGGCAGACCCTTGTCTCAGGTATATTGCAGACTTAACTCCATAATAAGATGACGCTCACTACAATGTTTTTACGGCTTTGTATGGTCGTTTTTATATTTTATGCTAATTTTTAACAGTATTTTATGATTGTTTTATTTGTTGAGGCATCAAATGTTGCCAACTGTGAACCACCCTGAGTCGCCTTCGGGCTGAGAAGGGCGGTATACAAATATGGCAAGTAAATAAATAAATAAATAAATAAACAAAGGTTTAAAAAATCCTCTCCAGTAGCCGATAAATTCGGCTCTCTTGATCTGTTTTGCCCAGCTTTTCAGTTCCCTCCTCCTCATTCTGTGTTCAGGGGATTGCACAAAAAGGACCAATTAATATTACAAATCACGTTTGGTCAAACTGATCTGGGCCTAAGCCAAATAGGCACTACATCAGTATCTTTTTTCTGTCTCAAGAAAAACCAAATGAAACAAATTATCACAGATGTTCATCAGTTAGGGCTGTACTACACATGAAGTAAGATAAACCCAAGTCTGTCATCAGCAACCAACTCTGAATTTCTGGCAAATTGACTTATTCAACTTGTGTTTCATGAACACTAGTTTATTGTGCTTTATATGCCATAGTATACCTTTAAAATAACAAAAAAACTATACGCTAAAAAACATAGTTCTCAATAGGAAAAAAGTCAGCCATACAAAAACTCACTTAACGAGACATGACTTAGTCAGAAGTAACTTTTCTGACTGATTTAAGTGAGAATTGATCATAATTTTCTTTCTTGTAGCTTAGACCAGAGGGTCCAGAGATATTGGGAGATTAAAGTCAGAACATGAAGCCTAGAAACTGAAGTCTATATGCAAAAAATCAGGAAGAAGTACAGTGCATAATTCTGGGTTATCAAAAAGAAAACACAAGAGGAACTCTTAGGAGTTCTTACCTGTAAGAAGTTATTTAATTGGTTCTTAGACTTTTCCAAGAATTTCTGGTCTACAGATTTAAAGGGCAGTTTGCTGAGTGAAGGCAACTGATTTTTCTTTAATGATGGGAAGCACTAGATGGGAGAGAGAAAAATCCAATTACTTCTCAATGTGCATTTGCTCATCAAAATACAAGGTGCAATGGGTGAAAAGGAAGACAGAGATGAGACTGCTGATCTTCATTTCCTTTGCACAATTCTTTCAATATATGAAAGAGCAGCAGCAATTGCTCTAGATGCAAGTCAGTGCTGAACTGAAGCTGATTTGAGTGATCAGCTTTCCAAAATTCAAGGTAGAGCTGAGTATCAAGTCATTAAATTAAATTAAACAAGGAGAATTGAGTTGCTTAGCATTCCATGTTTCATTACCATCTGTCTTTACACATTTACGCTCCTCGAACTGTAGTGAAGTGAGGTGGAGACATTAAACAGTATAAATTTATGTCCTCCTATCATGCTGAGAACCGGAGCAGAATACAGAACTATGACAAATGAATACATGCTTACAATTAGAGTTTGAAAAGGTTACTTTTCTGAGAACTAGAATCCTCCTGTGAACATGATAAACTAATTATCCCGATTCCCAACTACCCAGTGGCCAAACTGGCTGAGGGATTTTGGAAGTTCTGGTCCAAGCTAGCATCCTATAGTGACAAGTGAACTAAGTAGGAAGGTACCTCCCAGAAATCCTAACAGCTAGTAAACTGGCTGGGATTTCTGGGAATTGTAGGCCAAAACACCTGGGGACCCACAGGTTAAGAACCACTGGTGTAGAGGGTCACATCTCAAGCCTCCCAAGCTCTACTATGCCCCTCCCATTCACAAGAAAACAACTGAGTGTTCATGAATGACAATCAACATGCCCTCCAGCGACAAAGCATTGCTTCTGAAATAACATTTCCTGGTCCACATGAGCCCTATTAAGTTTGAAGGCAAAATCTGTCTTTAAAAAAAAAACCTTGCCCTGTGCAAGGAGCAGGGACCTTGAAGATGAAGGAGATGGCCATTTTTTCACCCAAAACAATACTGATTCCAGGCAACATCAATTTCCCACCACCCCACCAGCCGGTCTGAGTCCCTCTACGGAGGTTGAGAAGAATGGGATATAAAAGTTTTAAATAAATAAATTTTAAATAAATAAATCTCTTTATACCTCACTGAGTTTCCGGTGCAGGCTTTGGAACTCGCTGAGTTTTCGGAGAACAATCCATTCCTTTGCTTCAATGCCACCGATCTCTTGTAAACTCACCATGACAGAGTAGCAGGGCACTTGTTCGCCATTCTCTTCTATGACCTAAACAATGACAGGATTACAGAATATTTCATGTACAGATATTACTGGAAAAGAGCAAACATGCACACAAAGTTTATAAAATTATTCAGCAAACAGCTAACATTGCCTTGCTAGGTACATACATTAGAAATGTAGTCCTAGGAACATCCGTCAGGTTTCACAGTTTGATTATCAATAACTCAAAAGTGATTTTTTAAAATGCTAAACTACCTTTACAAGAATGAGATGGAACTCCAGTGCCTGCTAGCCACTAAGTTCCTATCGCTACATTCTCCAGAATGGCTTGGAGATACTTGGCTCCATCTCTAACTCAGTTACGTGGCCCAGAATAGTATCAACGTAACAACCAAAGCGACTGAAACAGGAGGCATAGAATAACTAGCAGAACTGCACTCCATCAGGCCCTTTCTTGGTGTAAGGTATTCAACACGGTGGAACTTTCAAAACCGTTTCAATACCCAAAGCTGACTAAAAAGTTCCAAACAATGCTATCTCTTCTTAGCCCAAATCGCAGATAGATAGGTGCACAAATCTACTAAAGCCAACAACATAGTATTTTCAGCTCAAAGCAAGTGTTCATAAGGTTGGAGGACTGCAAAACATAAGACAGAAAGCTTATACTCCTTGATGTATTTTAAAATATTTTTAGTTGAAGCCACTCGTACAGTTAGACAGGCCTCACACTGAGGTGGTGCCTTCACATGGATCCTACATATTTCAACCCCATGGTTTTGCAGCCCTTTCTTGAGCCACACCCATTGCAAAGTGTAGATGCCAAACGGTGCCTCCCCATTATGCATGCAGCTATTATCAAAAAAGGCAAAATTGGATAGCAATGCATTGGATTATCTCTCCTTACATGTTCTTCATTCATTTAAAACAACTCATTTTGACTATTTTTGCACTATATATCTAATATTTAACTAGTTTGACAATATTTGCACATCACAGGCATCCTGGCTATTGTGTCACTGCGTGGGAACATCTTTCTCCAAGCATCTTAATTGTTTGAAAGACAAATCAAGAGGGCATCATGGGTATGAATGAAGGGCTACAGTGGATGTTAAACTAGGTGCCACTTCGTTTTTCATCTCGATTCTACTGTACCCCTTCCATCACCTTTGGAAGTAGAGTAACTGATCCTGGCCTGAATAAATTAGAAGACATACAAGCAGTATACACTTGAAGGCAGTCTTTTCACTACTGTTGTGTTCCTCCTTTTGCTCACCCACAGAAAGCCAGAAAGCTTTTTCCATTTTATCTAATTGCATGCAAACCTGGCTACAGTTAGTTGTTTCATAAAGGGTAACAAGAATCAGATTTGCTTTTTTAAAAAAGATGTAATCAGAAAACTGAATCAGAATCAGAACACTAAAATTGACATGACCAACAACTATGGATACTTGTGTGTATTCACACTAAAATGGGAAGTGGGATCCACAGCAAACTACAGCTGCAATCCTTTATCACTCAGTGCAGAGTAGTTAGTCCCCATGTGGAATCATGCATGAGCAGAAGGTTCCACTCATTTCAGACAAGAACAGCTATACCTCACTAGTATGTATAAAGGCTTTCCACATGCCGAAATTCTCACACCACCAATCTGTTCTTTCAATATGTAACTGAAGGTCACTGTGTTCTCTCTCCATCAGAGTGATTTCGTCCTTCAATTTAGAAACAATCTGCCAAGGGAAAAATAGAATTGTTACCATAGATTATCATACTATGAAAGTTTTGTGCAACTAATGTGGGTGTCCATTGTGACACCCATGCTAAAATTTAAAAAAGCCAAATAGAAAGAAGAACAATTTTATTGCAACCTCCTCACCTTTTCCAATGAGCCCACAGTATATATTCATATAGCATTGTATTTTATGGCCTAATTTAGCTGTCATTTCAGAATTATACTTATTATACTTGACCTTTTAAGTAATGCAGCTATAATGAAAAACTAGAGTTGTGTAGATATATGAAGTTTGGAGAGCTATTATTACACGTTTAACCCATCTCCTCACAGCACTATTATGTTTTCAACAGATATTGTAAACTTTACAAAGATACGGTGATAAAAGATTTTGTTGTTTATTCATTCAGTTGCTTTCGACTCTTCGTTACATGGACCAGCCCACGCCAGAGCTCCCTGTCAGCCGTCACCACCCCCAGCTCCTTCAAGGTCAATCCAGTCACTTCAAGGATATCATCCATCCATCTTGCCCTTGACCGGCCCCTCTTCCCTTTTCCTTCCATTTTCCTAAGCATCATTGTCTTCTCCAAGCTTTCCTGTCTTCTCATTATGGGGCCAAAGTACTTCATCTTTGCCTCTCATATCCTTCCCTCCAGTGAGCAGTCGGGCTTTATTTCCTGGATTATGAACAGATTTGATCTTCTTGCAGTCCAAGGCACTCTAAGAACTTTCCTCCAACACCACAGTTTAAAGGAGTCTATCTTCCTGCACTCAGCCTTCCTTATGGTCCAGCTCTCGCATCCATTGGTTACTACGAGGAATACCATTGCTTTAACTATGTGGACCTTCATTATTAAATATTTCTGTTAATAATCTTATTAAAGATAATCCAGCAGTAATGGAATAAGATACTTTTGAAGAAAAAATATGGATTGGCACCACGAAGGAGGCAGTCATATTTCCATTTTATGCTTCAGCTTCTTGAAACAGAAAGGAATAAACACCCTAGTCATAATGGAGCTGATCAGTCATGCAAAACAGAGTTAGCCTTTGTTTAAAATGTACATGAAAACTAGAAGCAACCAAAGAACTGAAGCAACAGCACAAGCTACTGGGTGGTACTTTTGATTACCAGTACCTTCCTAGTAAGAGTGCCACTATTCATTTCCAAAATGAGATGTCATAAAGCTATACAGCATATAACAGTACATATACCACTGCCCATAATGGTAAGCTGCCAATAGAGAAAAGACACACAGCTCTACAGCAGAACATAAGCTTTAAAGGCAAAACATCCCTGGCATCTGCAGTTAAAGAATTTCAGGGTTGAGAAAACTCTCAACCAGAGAATATGGGAACCACTTCTAGTCAGAAATGACAGTACTGGGCTGTTTGTCAAATTCAGACAGCTGTTTAAGTTTATAAACTGATCTTCACATGTAGTTATGAGATCCAAGGTGCAGAATGGATTATTAAACCTGACAACATTTTGATGTTTTAACAAACAGAAGCACTGCTCCAAACTGCCAAACTCCATGGGAGAAGGCTGCAAACAGATATACAATTAGTAGTAGAAAATAAATGGCAATATCATTGAATTCATGTTGGGAGTGAAAGCAGAGTTTCATGACTACTGAAAAACCCTGTCTCTTGACATCATAGTACATACAAATAACAAAGCTACCAATTACCTACCTTTTTGTCAGGTTTTGGTGAACTACAAAGAGAATTTAGAGCTTGTCTCTTATATTCAAGTTTGTCATTTAATTGGCGTAGCTTATTTACAGCATAACTGGCCTGTTCATTAATTCCTGAGCTGCCTTCATCAAGAGCTTCTTCACAAACTTGGTTCTAGGAGAGATAGAATTGATTACAAAGGGGTACATACAATTAAAAATGGTTTAATAGCTGCTTAAGTGCAGGAAAAAGAAGAATATGGTACAGAAATATAGGGTATGGGGTTCAAATTCCTCCCCGGTCATGAAGCTCAGAAGGTGACCTTGGACCAGTCACTAAATCAAAATCCAACTTACCGTGATCACAAGATTATGGCAGACTAAAATGCTACACTAAAATATTTGGAGGAAGTACAATAAAAATAAAGAGACTAACAAATCACAAGATTTTCTAAAGATATTTCTATATTTCTTGAAAATGCGCTAATAATTCAGAAATGTATTTGTAAGTAATTTTTAATAAATGTTTTTGGTCCTGTCCATGTGTTTTGTGCTTCTTTCAACTAGTTCTTAAACTGAAAAGACAAACAACTGCCAAAGAATTTCTACTAATAACACATGCTTTTTGTTCCTGTGTTATAAACATGATTTCCTATAATAAAACATGGAAAATTTATTAAACTGCAAATTTTTTATTTTTGCAGGATATCCTCCAGCACATTTCGCTAGTTTTTCAATGAATATCTCATTGAGTCTCAACCAATTCAACATAGTTTGTGGCAGCCACAAAAACTAAGTTTCTGTAGTATAAGAACTACTTTCAAAGTAAGTACAACACAATTAAACAAGAATAACAATTTCTAACCAGGAACACATTTTTTAAGAAATTGTGTTATATAGTCTAATTGAAAAACATTTATGTTCCAATTTAGTTGCAATATGAGTCATTACACAATACATTCAAGCCACTAAAACACAAGGTATAAAAAGGGCAAAGTTTTTACGAAACCAAACATCCCCAAAATGCTGGATCTAGTGAGCTCGTGTTTTGTGTTTTAAAATGTATAAAGTGTCCTACATGCACAAGGGAACCTGTGCACATATAAAATTGGATATAACGATGATCATGATAAAACTACACTGGGTATAAAAAACATTTAAACAGCAAACAAATTAGGATTGTCCTCCACTGATAAACACAACACAGTTTTGGCATAACTCACCACTTCATCTTTGTCATCTGATGCCATCTGTACAGAACTCCTTTCTTCTTCCTTTTTGATCAATCTCTCATATAAATCACTGACAATGAATGATGGGTAATACCTGTCCTTCAGTGTTTCACAAACATCAGTCTGAATTTTGTAAAACACTTCAACACCTTTGTTGCCCACAAGGCTTTGCTGTATGTCTTTATATAGTGATTTTTCCACAGGGATTTCTCTACTGTCCACAAAAAAATCCTGATAGATTTGACTTACAAGTTGAGGTATTTCAGCCTAAGGGGGGGGGGGAGGAAGAGTTGGGGTGGGGGAGGATGGAGAGAGAGAGAGAAACCCAACATGATGCAGTGAATATTTTTAAGTTTTCCTGATTCAGGTTTCTGAAGAAAGAACTATTGGGATATGGATTATGACATTTTAGGATCATAAACTATTGGGTAGCAGAGTTTCAGAAGTGTTCCTTTAGTTTATTGGGTAATTAATTGAGGATCACTGGGTACATAAATATCTTGTTTATAGTTGATGCTCTCAGCAGACAAAGATTCAAGTAGACTCCTTTAAAATAACATGTTTGTTTTACTCACACATTTCTTGTCAGGTTAAACTTTAACATGTTTAGGTTTGTATCTTTAATTTATAATCTCTATCAATCTCTTCAAAACTATATTGCTCTGTACAGCTCTCTTTTCGTAACAGTCTACTTCCAAGGGACTCAAGCATCAACAGTTTTCTAACTTCCTACACTGGCTTCTGTACTCAAACTGACTCAAGGCCTCAACTGACATTTCTCAACTGTCATCCCTTTTAAACTGCATTCGAAACAGTCACATTCTGCAGCCCCTCCCACTGCCTCAAGTACATAGAGCAAGGAAACTGCAAACCAAAGAAGACATACACTTCAGGAAATAAACGACACATTATAAACAGACAAAACATTAAACAGAGGAGGCTTGAGAAGGTTGCTATCTCCAACAAGAACAAGCTTCCATTTTGGATATTTATGAAATGTGAAGTCAAATGTAGTGTCATCGATAGAGTGCTGGGAAGAAAGAACTTCTCATTCTCACTCAGCCAAGGAGCTTCACTGAACGACAAATTGCCCTTCTCAGCTGAGCCTATCTTATAGAAGCTTAAGAAGAAAGGGGTAGGAAGAGAGAACCTTGTATGTCAACCCAAGCCCTTTGGAACAAGGGTGGAATGCAATTTTACGCATAATATAAAATCATAATCCAGAGTAGAATTTATCTGGTGTGTTATTTATAGGCAGAATATAAAAGCGATACACAATATCACAAAGTATCCATAAGACATGTCACAAAGCATCATTCTGCACAGAAAAAAATACTCCCGACCCTAAATATGGTGAGTTGCTAGCATTAAAAAAAAACAGATTCCACATCAATACTCCTTCTGAAGGGTCTAATACATATTGTGCGTTCACTGCAAAGTGAACTGGAAGGGAAAGTATTAGAGTGAACATATGACAAAGAACAAGGGAAACCTTATAAAACACACTGCAGTCCTCCTCTGGGGACTTCATTTCTAGTTTAGCATTAAACTGAAGCCAAGAACTAAAGATGTTTCCAACCAGAAACAAAACTATTGATTGGGCTTCACTTTAAAATGACTCTTCTATGTAGAAACATTAGAACATGTACAACAATAATGTAATATAACTGCTGATATTTTAAAAATTCCACTTCCACGGAAGAGAGAATAGATTTTGAAATCTGTGCCCTTTATCATCATGTCAAGACAACTGACTGGACAATTTTTTTTGATAAAATTATGAATTAAAGCCAGATGAAAACAGTAACATTGTAATAAGGAATTATATTGATGCAACAGTAATTTATAAGCAAGCGTCTACTTATAGGAGAGGGAGGGAGAAGGTGAGAAAGAGATCTTTCCAACGATAAGATCTGATATACTTTTGTCTGTTTGTACCTTGTTTGCATTCTTCAAGTATTCTACAGACTCCCAGTAGCTGATTAGAACCCTTTTATCCATTCGTTCCATATATATTCGGAAGTGCTGTCTATAGGATGGGTTGCACAAAATATCCTCAAACTGAAGAATCTGGAGAGAGATAGAATTAACATTAAACTGTATTTTAAAACCTACGTCACTGATTAATTACCTTATCAAGCACAATAAGATGAGAATACATATCTATTGCCTACAGCACGTGGTATTCCCAAGAGGTCTCCCATCCAAGTACTAACCAGGCCCCACCCTGCTTAGACTCCGAGATCAGACCACATTGGGTGTGTTCAGGGTGGTATGGCCATAGGATGTGAGGGCAACCTGGTTGTAACATTTGTCACCCCACTGATCGCTAGGGTTGATTCGGCTGATCTGACTGGCTAGGCGGATATCCCCTTCCTCCCTCACCACTCCAAGTTAGTCTCTCCAGAAGCTGCATGCTCGGTGGAAGAGGACGATGTCCAAAGTATAGAAGGAGTGTAGCTACATAATCTATCTTGTTTGTAACTTGGGGACTGCTTGTACGTATAGGTACATTCATTTACTATATTCTCAAATATTCTTCTGCTGATAGAAAATGTAACTGAGATAGGACTCAGTGTATTACTAACACACTCTTACATGTTTCCAATAAATATATTCAGCATCCCGAAGATACCTAGATTCATATAAAAGCATGCTGTAGTTCTTGAAACAAATCAGTGATGATCACAAGGACCTTCCTCCTTTCGTGTAAGCAAAAATTTATATGCACAATAATAATAATAATAACAACAAAAACAACAACAACTTAATTTTGATACACCACCTCCATCTCCCTTAAGGGACTCGGGGCGGCTTACACATGGGACAAAATGTCCACAGAACATCAAAACAAAACAATCCATTAAAAACTAAAAACACAAATAAAATAAAACATAGCAAAGCAAAACAATCAAATAAAACACAATTAAATAAATTGTGAGGGTATAAAACAGCAACATCAAAACTCACTCAAACAATAACAAAAACCAATAACCAGAATACTAAAATGGGCATGATCAGGGTATAAAAAGGACTGGGCCTGGGATAGTGCAAAACAGAGTAGTATAGGGCTGGGGGATTGGAAGAAGTGCAGAGAACAGAGTACTATCTGGCGAGCTAAGGACTGGGCATTTATAAGTAGGGATTAGTCATTCTCATACGCTTACTGGAACACCCAGGTTTACAGATCCCTACGAAAGGAGGATAGTGAAGGGGCTTGTCTAATCTCCCTGGGGAGGGTGTTCTAAAGTTGAGAAACCACCACCAAGAAGGCCCTCTCCCTTGTCCCACCAGCCATGCTTTAGACCAGGGGTCCTCAAACTAAGCCCCGGGGGCCGGATACGGCCCTCCAAGGTCATTTACCTGGCCTTCGCTCTGGGTCAATCTAAGTCTGAAATTACTTGAAAGCACACAACAATGACAACAACAATCCTAACTCATCAGCCAAAAGCAGGTCCACACTTCCCATTGAAATACTAATAAGTTTATATTTGTTAAAATTGTTCTTCATTTTAATTATTGTATTGTATTTAAGGGGGGCTTTTGCACTACAGATAAGATATGTGCAGTGTGCATAGGAATTAATTCATATTTTTTCAAATTGCAATCCGGCCCTCCAACAGTTTGAGGGACTGTGACCTGGCCCTCTGTTTAAAAGGTTTGAGGACCCCTGCTTTAGATGATCCTCAGAGGATCTTAGAGCCCACACTGGTTCATGGGGGAAATGCGGTCACGAAGATAGGTGGGGCACAAACAATTAGGACTTTGTAGGTCACAACCTGCACCTTGAATTGGGACCGGAAACTTATTGGCAGTCAGTCGAGCTGCTTTAACAGGGGCATCGTGCACTCCCTATAATTAGCTCCAGTTGAACACCAGATTCCCTTGTCCATCTTTCAGCACTCCCTTTTATTGAGTTAAATGCTGCTTTTGACATTTGCTCCCAATTCAATAAAAAGTAGTCGGTAGTACAAAGAAGCTGCATCCAGGCAATAGGGAGATAACTCAGCAGCTGACACATGGGTCTTTAGATAGGAGCCAAAGACTATTCATGTGGAGTAAGGCATTCACAAAAGCCAGCAATTCTGTGTATTTGTTAAAGTCTTCCCAAGCTTCCCCTTCAATTACAAGAATTATTCTATATGTACAGAATAAGCAGGTGGGGATACAGACCCCTCAAAAGAGAGCTGTATCACAATCCTTGATTCCACCAGTCAAATTTTTCAAAATCCTTATCATAGGGACAGAAAGTGAAGTGAAAAATGCACCTGTCCCAACTTACAAACAAATTCAAATTAAGAACAAATATAGAACCTATCTTGTTCATGAGCTCCCAGTGGTGCAATGGGTTAAACTATGTGATGATGACCGACAGGTCAGCTGTTCGAATCTGGGGAGAGCGGTTTAAGCTCCTTCTGTCAGCTCCAGCTCCCCATGCGGGGACATGAGAGAAGCCTCCCATAAGGATGGTAAAACATCAATCATCCACATACCCCCGGGCAACATCCTTGCAGACGGCCAATTCTCTCACACCAGAAGCAACTTGCAGTTTTTCAAGTCACTCCTGACACACACACACAAATCTTGTTCATAACTTGGGGACTGCCTGTGCATATACATGGAAACTGGTGTATGCTACAGGTGAGCAAAAACTGTTGGGGGTGGGAGGAAGCACAACATTTCTTGACAGACCTCCAAGGAAGAAACAGTTTGTAACCAAAGTGGTACAAAAATGAACTCATAGAATCATAGAATAGAATCACAGAATCAACTCCTTTCAATTAACAATTATGCTGTCAAGTAAACAATTAGATCTGACTAGATACTGCTATAGCAGGGAGGAGATGCTGATATAATATGACTCAAATTGCAACTGTGAAGGTTCTGCTATGAGCATTACCTTATTATAAGGGAATGAATGACAGGAGGGACACTGAGGATATTAGCCATATGTATTTGAAGGAACCATGAGAGATGGGAGCTATTATCAGTGTGCATGAGTTCCCTTCTTTTCAAATTACTTTATTTGCATCTCCCCAAATATTCAAAAAGAGAACACATTTCAGTGTGTGTGTGGGGGGGGGGGGGGGGGGGGGGGGGGAGGAGTATTCAGGAAATGCATCCAGATTTCACTTAAGCAGAGTTCAAATATCCTTTTAGGTAAAAAACTACTACTATTGAAAGAGTATAACATTGAGCAATATCTGAGATTAGAGAGGATGGGAGGTGTGTGCCGACAAAGGGGAAAGTTTCAATTATAGCACAGTTCCCAATTCTCTTCACTTCAATTCCATCCCTACAATTTTGCCCAATCTATCTGATATTCCTTTTTTGTAAACCTGATTCTTGAAAGCCAAGCTAATTATGTCAACCCTATAGATATCAGACCGTCAATTATCAAGATTTCTGTTCTGATAAGGAAGGAAGTATAAATTTCCCTTTCCCCCAATAATTTTCTCCATGAACCGGCCTAAACAAAAGTAAGTTCAGTTACTTTGTATTTCATCCACTTGTTTAAATAGCTCAGCCCCACTGATCCTAATTAGATGCTTCTAAATCCCTAAAGAGAAAAAGCTGAAACCAAGGGCATAGAAGTAAGAGCACAGACCAAAACAAAAACTGGTTTGAAATACTGTAATATCAAAGTAAACCATAGACTCCGTAATTTGACAGTTATCAGTTCAGTAGCCCAAAAGAGATCTATCTATATGTGTATTTTCAATTTTTCACTAGCATTGACACAAAACTATTAGCCATGTTATTACTATTTTGCCTATAATGCATGCAGTTGTATTAGTTTAGCCTAGCCTAGCAATCCTCACTGCATATTTTTCAGAAATAGGTCCCATAAAAAAACAGTATAACCTTCATCTAAGTAAATGTTTGGAATTGCAATATCAAACATAGATACATACACAGATAGATAGATAGATAGATAGATAGATAGATAGATAGATAGATAGATAGATAGACAGACAGACAGACAGACACATCACTATTTGCTAGATAGGCCTTTGAACACCCATTATGCAATCCTTGAACAAAGTTGAAATGTTTGCAGGTCTCAGATACTTCAGTACCATTAATGTCCAGCATTAACCTGAAAGCAGACGGCTATGCTGGGACACGTGCGAGAATCTTGTCACGTGAATGTCTACCACTAGTGTACCAGAGAGAGGATCTAATTTTAGAGTTGGTATCCCTTTAAGCTTTTTAATGTCAAGCAGCTTCAGACTAAGAGAGGAATAGTGAACCACACTCAGCTCGGCCACAATTTTTTCTCAATTTTCCTGTCGCAGTGACCCACTCTTAATTAAATTATTTATTTCAAACATTATGTCTCCTCCCCCTTGGGACATGAACACTTGATGTGATTTGCAATAGCAAAAACAAAAATAACCAAACAAAATCGTTTTTCTAAACAAAAACAGCAGGTTAAAAGTGGTAGCAACAAAGATGGAAGCACTCTAACTTGTTACCAAAGACAACTGCAGTATTAAAATTTTACAAGAAATACCAAGTGCACGTCTAAGCACAAAAACAAGAATTTCTGAAATTAGAATGAATTAAGGTTATGACGCAATAAAAGAAAGATGTTGAGTTCTCATGCTGACAAAATAAAGCATGCCATCCACCGAGATTACATTTTGGTCCCAAGATATATGTTGTAATTTGGGGAACCTTAGATTGTGAGGAATTTCGACTTCTATCAGCTAAAGCAGGGGTCCTCAAACTAAGGCCTGAGGGCCAGATACAGCCCTCCAAGGTCATTTACCTGGCCCTCGCTCAGGGTCAACCTAAGTCTGAAATGACTTGAAAGCACACAACAACAACAATCCTATCTCATCAACCAAAAGTAGGCCCACACTTCCTACTGAAATACTAATAAGTTTATATTTGTTAAAACTGTTCTTCATTTTAATTATTGTATTGTTTTTAAGTGTTTTTTTGCACTACAAATAAGATATGTGCAGTGTACATAGGGATTCATTCATGTTTTGTTTTTTTTTCAAATTATAATATGGCCCTCCAACAATTTGAAGGACTGTGACCTGGCCCTCTGTTTAAAAAGTTTGGGGACCCCTGAGCTAAAGGAAGTGTTTGCAGTTTTTATGCATTCTTGGTACATTGATAAATGTTCAATAAGATGCTGCACAAATGGCTTGTTTTCATGTTGGTAATCCCAGAATCTGGTCCAACTGAGAACATCTATGCCCTCAGGGATGTTACATTTGCCTACACGGAACAAAGAAACCTTAAGCACACAATTCTTCCAGGAGCAGAATGCAGCAGCCAGAGAACTGCACATTACATAATGCAAGCTGATGCATTAAACTCTACTTAAAGTGTAACCCCTCTGGTCGCATTGTTAAGAAAGAAAATACAATAGTCCTTCTCTTGTTTGCGTCACCCTGCTCTTTTTTGTGTTCCTGATTCTAAGTTTGCAACTGTCTTATACTTTCTGAATACATAGCGAGAATAGCCACTGAAAGGCAAATCTCAGATACATATAGCAATACTCAGAGGCTCTTTCCATGGCTGAATGCCCCTTTCCTACCTCATTTTTGGATTTAGCTTGATATTAACAACATTCTTCCTCCTCCTGTTTCAACTGAGAATTAGAACATCTTATTTTCTTGCTATTTTCCATTTTCCAGCTATTAGAATAATCTCTCCTCCTGCAACACATTTAGTTTCTTTGGCTTACTGCAGTCTTTTTAAAATTCTGGTTTTGCTTTCCTATTCCTCAAGAAAAATCTATTTTCTAAAAATATTTTAATTTCTACCTAGATATAGTAGAATTGAGGATAGTACCACCACAACCAAGACTATGTTTCTAATTTGGTGTGTTCTTCAGAATTTTGGAAAAGGCCTAGAAGAAGTTTGGTGCATCTCTAACAGTCAGACAAAGCAGAACAAATATAGTGACACAGACAGAAAGGTTTACCTTAACACTTGAGCTAAGGAGCCCCCGGTGGCACAATGGGTTAAACCTTTGCGCCGGCTGAACTGCTGACCGAAAGGTCAGCAGTTCGAATCCAGCGAGGTGAACTCCCATCTGTCAGCTCTCATGCTGGATGTTAAAACATCCAGGCGTCCCCTGGGCAACGTCCTTGCAGACAGCCAATTCTTTTACACTAGAAGTGATTTGCAGTTTCTCAAGTCGCTTCTGACATGAAAAAAAGGTCATGTGTTTCAAGTGTGCTAAGAAAAGCTACCAACCCTTTAATGTGTATGAATCAAAGGAGCAGCATAGACACTTTTCAAAGGCTGAGGAGAATGTGCTTTGTATAGGGGCAGTCGATGCTGAAGAATCTTTCCATACTGATGCCACTCCTACTAGAAACTTATGGTTATGAGCCTTAGCATCATAAGCATAGCACCCAATTTCCAGCCTTTTAGGACCCTGTAGGAAGAAAATATTAAATACTGCCACTAAAAGGAATATTAAAAAGGACTTTCAGGTCACAGCACAAGCACTATGGTCCAAATGTTTATGGCAGGAAAAAGATTTAAAACATCCAAATTTCTTTCCCTCCCTGACATGCACACAAGACACCCTTACCTTCTGGGTCTGAGGGCTGTCAGTATCTTCAAATGTGCCATCTTCTGACTGGTCATAACTAGGACCTCCTAAAAGCCGTATTCGCTTTTCACACTGCTTTTTTGCTACAGTTAGTTGATTAATATATCTTTTCATGTTTCTTGCTCTAAGATGGTCAGCTTTCATTGCAGCAGTCTCTTTTCCTTTACTTTCTGTAACAAACAGTTTCAAAAGATTGTTGTTGTTTTTAAAAAAGAGGAATAGTTAACATTTCAACATATAATTAATGTTTTTGGTGGCCAAGATGGCAAAGGTTATTTATAACATATAATTTTGAATGCTTGGTTCACTGAGCTGTCTGTCTCCAAACATACTTGACACAGCATGCAGAATTCTGGAACCTCTCACAGTACTAAATATATGTTGAAAATATGCTCCAAAGTAGCCCACCACAAAAACCTGACAAATCACAATTGTTGCTCGTAAGATACCAAGGGACACATTTCATAACATCAGATGATGCTGTACCCCGGTAATCTCAACAAACTGATCTGGGCTGGCTAAAATTTTGCCAGTCTCCATAAACTAATACTTTAAAAATAAATAAAATGAGATCAACACTCATTGATAATATACTGTGCTTGAAAGCAGTCATTTACCTGTGGCAAGAAAAAACTAACTCTGGGTGGCCAGGAAACATAATTCACAGAATGTGTTTCTTCCTTATTTTGAATTTTAAAATATCTGCATTAATGTATCACTCTTAATCATTTATATGTATGCTATATGTATGACTAAGCATGTTTAAAAGCAGACATCCTTAAACTAAGCCAACCTCTTACATACCATATAAATGTTTTTTGCAGTCTCTGAGCTGTTGGTATACAAAAGTGCTTCATTCTCAACAATCACTGTCCAGTTGCCATTTTTAAAAATTGTGTATATGGAAATTTTGAGGTGAAAATGAAGAGGCAGCTTAGAGGGAATGGAATATGTTTTTATCACCTTGTAGACAGGATACTGAATTAAATAGTGAAGAATGTCCTCTGCATATAAGCAACACTCATTGCAAAAGATGTCTCCATAGCAACCATTCAGAACTGCAGAGGGCACTTGCTGGAAGCCCAATCAATTGTAAAAACACATTTAAGAAGTGTCTTAGAACAATGCTTCAAGATCGGATAATTCATTGGCTGTTCACATCTATGGTCAGATTTAATCTTACAGCATCAAACCAAAACACAGAGGTTACAGTCATCAACAATATCAATTTTACTAAGTGACAGCCTACAGACAGATCAGTTTTGTAAGATGAAAATATTCTTCAAACTAAACTTTCAGTTCTGTTTTAGCAGTTGAAATCTTGTTGCTGTATTAGGTGTGAGAATTAATCTTTATTATTTATTTACTGTATTTGTATACCGCCTTTCTCAGCCCATAGGCGACTCAAGGTGGGTAACAGGGCAAAATTCAATGCTTACAATGTCATAAATACAATTAAAAACATAACATATAATAAAAACTATATCCGCTTTGCATATAAGTACAATAGCCAATACAACACCACAGCACTAGAGGGGAAAAGGCGACAACTTATTTTGGTAACAGCTGTACACATGGGTCTGGAACCAGATATCAACCAACCTGCATTGACCAACGCACCAGCACTTTGCCACAGATGCCAGATACCGTAGGGATGTCAGAAGCTGATCAACTGAGATCTCTCAGCCATCGGGGGAGAAGGGAAAATTTGACATGTGTCTGTTTCCCGTTTGGCCCAAATCTGCGCAGGCCCACAGTCAACCCCCCACTCCACCACAAATCCCCCAGTGGGACCCTATTTTTGACCAGTGCACAAGCCAACGAGTTCCCCCCTGGCTGGATTCACAACCCATGGCACCAGCCCAAAGTTGCGATAAGCCAAGAATCACCAAAACGAAGCTCCAAAGATAAAGGGAAGATGGGTGAGGAAAAGAACGAAACAGAGTGAGGTGGAGAAAATATCCCAATCTCTTTAAACCTCATCACCCAACCAGAATAGAAGCTTTATCCTGTCACCCTGGCTGGATGAATGTATTACTGGCCAACGATTGGGAGAGCAGCAAGATATTTTGAAGTCAATCACCAACAGCTAATTGGAGCCCCTGGTGGCGCAATGGGTTAAAGCACTGAGCCGGCAGGACTGAAGACCGACAGGTCGCAGGTTCGAATCCGGGGAGAGGCGGATGAGCTCCCTCTATTAGCTCCAGCTCCTCATGCGGGGACATGAGAGAAGTCTCCCACAAGGATGATAAAATATCAAAAATCATCCAGGCGTCCCCTGGGCAACGTCCTTGCAGACGGCCAATTCTCTCACAACAGGAGCAGTTGCTCCTGACATGACAAAAACAAAAAAACAAAAAAACAAAAAAACAAAAAACCAGCTAATTGACTCATGCTTGTTTCCTGTTCCCCAAACTACAATCGCCCATTAAGTTGGGCATCAAGTGAACAGAAATTCAAGTCAGGATAAGAGACAAAATACTGCATAATATGCGTACAACACTTGTGGTTGTACACATATTATCCCTCACACACACACACACCCCACGTCCCTCAGATCCAGAACCTCAGAACCAGAGACACATTTGCTTCAACATTTTTAAAAGGCTAGTTCTAGGTCCTAGGACAGATTTGCAAAGCTAGCTACAACTGAGTGCAAAACTACAAAAATAAGACACTGCAGAATGTCAGGACACCACGTATTTCAGAATCTTGGTTTTATTCCAAAGACTTCAGTAATAGAAGATAAATGCACGGTCAAAACCAGAACAAAAAGATGCAATTGTAGAAAATTATTCTTCTACCAGAACAGAACAAGAAATAATGCAAAACCCTAATTATAGGATAATTAATGAAATACTAATTAACTTTCATTTTATTGCTTAGACTAAAAGCTTGTCTCAGTACTACTTTTGGCAAAATTACTCCTATCTAATTTAAACCCATGGTATGGACTAATTCACAAATTTAAATCTACTTCACATGTAACGGTAACTGGAAGAGACATATAAAGGCAGCCAAAATATCCACTTGGAGGTCAGCAAAATCAATTCTAGCCTTTGGGAAAACAAAGGGGGGGGGGTTCTTTGACATGTCCTGCAATTAAGATTTTTACTGCTAAAATTCTACCACAATTGTTATATGGAGCGGAAATATGGGGACAGGGTAGCACAAAGCAGGTTGCATATATCCAGAATAAGTTTGTAAAGGCTCTTTTAGCCCTGCCCCCGCGAAACCATCTGCCTTGTTAAGGCTTGAATTGGATGTTTCCTCACTTATTTATTTATTGTATTTACTTCATTTATACCCTGTCTTTCTCACCCCACAGGGGACTCATGGTGGCTTACAAAATTCTGGCTAAAGTTCAATGCCGCATATAAACTCAACAATAAAACATATCCCATCAAACTATAAAGCAAATAAAACACATGGAACAATAAAAACAGATTAAGACCATATGCATAAGCTTAACATCTCATATGAGAAGAGACTTTTGGAAACGGAGGATGGGAGTATAACAAAGCAATGCTTGATGGATCAATATAAGTGGGGAGACTGGCCTCAATATTGGTTGGCCGTGCTCCATCAGTACTTTGACAGGTCAACAACAACTCTAATGCAGTTGGACAAGAAGGCGATTAGAGATAAAATCTTTAGAGTTGGATACATGTGACAATTTGCAGGACAGTAAACAACAGGGTTTCACAACTTGTTATCCTCCATTAAAGAGTGACCATTATTGGCAACAATATCTTCAAGACATAACGGCTGTAGCCCTCAGGAAAGTATTTACAGTCCTACACTTCCAGACAATACCATCAGGCTGGTTAGAGGGAAGACTTTGTATTTGTGGGTCGAAGGAAAGAGAAGATTTAATACGTTATCTGTTACATTGCCCTTTGTATAATGATCCTAGAAATAATCTTCTGGGAGAAAGGGCAGCGCTGCAACAGTCAGCAGTTAACTGTGACCTGTTAGCATATTATTCCAAAAATATAATATTAAAGGTTGCCACATTTGAAGTCATAGCCCAAAAAATCTGAGCTAAATTTGTAAAGTCCACAGAGGAGACTAGAAATGGAAATGGAAACCAGAATATCAGGGCGGAAAATCCCATAATATCTACTTTGAACTGGGTTATGTGTGTCCACACTGCCATATATTCCAGTTCAAAGCAAAACATGTGGGGTTTTATTCAGTTCTGTGGAAGGGGCCTAAGTTTCATAAAGCAAGAATCCATTGTCCCCCCCCCCCCCATCTCATTCACCATGCATATTCAAATAGAGGTGTTCGAATATTCCACCAAAAAATTCCAAAATTTATAAAAAGATCTGGTCTCAAGTATTTCAGATCAGGAAGACTCAATCTATAGTAGTTATCTTGACTTGGTAATCTCCTTTACATACCTGTGTGATGACAAAGAAAGCAGGCATCTATTTTGTAATGTATTTAGTTTCAAACATTAGTAAAAGACCTCTATCCAATATTTCAAACTGGAATAGTCTACATTTTAGAAAAAAATCTTGTTTTAGCAAGCTCAACATAACTAATCACAATCCAGCCTTCATACAAACTGCAATGGAAATCTTAAACAACTCATTTAAAAAAAAAAACCTAATTATCATATTACTTGTATTGCTGGAGAACTATAGAGCAGTGCATAGCCGTGGGTTTCAGAACTTTTCTAAAGACTTAGGAAATTGTTTTTAATGTTTGAAGCACACAATTCTGAACATTTTAGTAACAACACAAAAAGGCCTGAGCATATATTGTACAGGGCCATGAAGACAACGTATGACTGGACAGTGTGTGTATACACACACACACACAATTATCAGGAAGTGGTGAAAAAGTTGGCATTTTTAGAACCTCAGTTTTCAGAAAAGACAGCAAGTTTCAGGCCTCCCTGATGCTGAAAAAATACCCTTGGTACAGAGATAGCTAGGGAACTGAATGACAATAGCATGAAAGCAAGGCACTACCATTCTGCATATGTCTCCATCCTTATTCCTAGGAAACTCTTATCAGCTACTAAAAATTAGTGGCTCTCACTTATCTATCCCTCAAACCCCACCTAACCATGAAAAATGTTATTTGAAATGTCAAAAGTGGGTTTCTATAATGCTATCCTGAGTAGATAAATATCAACTTTTAAACAGAAAAATGGCAGCTGGCAATTTTAAAACGATCACTGACTGTCCTTTTACAAAAATACTAAACTGGACAAGAAATACTTGATTTTCTGGGATAGAGACTGCTCTGCAAGCTCATTTGCATTTACCCACTGAAAGTTGATTTTCAATGACCATATGAATAATACTTCCTAGAAAGAGACAGCTTACCTTTTTGGCGCTTCATCTGTGGAAAGCTGCTGATAGTGGTTGCCTGAACTATTTCCACTACAATCTGGTACCTAGTACAAAAGGAAAAGGAATTCTGTCATTTCTGCTCTCTAATAATAGAAAAAGTTTAGAAATCTTAAGTGTTTGGACTGAAACTCGACTAACTAGAAGGTTCTAGGAGACGTAATATAAAAATCCATGAAATCAATGTAATTTTTCACCCCCGAAATAACATGGCAGTGTAACTCCATCGATGTGCAGAAAATCTCCTCGGCTAAGATTACAGACAGCAATTTACACCATCCTGAAGAGAGCTGATAAAAAGTGCAGTGACATTATACGTCTCCATAGCAGCAGCTTATCTTTCAATTGAAGAAAGCATACTCATTAAAATAATAAATTCCACATCAATTCAGATTTTAGATACGCTCTATCCAAGTTATTTTCAGTGTCAGCTAACCTCCATTACAGCAAATAATATGAAGGGACACACAATGAAGTAGTTGAGTTACAGACTAGTTTAATATAATCACCTAATGCACTCTGTCCGAGAAAATATAATTTATTTCTTATCTTATCTTTTGTTCTGTCACATTTATCCAATTCTTGATGTTCTATTTGGCTATATTAGCATGCACAATAATCAGAAACATTTCAACAGGAATGAGGATTGATTATATAAGGCAGTGGTTCCCAAACTGTGGTCCATGGACCACCAGTGGTCTGCAAGAACTAAAATACGGTCCGCTGCCTCACTGTTACTACACTGTTGCAACAAGAACAACTGGTCTTGTGAAACCCTCTTATAGTGCCAAGGTTTATTAAATATGTTTTCTGTGGGCAAGCAGATGGCGACTACTGAATGGTATATGTTCTGTATCAGAACCTAGAGCTGATATGGTCTATCCCAGGAGTTCTCAAACTTTTTAAACAGAGGGCCAAGTCACAGCCCCTCAAACTGTTGGAGGGCCGGATTATAATTTGAAAAAAACCATGAATGAATTCCTATGCACACTGCACATTTATTATTTGTAGTGCTAAAAACACTTAAAAGCAATACAATAATTAAAACGAAGAACAATTTTAACAAATATAAACTTATTAGTATTTCAATGGGAATTTGGGCCTACTTTTACCTGATGAGATAGGATTGTTGTTGTTGTGTGCTTTCAAGTCATTTCAAACTTAGTTTGACCCTGAGCGAGGATCGGGTAAATGACCTTGGAGGGCTGTATCCAGCCCCCAGGCATTAGTTTGGGGACCCCTGGTCTATCCAATGCAATTTTCTGAATCAACACCCCAAATAACCAAACTGAATCTAAAGTTGATCAAAACCTGATTCGGATCCCTTTTGGTACTAATGTTGGAGAGTTGTCCCTGGTCAAAAAAAACTTGGAAACCACTGCTGTAAGGCAAGGCTATTTATTTGCAGATTCTTGCATTGCTTTTATCCTAACAAACTGATGCATATAATTACATTTCCATTTCCATGGATAAAGGAATGCATCGGTTCGGGGTTTCAAAGTCAGTGCTTAATAGAAATATAGCTACAAAAGTTATGCAACAAGATTAGGGAACCTTCCAGATACTGCTAAATTCCAGCTTCCCTTAACTCAGATGAACATGGCCAATGGTCATAGATAATGGGGTCTACAGTTTAATATCACATGAAGGACCTCAGGTTTCTAATTGATGTTTTATACCCTTCAAATACACACAATGTTTTTCTTTTTCTGGGATAACATCTCAGGGGTTTGAATGTGCAACCTGGAAGGATCCTAGTTCCTATGCCTGGTCTTTCTTCCTTCTTCCACCTGACTTAGATCTTGTTCTGAAGTCCGGGGCTTTATTGCTTAATCAGTGTGTCTGAAAGGACTTTTCACTTTTGCCCTCTCAGATTATCTCTCTCTCTTTATTTCATCTCAAGGATAAGCAAATAACCCAGGCAGCTCTCACTACAAATCCTCAGACCTGACAAGACTGAAGGTACACATGTACAATTACAGCAAAGAGCTATTTCATATTTTAACTTTCACTCACAAATGCCATTTAGACTGGTTTAAAAAAACAGTAGTTACTCAAAAATTCAACTGACCGACAAATCAAAGACTAGTATGTCTATGAATCAAACTAAAATTTCCTTAGTCTGAATAACTAATACATTGCACAAAAGATAAGATAGCAGGAACTAGAATTTAAATCTGAAAGTGGAACCTAATCTATAGTGCAAGAGTAAAACATGCTGAGGCCCTAAACTATGTCAAATGTGAGACATCACCAAAAACAAGTTGAAGGTTGTTGTTTATTTTTAAGTTTAAAAGTCTTGCATAATCTGAGACCCTACACTGCTGGTTATTTGGTTTATGTGCTATTCCAGTTCTGCAAATCTAATGTGCTCAGATTTCAGAATTTTTTTCAAATATAGAAAGAATTAAGGCCATTTGATCCTTTGATTAGTAGAAGTCTCTGGGCTGGCTAGGCCAGACATAACTCCCAATATTGCCTTGCCTGCTTTTGTACAGTCGAAACAAGCAAAACCTTTTGCCTCCAGTACTTGACTACAGAAACCCTATGTGAAGGCTCTCCCAATCTTGTGTCTACTGCAGCTCTCCAAATTGCCCCTTACATACACCACAGATGTTGGAATGTATTTATCCTCTCTGACTTTTGATTTTGCTCCTCTTACTAAATAACTGTATGGGTACTGGGCTGAGTGTTTTATGAGCAAACATCAGATACCTTAGTTGTTTGAGGAACTCAACATCAGAGTTGCCGCTGATAAGCTTGATGAACTCTTCATAAGAAGGAGCATATGTGTAGGCCCTTTTGTGATGTTCGTTCACCTGCTCTCTGTACTCCATCTGGGCAAGCAGCATTTGGTTGATGTAGTTGGGATCACTCAGCAGCTCAACCATTGGTTTTAGCACTGAAACAACAACAACAAATTGACACATCACAGAAAACTGTATCTTTGCATCAAACATGATTGGCTTGTCATTCTGGATACAAATATTGACTAAGTATAAGATGCCTATTTACAGCTCATTACTATTCATCTTTCACTTATAAGCAGGCCTCACAGTGTTTGATGAGGCTTACTGCCAAGAAGAACAGATTAGATTGCAATCTTAACAGCTTTTTTCAAAAACAGCAAGAGGTGGCATTCAATCTTAAAAATTAAAATCACTGAAGTCTGAAAACCCAGTCTTTAAAAGTATGGATCATTCAAGCTTTTTAAACTGTATTTATAACACTCTAAAATTAGAGCTTCAATTATTAAACTGGCCGATAAGCAATTTAGAGGAATTGATTGATGCAGCAGATTCAAGATCAGTAGGATTACAAAGTGAATCCATGTGTGTTTACTGTGTGCAAAATTTGACCTGGCATTTATCAAAGGTCAAAGCACTATCCAGACAAAAAAAATCAAAATGCTATCCATGCAAAAAGCCCCTGCTCAATCCCTATCATTTCCAGGTAAACTGGAGAAAGTAGTGTTTGTGTAGATACATAACTTGAGCTGACTGTATACACATGGTGTGTGGTTTATATAGAAAGCTTGACTTTAAAATGCAATACTTACTAATATACAGGTTGCTTTTGTTATTACACTTCCTGATGCGATTGCTTAACCATCTCTTAATACCATATTTCAACGAATCTAGGGTGCTGTTGTTTCTAAGACTGAAGCTCCTTTTTAGGAGATTCAGTTTTAGAAAAAAAGAATTTTTGATTCCAAAGACGCACCCCCCTTTTTGGAGCTCCAATTTTGGAAAAACAAGGGGAACTGCGCCATCTTTAAATCCATTCTTTCAAGGAGACCAGCACATTTTTAAAACGTATTATTTCGAAGGGATCTGCCTCATCTTTAAATCCCTTCTTTCAAGGAGATCAGATTTCAGACTGCATTGTTTTTTAAATAATTTGTATTAATGTTTATATGCTTTTTAATTTTATGTTTTTAATGTATGCATTTATTTTATTATGTGTCTGTTTTATGTGGCACTGAATTGTTGCCAATTGTAAGGCTGCCCTTTGGGGTGAGGAGGGCAGGGTATAACTACAGTAAACAAATAAATAACGCTATTAAAACCTATTTCAAAATGAATAGGGAGAATGGGTTTCCCACCCAAACTAACACAGTAATGCTATCAGCAAAACATGAGGACTTTTTCAAAAAAAAAAAAAATCAACCCTGCACTTCAAGGACATCATCCATTGCAAGGCACACCCCTTTTTTGGAACCTCAATTTTGGGTAAAATACTGTGCCCTAGATTTGGTAACGGCGCTCCATGAAGTCATGCTGGCCACATGACCTTGGAGGTGTCTACGGACAACGCTGGCTCTCTGGCTTAGAAATGGAGATGAGCACCCCATCCCAGAGTCAGACATGACTGGACTTAATGTCAGGGGACTACCTTACCTTACCTTTAGATTTGGTGTAATATGGCAATTACCTTTTGATGCAAGTATTTCTGCAAGGACTATGCGCAAGCTTTGAGAGCGGGCATCCTTTGAGGGTAGAAGACAATACACCAGAATCTGAGAACATGATTGCAGGAATCTTGCTTCTTCATCTGAATTCGTCAAACAAGGGTGCAATAAAAATGGTCGTGGCTGCTCTTCTAGTCTAGAAAAGAAAATGCAATTATCTTCCAGCCACCATTGCTTAAAATATGAGACCCCTAAAGATTAGCTATATAAAAAAATTACAAAAAATTAGCTTTGCTGTATTTATGTTATTGCAACTGCAAAATAGGAATTGCACATGTGGTGCAACTATATATAGTCTTAAAATCCCTTGCTTTCTCCCTCATTCACCCTAGGGGAAAAAAACACAGCATGTTCATTCACTTGAGCCACGTTAAATTAATAATGCTACAGAAATTTTGCACATTTCTCTTGCACTTTTGGGAGAACATACTTCACACTTCGATCCACACACAGATTAGCTGCATTCATATAAAATTATATATATATATATATATATATATATATATATATATATACACACACACACACACACACACACACACACACACATACATATATATATATATATAAAAAATATTTATTTATTTATTTATTTATTTGAGGGAATGAGCCTATGTATGTGCCTCATCCTAATTCCCTTTATGTTTCTAATCACATCAAAACCTTGACCCAATGTGTCTATTCCCAACTATATTTTCTTTTAAAAAACAACAAACTTATCTTTAAACTATGGTTGGCTGCATTTTTAAATTACACCACAGTAAAGATTAGATTTCAGTACTATCACTATATTTACTTCACTTCACTTCACTTTATTTCTTAATTAGTTGCTCTCCACCAAGGTGCTCCGAGCGACTTACAATTTAAAGTAGCATTTACACAATATAAAAACATTCAACATAAAAACATACAACAGTGACTATTTGGCAAATTAGATCTGATCACTTTACTTAAATGCACAACCAAACAGCCAAGTCTTGAGCACCTTTACAAAAGGTTGCAACATTGTGATTATAAAAAACAAGACAGTATTTTAAGTTTCCAAACTATAGATAGAGGCAGGCAAGGGAGCTGTATTGTCCAAATGCTTGCACCAGCTCATCCTCATAATTCCAAACCGTGATTCAGCATTATGTTAAATTGCAGCCATAAATGCAGCAAATGCATCCAAGTCTCATAACTTGCATGCAGTAAAATAAAACACAATTTATTCAGGAAAGTGGTGTGGAGATTAAAATTTTAGTCAGTTACCGTTAAATAGCTTCCAAACTCTATAATATCTTTCAAATATATCAGCATTCAAAATCTGGATTGAGATACAAAACAGTGAAAGCAGAAAGTAGAGTAAAAATGGTGAAAAGTCACTTGTCTGGTTGCCTATAGCTAGTAATATTTGCGAATAGAGTAACTGGTTAGTTCCTAGTAGGCCATAACTAACGTAAAAAAGATAATGGAGCAGCTCGCCTATCTTTCCACCCAAACCCCATAGCAACTGAACTTAACACCCCTCTCTAGCACAGAGACAAACACACACTCCAAAACCACATCACCTTTCTGTTTTTGGGTTTTTTTTTTTCTTTCCTCCCCATTCCTATTTGGGCCAAGTCTTTTTTCAGATTGTCAGACTGAAGGCTGAGAATCACTCTTTTCACTGAGATGGAAAGGCACCTCATCTTGTTTACAACGAAGCAGCTATATGCCTTCAAACTGCCTGCTGATTTATCATGACCCTATGACTTTCATAGGGCTTTCCTAGGCAATGAATATCCAGTTGTAATTTTGCCAGCACAGATGCCTCAAATAAATGAAAACTGCTCCTCTTGCTCCTCTGCCACTACAGTAAGGGAAAAGGGAAGTGGGTATTTCAGTGGCCAGTTTTAGCAGAATATGAGGGGCTTGTTCACCTGGAAAGGGGGCCTAATTTTTTTGTGCAGGTCTTCCCATCCCATATTCTTCTTCCAGCCTGCAAAGCACTACTCTACTGCTGTTTTTCTACTACAGGGTGGAAGGCTGTGATTTCCTTTCCCTGCCTGCATTCCCAGCCCTGTGGCTGCAGTTTAAAACGCTGCCGTTTGTTTGTGTGAGAGTTACCCTGTGCTGAGGAGTTGAAATAAAGGCAAAAGTGAAAGGGAGTGAGAAGTAGAAGATGCAAAGAACAAGAAAAACAAACTAAGACAGTGACTGAAGTTCAAGGGTACATTCAGCTGACCTCTCACTGAAGAAGCAATTGACACAAAAGGTTGCTGGTCAGTGAAAGTACCTCTTCAATTACTGGAGATTACTCCATATATCTTTGCCTGGATTTCACCTTGACACCGGGTTTTGCTCTAGCTCTGATATTAAGACAGATTTTTGTATTTCACAAGCAAACCCACTGAGAATTTTCAGCATTTAGGTAATTTTACAAGATATATGCAAAGTGTTTGGGATAGTTGTTTTCCCTTAATTTTATAATTCTTGTTATTTTACTATTTGCTACTATATAATTTCACAATCTTATTACTTATTATTTTACAATTTTACTATTTTTAGTATTTTAAGTATCAATTCAATGAGATATGTATCTTGATTTATTCTCCTGCTTTCTAATAATTTGAAAGTAAAAGTAGCAACATCTTTGTACAAAACCCAGGAGTATCAAACAATTCTGACTTTGATTTTAGGCATAGTTAAACTCTCAAAGCCATAGGATGGCCTCTACACGGGCCCAGTTACGTAAAGCCTCTGCTCTTAAAACTCTTTTTCCACCAAACTAATAAGAGAAGACTGTAGGAGAATCCTGTGTCATACCAAGGGGCCTTCTAGCTTGTGAAATTGTCTACAAAGCTGTTAAACCTAAATTTGCAAAGAATACCCTGTAATTGGGTTTAGTATAACTTACCCGCAAAAGATTTAAAAGAACAATTAAGATTGTGTCATATCTTTGTGTATTGCAAAAAAAGGTCAAAGTAATTAGGTATCAAAAAAGTGACTCAATGGTGATAAGGTAAGAAGGTTGAAATAGGGAAATTGCAAATCATCTCATGGAAGGAAAAGGAAAAAAATAACAATTCTGAAAAGAAAAAAAAGCAGAAGCCCTCCTTCCTAGCTACTCATTTATTCTGGCTTCTCTACAGATGAAAGCAAAATGAACAAAGAAAAGTAGATGTTCAAAAAAACGGTGACAATGAAGACAAAAAATGCATGGAGAGTTGTGATTGCTGAGCTCTGATGAGAAAAATCAGTCATGAAGTTTCTCCCTCTTTCGTAGCAGTGTGCTTCAGCTGTAATGATTTATTTCACTTTGCACATATGAGTTGTGAATTTAAATTATTTGTTTAACACAAAGAAGTGGGCTGAGGCCTCAGGTATCAGGACTGGGAAAGAACCATCTACCAAAGATCTCAGAGAAGAGCTGCCAATCTGAATAAGTACTCAAGGTATGGACAAACACAGTAATCAAGTAATTAAAGTAAGGACAAACATTCTAGTTTAGTACCAGTTTTGTATGGAATATGGCACAAGGACACTGTGCCACAGCTAAATGATTCATTAGTTCTTTTCTTGAGACAATTTTGTATGCACAAAACAAGTTACTTTTATTTTGCTTATATTTGTTAACACTGTATTACAAAAGAAAAATAAATCAATCCTGACATACAACATCCCTGTTTCATCCTCCCACAAATATCCCCTTTGCATAGGTAAATGTAAAGGTTTCCCCTGACATTAAGTCTAGTTGTGTCTGATTCTGGGGGGTTTCTAAACTGAAGAGCCGGCATTGTCTGTAGACGCCTCCTAGGTCACGTGGTTGGCATGACTGCATGAAGCACCATTCCTTTCCAGAAGTGGTACCTATTGATGTCTTCAAACTGCTAGGTTGACAGAAGGTGGGCCTAACAGCTGGAGCTCACCCCGTTCCCCAGATTTGAACTGCCAACCTTTCGGTCAGCAAGTTCAGCAGCTCAGCGGTTTAACCCGGTGCACCAGCAAATGCATATCTGCCACGTATGCTTTTTAAAAGATGGGGAAAGTCACTCTTCCCATATTAAGTATGAAAAGATTATCAAACTGCATTGCGTGGTCTTAAAAATTTCCCAGATTCAAGATGTTAACAGATGTCATCAACCAATTAGCCAAATTCATCACCCCTTGTATTCATTCATCCTACCCATCTCCTAGGACTCATTTTGAGGTGTTCAGACCATCCTTGAAGAAAAGGAATGGACAGATAAACCAAAGCAAATGCTGCTATAATGTGATTTTATTCCCTCTTACAAGTAAATGCTCTGACAAATTACTACTTCTTTTGCAATGGCTACAAAATCTATTTTCCACATTAAACTATATGTTTTCTTATAATAATAGAATGGAGAATTATTTCAGTCCATCTTATTAAAAAGCCGTCAATCTGCAAAGAGGCTTGGAAAGTGATACCCATTGTGCAAATGCCTATTTAAAAGGTCAGAGTGAAGTCTACTTTTCCATTTCCAATCAGAATATGCTTTCAGTAAGTGCTTGCATGCAGAGGGCAAGTGTACAAGAATATACTGGATAGACTTCTCTCACCAGGTACTTGAAAAACCTTTCTGAAACTCACAGCGCAAGAAAAGTACTTAACAATGTTCCAACCTGTTCTCATGATGTATCAATTCCGGGCAGCAATATGTCAGTAAGAAGAGAAAATTTTGTGGGGAGCGGCAGGGGCCATTTGACTATACTGAGTTAATCACATCCTCCAAGCCAGTGATTTCCAAACTCTGATTCCCCTGATGTTTTGGAATTCAACTCGTTCAACCCCCAACAGCCTCAGCTACTTTGGCCAATGGCCAGAGTTCCTGGAGCTCATGTACAAAAGACCTAAAGAACCAGAGTTTGGGAATCAGTGCTCTAAACCAATGCTACTCCAAAATGGGGTTCCCAGATCAAGCGTGCTAGAAATTGGGACATCCCACATCTTTGCACCCTTGGCTCACCACGCATTGGATGGAAGGCTGATTGTATAATTATCCAAATTTATACAAAGTAAAGGGATCTCTATGTATAGGTGATGGTAAAGTTAAAGGTAAAGGTTTCCCTTTGACATTAAGTCTAGTTGTGTCCGACGCTGGGGGGTGGGGCTTATCTCCCTTTCTAAGCCAAAGAGCCAGCATTGTCTGTAGACACCTCCTAGGTAATGTCGCTGGTATGACTGCATGGAGTGCCATTACCTTCCCACTGAAGCAGTATCTATTGATCTACTCACCTTTGCATGTTTTCAAACTGCTAGATTGGCAGAATCTGAGGCTAACAGCAGGAGCTTACCCAGCTCTCCAGATTTGAACCAACCTTTCAGTCAGCAAGTTCTGCAGCTCAGCGGTTTAACCTACTGCGCCACTGGAGGCTCCGTTGACAGAAATACCCTATATACTCATGAAAAAAATCTAGAAAACCTGTGTCAAGTTATCTATCTATGAAGACCTTCCCTAGAGGTCTTTAAAAAGAACCTTAAAACCTGGCTCTTCCGCTGCGCCTTTGATGAGTAGGTATATAATCCCACATGATTGCTCTGCTTCAAAGTTCTGTCACTGGAGTATACATCCCCCCTCGTGGGAAAGCTTCCTTCCACAACTCCCGCTGGAATGAGCCCTCCTCCGTAAATTATCTGCTTCCCTCTTTTATCTCACCCGACTTTTTAATTAGTTTTAATCAGTTTATCCTCTTGATTACTACATGTTGCCCGCCCATTATTATTGTGCCTGTGCATATTTTTTATTTTTCATATTGTTATGTATTCATGTGTTTTATTTAACTATGATGTTATTGTTTATTGTTCGTGTTTTCGGTTTGTGTTTTTGGTTTTCTTTATTGTAACTGTTATTTGGGCTTGGCCTCATGTAAGCCGCTCCAAGTCCCCATTGGGGAGATGGTGGCAGGGTAACAAATAAAGTTTTTTATTTTTTTTTTATTATTATTATTATTATTATTATTATTATTATTATTATTACCGTACCTTTAGTCTTATTTTAAAAAGCATCCATCTCTTTCTCTGAATAGAGTGGTTAAAGGCAAGAATGTAGTCCATCCTGGGAGAATCTAAAAATAAGCACTAAACCCCTCTACCCCACCGTTGTGATGCCACTTCTGGCCTTTTTGAATGTGGGGGCAGGAGAAATGATCCTGGTGACAAGGGGCAGCTGCCTCCCTGAATTAGAATTGGTGTTTTCATCTCTCCATAGAATGACTCTTGACTTATCCATGGGTCACCTTATACATGAGTACATACTCACTCCCACTCTATATATATGGCCAATAATTTCATCAGAAAGAAAGGTACTACATCAGTGGTTCTCAAACTGTGGGTCCCTGATGTTTTGGCCTTCAACTCCCAGAAATCCTAACAGCTGGTAAACTGGCTGGGATTTTTGGGAGTTGTAGGCCAAAACACCTGGGGACCCACAGGTTGAGAACCACTGTCTTAGGCAATATAACTACCAAGTGTCTGGCACTCTCACTAACGTTGAAGTTCCTTCATTACTTCTGTACTTCATGATCCTTTTTCAAGGGAAGTGCGAGCAGTCCTGAGAAACCACTGCACTAGATAAACTAATGTTTTCCCCAAAAATGTTAGTCATGACCTTTTCAAAGGAAACTGGCCATGCATGTATTCTGGCTTCCTGTATCTCTATATCAGCCTTTCAAAATAAAACTGGGCATGAGATAAATCAGAAAGACATTCTCGACAGCAATACATCTAAATGCTACTTTCCAGAGCATTTCTAGCAAGATTTCCACGTATAACTTCACAAAGAACTGCCAAGAATTACCTGAGGGAAAACAGGTAGCTGTACATCTTGAGAGAATAGTAAATTTAAAATATGTGTGTACTGTTAAAGCCTTGTGATTTAAAAGAAGCTCTAAATGAAATTGCTACTACTAAAATAATAAATGTTTTTCTTTGTGAAATTTGGTAGGAAGGACAGCCTATGAAACAAGTCAGGTACTTCACATTTTTCATATACTAGAACATTTTTGACAGGACTTGAGATTGCTATTTGCAAAGAAAAATCCTCTCATGTTTTCCACATCCATTACATTCATGAAAATGACTATTGCAAAAGCTATTTAGGAAATGAGGGAAAAGAAAGAAAATGGTGCAAGGAGTACTTCAATTACTCAGCTTAGTTCTGAAGTACATTAGTTCTTTTCACAACAGAGCTGAGGTGTTTTTCAAGAGTTTATCAAGCCTTCTGAATATCAAAACCATTAGTAATTTGCAAGGGATTCTTCTAAAAACATGAGCAATAGCAAGTTTGTCACTAAATCATAAGAGCTGTACTGAAGATGCAACTAAAAGAGTTTCATATCTTGAATCATTACTCTAGCCTGTTAGAAAATTGAAAACTAACTATAATGTAACAAAAGGTGCAGAGCGGAAGTTTCAAATCAATACCATATTATTTTTGCAAACAAAAATGCATCTTTGCATATCGCATCTGCCTAAAATGCAGGAAAGAAAATTGCATAGATCTCATTGAAACGTCAGGCCCCTTTTACACCGCCCTATATCCCAGGATCTGATCCCAGATTATCTTCTTTAAACTGGATTATATGAGTCTCCACTGCCAAATAATCTGGGATAAACAGATAATCTGGGATCCGATCCTAGGCTATAGAGACAGCGTGGAAGGAGCCTCAGAAGCAGTCTGTTAGGTTCCCTAACCTTTTCAGAAAGAATTCTGATTCTCGGGAAGGTTTTAAGCAGAGGAGGGGGGAGCACTCTATGTTTCTTAAGATAACACAAGTACTAATCTTAATTACTAATAACATCAATAAAGAATTTAACACCGTTCTCGAAAGTTATTTGCACAAATCAAAACATTCAGCAATTATGTTATAAAGCACATAGTGATGTCCAAGTGGGAGTTCTTGTCCAAGTTAGAGTATCTGTTCTATTACTACTTTATATTAATATCCAAACCTTCCTCCAAGGTAGTTGAGGACATCTACTCTATAGTTATAATCTCATCAAGCAAGCTATATCTAGGAAAATGGCTCTTTATTTTCAAAAAGGCATGCCATTATTTATTTGTAATATGCCGTCTTCCCTTCATTAATTTGATATAGTTTTTAAAACGTCATTTGACTTGTTATAATGCTGACATAACATTAAGATCAGTGTTGCTATAAACCCTGCTCCCCCCCCCCAAAAAAAAACCAACTAATTATTTTGTTAAAACTGAACCAATGACACCAATGTCAGAATTATGACACCATTCCTCATAAACATTTTGAAAGGCAGGATCTCAGAAGTAGCACAGGAAATGCCAATTGCTAGTCAATTCCTGGCACAACAGAATTGGATCTATATTAGATGTCACAATGTGCTATTCAAAATACATGATTTCTTTAAAAAAAGAATTATGTTTATAATCCTGTGTTTTTAGTTGCTTTGAGTTTCCTATAAGAGAAGAAAGCAGGATATAAATGAATACCATCATCACCTTTTTCGAGTTCAGCACTGGACCTGCTTTCTAGATGATTTGATTAAATGCAACCCAAACACAAAGTGCAGAGAGGGGTGCATTAACTTATGGTAGTCTTGCTTACCTGTTGTCATTGTGTTAAGTGTGTTCACTCTAAATATTTCCAATACAATTCTCCGATACTCAACACAGTTTAGGGAAGAAGAAGAAAGAACAGGAAGAAAGAAAAGGAAAAAACGCCTAAGTGAAACGAAGTGTGGAGGTGGAGTGTAGGTTCTTACCTGGAATTGGCTGCTTTAAGGTCACAGAAGTGGGAGAACAAAGCTTTCACTACATCATTGCAGACAACTTTAACTACATCAATATGACTGAGCCTTTGCCGCAGCTGCTTGGCAACTTCCCAGAAGTCTTCCAATAGCAGGTGATACAGTTGTCCCTCATCTCGGCTAAGATGCCCATACCAAGACAAAATGTAATCTCTGTAGCTATAGTCAAACACTGGAACAAAAACAATACCAAAGGTGATGTGGTGGGATTCAATCAGGAATCATTGTTTTTTTTCTTTTCTTTTCTTTTCTTTTCTTTTCTTTTCTTTTGAGATTATCTTACTAACAATTCCTGAAAAATATTTCTGTTGGGTTGCTGTGAGTTTTCTGGGCTCCTGGACCAGGGCCATATAGCCTGGAAACTCACAGCAACCCAATGATTGTGGCCATGAAAGCCTTCGACAACACAATATTTCTGTTATTTTCCCTTTAAAATTTACATTCTCTCTCTCTTTGAAAAAATGAGACATGTAATGTTGCAGTACAAAAGAAAACACTGATTGTAAGAAAGATTACTAGACTTCAACAAGGAAAAGCCTGTATGTAGATTTAGTCAGTCAGCAGCCTGAACAGAAATCCCAAGTGGCTGCCTAGTATTACAAGGATGGTTGCCAGATTTCGGATTTTAAACTAGAGAAGGTTCCTATAACTCTAATGGTTCTGTAAATGAGCGAATTTCAGCAGCTGCTGAATTTTCTGGTTGCATGACAAGCAATCTCTACTGAGTTATTGTAGGTTTTTTGGGATATAGGGCCATGCTCTAGAAGCATCCTCTCCTCACAACCTGAGGATGCCTGCCATAGATGAAGGCGAAACATCAGGAGAGAATGCTTCTGAAACATGTCCATATACGTAGCCCGAAAACCCTACAATAACCCAGTGATTTCAGCCATGGAAGCCTTCAACAATACAGATCTCATGGCAACAATTATGGAGACAAAGACATCTAAAAAACTTATCAATACAGGTTAAAGAAAATTATTACAAGTTAATATGGAAATGGTACCTAACACCAGTAAGAATAGCAAATATAAATAAAAACTATTCAAAAAATCGCTGGAGAGGATGTCAAGAATTAGGAACATATATACATATGTGGTGGCAATGTAAATATGTAAATAAATTTTGGGGGAAAGTATTTAGAGAAATAGAAGATATAATGAGCATTAAAATAGAAAGAAGTCCTAGTATAGCCTTATTATCATTATATAATAATAAACAATTGAAAAAAGAGGATAAAGATGTGATAATAAATTTATTAACAATAGCAAGACTGCTTATAGCAAGGAATTGGAAAAGAGAAATAAATACACAAATAGAGGAGTGGTACAAGGTAGTATGGAAATTGGCAATAAATGATAAGCTGACATGTATATTAAAAGTTAAAAGAGGTATATGGAAACAAAGTGATTTTGATGATGTATGGAGAAAAATTATTGAAAAAGGATTAAAAAATAGAGAAGGAAAACTACCTCCACAAGAAGAATTGAAATTTTGGACAGATGATATGTAAAAGCTGTGGCTTGGGGGGGGGGGGGAGCACAGCAGTGAGGGTTAGAAAAAATGTATAAGCAGAAAAATAACACTAGATATCAAAGTTTAAAAAAGAACAAGAAAAAACCAATACAGATCTCTACTGAAATTCTCCATTCTACACAACCACAGGAGCCCCCTATAGTTTTCACTCTGGCAACCTTAACTAGTTAGAGGTGAATGATGCAGTACATCTATCAAACACACCATTTTGCAACATCTCAAAAATGGGGTTTATTAATTTGTTTGCATATAGTGAGAATTTAGCAAAAGTTCTGGGGAAAAAACAAGATAATTGAGGACGTGATAGTTGATGATATACAATTAGAAAAATATATGTTCTTAATTGCTACTATGAAAAAAATCAGTATCCCAATACTAGAAAACTAGTAGAAAGCCCACAACACAACAATAGCTAAACAGCTTTCAGGATAAAGTTTAGTACAGTATACTATAACATGTTATGTATAACATGTGTGACATTTGAATAGGAAGAAAAAATGAATATAGCTAATAAACTCATAGCAGCTTGGGATCTTTTTTTAAACACTATGAAATTTAGAAATGAGATGTAATATTATCACATCAACTTTTGTAGACAAATAAGGATAATATTCTGAAATAATTATTTTACTTTTAGTTCTGGAATTTACTTATTCAATCATGCTGTAAATTTTGTGTTGCTTTGTTTTGTTTTCTAGTAGAAACATGTAGCATCCACAACAGTTTCCCAATTATGAGTTGAAACCACTTCACATCAATTTGGCTCTCAAATGTATACATATATACATTCAGTTCATCTACAAATGTATATCTTGATTACACTCTCAAATAATTTTGTATAATAAGAACTCTCAATTGGGAAACTGTTGTGGATGCCATATGCAATGCACTCGGACTATGGAGAATCCCCACTTGGCTATGAAAATCTCATGAGTAACTTTGGGTAAATCTCACTCTCTTTGTCCTATAAGGTGGCAAAAGCCCCCCTCTTAACAAATCTTGCCAAGAAACACCTTAGGATCACCATAAGTTGGAAACTACTTAAAGGCACAACAATTAACAATTAAAAGGTAGCATTAAATGAAACCCTCGAGTTTTTATTTTAATATAACTCATACACTACAGTGGAGTACTGGGAATGAAAACCTTCCATTAATAATTTATTATCTTCTGGTCTCAACCCAGAGATGGACAACTTTGATGAGTCTGGAGTCCAATTTCTGGCCAAAGGCTGCACCATCACTTTACTGGGCCACTGAAATTCAGTGGTAAATTATGTTATATTTCAATTGCAGATTTCACAAAGTGCGTTACAACAAAATTTTGCAATCTGCCACAAAACTTTGGGAGCACGGTTTCAGGAACTCGGGAATGCAAGAACAGAGTTGGTGGGAACACGTGTCTTTGAGATACGCACTGTCTACCCAGTGCTGCATAATCTTTTAAGACTTACCTTCTTTCAGAGCTTTGTCCATGTTATGAGAAATCACCACTCTCCTTGACTGAACAGTTTCATGTGCGTTTCCAAGTAAAAGATTCTAGAAGAAAGAAAAAACATACACATACCCCTAAGTGCACATAAAAGCAAGAGAGTTTGTTTACTAGATCTGGAACAGTCCACAATGTGTCTGAAATACAGAGCTAATTTTTATGTAGAAATTACCATCATTAAACTGGAATTTTCCTTCAAAATGTTGCCAAAAACCTGAGCCAAGCTTCCAACTCCAGACTTGCTCAACAACGATTAATCTTGCAGATTACAAAATGTCAGTCACACACAAATATGCATATTATGTAAACTGAAGAGTCAAGATTTATATTTTATTAAAGTAAATGGGTAAAGTTTGACCAGGAAATGGACAACATTTTACAATGTCTTCTTCAGTTAAAAAGGTCTACTCTAGGTGGGACTGAGACTGGTTTAAAACCAAAATACCTTTTAAGAAAAGATAAATGCAACATTACCATCAAAACGACTAAATGCAAGTAACTATATGCTATAAAACACATGAAAAGCAGACATGTATTCTCATTCATTCAATTAAAATTACTGATTATAGCAGTGGTTCTCAACCTGGGGTCCCCAGATGTTTTTGGCCTACAAGTCCCAGAAATCCCAGCCAGTTTACCAGCTGTTAGGATTTCTGGGAGTTGACGGCCAAAAACATCTGGGGAACCGAGGTTGAGAACCACTGTTCTAACCACTTATCTCAAGGGGCAGTTAAATGCAATCTGGGATACTCATGGCTTCTCTGTTCAATTTTTTTTGGTTGTTCAATTTCTGACAACCACAAGAGTGTGTGAACACCAACTGGATTGGGACCAGAGGCTGGAATGAGAGAGAGAAGTGAATCCAGATATGTTTCTTTGTTCCTTCCCAACACACGATCATCAGTCTATCAATTCTAACAACTTCAATCATGTGTTGTCGAAGGCTTTCATGGCTGGAATCACTAGGTTCTTGTGGGTTTTTTTGGGCTGTAGGGCCATGTTCTAGAGGCATTTCTCCTGACATTTCGCCTGCATCTATGGCAAGCATCCTCAGAGGTAGTGAGGTCTGTTGGAAATAGGACAATGGGTTTAATTTCAATCATCTTTGCACTGAGAACAGAGGAGATTATCTGGCAGAACAACAACCTTCCTAAAGACAATAGATCCCATCTGATCTTGAAAGCTAAGCAGGGACTTCTCTGGTTAGGATCTGGATGAGAGACCACAAATGAATACCAGGTGCTGTATGCTAAATGCTCCTCTGTTCCTAAGACCTAAGTGTATGAACATATGAAAATCAGTAGTCTTTCAGATATTCCAGTCTTAAGTTATTACGGGCTTTAAAGTCAAAATTTCAAAGCATGCCCTTTCCCCAAAAACGTTTTCAAACACTCAGCACAAAAAGACAAAACGAAAAGCAAATTTATTCCAGCCTCTTGATTTTTTTTATGGCAGATGCTACAGGGGAAAATAAACCAATTAACAAACCCATCAATAGTTTCTGGAGCACTATGAGGAAGTTAGAACTGGAATTGAGCCAGGAACATAAAGGACATAATGATCTTCGAATGTCCAGACAAAATTTTCTGCTTCAATATAGGCAGAGATTAAAAACCCAGCTGCAGAAGAAGCAATTTCAGATGAGTCACACAAGCTTAATATTCAATATTGAGTCAATTAATATTCTTCACCAGGAATCCAACTATCTCAGGATGTCAATTAATGTCCAGTTCAGCTTTGATAATGAAAAACCATTGCTCTTGGTAGCATTTTAATATTTGTTATCTAACTGTTATTTTAGGATATGTGATTGCTACTGAACCATCTATCCCCCGGTGCAATAGCCAAGGCAATTTATAACCTGGCTTAAAAATCTAATATATGAGTAAGTCTTTTCCCTAAGCATTCAACCTTTTCATTAAAAAAAAAAGAAAACCTTTAACTTTGCCCTTTTGTAAACTGTTTTTATATGTTGTGCACCGCCGCGAGTCGCCCTAGGGCTGAGAGCGGCAATCAATAAATGCAGTAAATAAATAAATAAATAAATAAATAAATAAACAAACTAACTAGTTTCCCATTACGAATTAATTGGAAAACTATAGTTACCATTTCCAGAGTAAGTCAGGGTATTAAACAGTTTGAAATTGCATCAATGCCTTGGGCTTGGCCTATTCCAAATATAATAACTACAGTTTCCTATTTCAGACAAAATTGGAAACTATGTCTGAATTGAGTCTTTCCTGTTCAAGTGTTCGCAGTACAAAGTAAGGAACACATTCTATATCGCCACTTCCATGCTTGCCTAAAGGTATTTATGATTGCTATAGCATTTAATTATGCATGTTATAACCACAGTTAGTCTTTTGTATCAATCATCCACAGTTTTAAATTATTTTTTAAAATATTATAATTCAAAAGTGATTTACTATGCAGCATGCATTGCAATTGGATGTTCAAGAATAACAAATCAAATGCATACTGCTGTGGGTGAAAACTGACAACAAGATTCTTTGGATCTCAGGCTTCACAAACAAAATGTTAATCTTGAGTAACTATTCCAGTTTTGCATAGCAGAGCAGCTAGAGAATGGGGATAATAATGTAACCCCCTCCTCTCTCTCTCTCTCTCTCTCTCTCTCTCTCTCTCTATATATATATATATATATTCCTTAAAAATACGTTGGTATTTCATCAATTGGGGAAAACACATTCTCAATGCAAATACACAACAAATCTAAACAGCATGTACATCCCCAGTAGAATTATTTAGAATTGTTTCCTTCTTCATCCGCAAAAATGTGCTGGACCATTACTTAAAGATAACGATTACCAGGAAGTACACATCAGGCCTCAGTTATGCTGGTTCTCACTTTACACTGAAACTGATCCATTAATAAAGACCACTTAACAGTTTTAAAATATATTGTCAAAGGCTTTTGTGGCTGGAATGACGGGTGTTGTGTTGTTTCTGGGCTGTATGGCTGTGTTCTAGCAACATTTTCTCCTGGCATTTTTCTTACATCTGTGGCTGGCATCTTCAGAGGATGCCAGCCGCAGGTGCAGGCAAACGTCAAGAGACAATGATGCTACAACACGGCCATACAATACCCCAGTTTTTAAACCAGCGAGGGCAAAACTGAAGAACTATTAATTTATTTCAAATAGCAAGGAAACTGTGGCCAATGTACTAATATGGATGAGATGTGTGGGCTAGGAAAGTACGTCAACTGATTTATTTGCAAAATTAAAACCAACCTTTACAGAAAAAAACCATAATCTAGTGATATATATACTACAATGGCCAATACCCATTTTGATGCCTCAAATTTTAGACCTATTTCTGCATATATTTGACCTGCTGATTCCAAAAATGGCACCAGGTTTCCCCTATCAGCTCTATTTTTGAGATACAGAACATATGCCATATCCCAGTCTTCATCTGATCGCATACAGAAAATCATGATAACTCTATCTAAGCTACGGTCTACCCAGTGCAATTTTCTGAATCATCCCCCTCCAAATAACCTAAACATCAAGAAACCAGGAATTTGGAGGGGGGGGGTTGCTGTACGATATGGTGGGATAGACATTCTATCCTTTGTTTCCCACTTGTTTTCAGAAACATATTGGTTGAAGAAATATGAAGAGCTCAAAAGTCTGCAAACAATTTGTACCCTTTGAGTTTGTCTCATAATAAACATGTATTATATGTAATAAACGTATTATAAAAATATGAACCTTTGATTTCTCTCCCTTTATTTGAAAAGCCACCATAAATATCCACAAATAGATCACTGAAAAATAGATCACTAAAATGTATCTCCACATAAACTTTATTAGCAAATGAAGAATTAGCAGCTTGGTCTTTAATAATTCAAAGAGTAACACTCCTCAGGACTGCTAACAGCAAGTACCTGGGGATTACAGCAAGATTTACATTCTGGAAGCAAAGGTTCAACAAAGGGCCCTTCCAGACAGGCTCTCTATCCCAGGATTTGATCCCAGGTTTTCTGTTTATCCCAGATTATCTGGCAGTGCTGACTGACATAATCCTGTTTAAAGCAGAAAACCTGGGATCAGATCACGGGATATAGGGCCTGTCTGGAAAGGCCCAGAGTGCATGCAATAGAAAGCACTTGGTGGCACATGCTTTGAATTTCTTTACATAATAAAATAAACAACTGACTATTCAATCACTACTTTGCATGAAGTTGATAGTCTCAAGGATCAAATAAAATCTGTTTGATAAGTTGAATGAATGCAAATATTGCAGTGCAACAAACCCTGTTGTCAAGAGGGAATGTTAAAGGCCAAGGGCATTGATGAATGGTTTGATAACTAGCCAATTTATCTGATTTTGCCTTCAGATAACATTGTTCTTCCATGAAATTTCACACTAAAACTGTGACACAACAAATCTGTGACAGTTTTCCAGATTTTTAAATAAATATATATGTATATAAATATCACAATACAGGGGAGAGTGAAAGAAATCAAGCTCTATGCCTGATGCAGATACCAACCCAGCACAAGTTTGATTGGTATACAAACAGTAGCACTTGTCAGCTTGACTTGCCAGACAAGTTTTTGCTCTGTTCACAGTAACTGCAGCCAATATTTCACGAGGCAGTCACATTCAGCAGCCTCTCAACACCTAAGAAAAGGCAAACTATGAAATAAGGAGATGCAGTTGACTGGCTATTCACTACCACTGTCAACAATAATCGCATAACATGAGTAACGAAACTACAGTTAGCATATGAACCAACCTAGGCAAACCATACATAATAAAGGCATGGCAATCCTGTAGACTCCAAACTTCCCAGCATTCACAAAACTCAATTTATACTCTCTCATCTAATTATAGAATAACCAAAGGACTGTATCCAAAGTTAAAGTACTCTATCTTACATTGCCATCTATCCTTGCTGTTGCCAATTGAGTGATGCACTTTATCCATCAGCCCTATCCCCACGATTGATTTGCACCAGTCCGTCCACCCATGCCCAGTAAATGACCATTATTGCAGGTTAATTGGTTGTTGGTTG